GGCTTCAGGAGCAAATAAATGTGTGACGTAATCAATTTACATAAACTATGAAATCATCGTGACCAAATAAGGACATGATCCCTACAAGTTACATCATTGATCTATATATGACAGACTGGTTTAAAAAACCTAAAACTAGCACGTGACCTTATCTTAATGAGATTCCACCGCAAGAAAACGGCCTAACCGGTTTGCCATACACCACTACGGAATTTCCAATAAAGTAAATAAATGATGGATGATAGAAGTAAATTAACAAGGGTAATACAAAAGGGTCTTAAAAATGTCAAAATCACTTTAGTTAACTGAGGGAGGGCAAAAAAGTATTAACCAAACATGGGGAGATTTCTGGTAAAGCTCAGAATGGTCATACGTTTACAAGTGTGGCCTGTGGACGTATTGTCCGATAGAAAAAAGCAAGACAAAATAACTCTGGGACGTCCTATTTCATCAAAGAGCACGCATAAGGCATCTATTTTACATGGAACTTATTCTGTTTAATATGAAAGAAAGTATCTATAGATCTCAGGGTGAAAAAGCAAGCCACTATCTTGCCTTTATTTGTTGCTACGTTGGAAATGTACCAAGACAACACTTCAAAAGTCACGAGTGAAGGTTTACAAAGCATGTTGACTCACAAACCTTTCCAAATTTTCCAATCGTAGAAATTCTACAAACGGTTGCCTTTTTTGAAGAAGTGAAGGTCGCCTCATGAGATGTTTTCGTTGTTGGGAAATTTTCTGGCGTTGAAATTAAATACCAGAGACAATTACCTCAAAACTGATTCACGGTTTCGTCTTTGGATGAATTACAATCTGGTTTCGCTTCGCCGGACATGTCAAATGTCATAAAAATTAAAAGAACAAAAGAATTTTTTAAGAACTATTAACCAATCAACTTGCAAGAGGTTTTCTTAGGAATTGAACAAAAACTTTGTCTTGCCTTATGGAACTTGTTAAGTCTGCAAAATCAAAAAAATATGAGCTGATTGAAAATTAATACTCTTTTCGAAAATGATAGGAAAGAGTCACTATTTATCGAGATTTTCTATGAAAACTATATCCTCTGATTGATTGTATTCTTGAGAGATCAGATGTTCAGATGAAATATACCGCGAGGTTTTCAAAGACAATTATTTTGGCCTTTTAGAAGTCGACTGCATTCCTTTAACGTTGAGTCTGAATAGTCAGGCATATATTAACGACTACTGAAGCGAAACAATAATCACTTGATTAATCATTAATGTACCAATTTAAATACCAGTGTAGAGGAAAAACGTTCAGTTCAGTTCAGTTCCTGAGGAAGTTGAACGCAACGGGACTGCCCAAAGATTTCAGGTAAAATTAGCTAACATTGTCAAATATTTTTACACTCACGCTCACATTCCACGACACAAAAGAACCCATGCAGGCACTTAAGGATAGCAGCACGTGAAGATGGACCATAAATTTATCAGGCATCGTTTATTCTAAATTCTTGACCAAATATAGTCAATCAGACTTACAATACATTCAAACAAGTTTAAAGATTTTGTCTTTCACTTTCATCGATGACAGCAAAGAAATAAAGCATATCCTGGATTGTTCGCGCGTCAAAATGCTTCTTACTAGATGCTTGGGATTAGAGTCAAGACAATTTTTCAACAACAACAGCAAAAAAAAAAATTGGCTACATTCTTTACCATAGAAAAGGTGACAATGTTAAACCATACGTTTTTCAAAACTTAAAGACCAAGAATTTTGGGGTAAATACCCCGATAGCCCCTCTGCATTTCAGCTGTTTTTGTTTTACCAAGGAGAATATAAAAAAGGCGGTAAAGTTTGATTTATTTTGAAAATTGGTATTAAAAAAATGGTAGTTTAAAGCAAGAAAATTGGAAGAATAGTGATTCAAAGGACATGCATGAGTTTATCTTACTACCTTTTCCTTGCGACACCTCCATTTGATTAATTATTTACTTTTTTTAACAATTTATTACAGCAAATATTCCTTCCGCTGAAGAAGTAACTAACAGAAAAAATATATAAAGGGTAAACGACCCGGTTACCTAACTGAATACTTCATTCTTTTTACTTAGCCATTAAATATAAATGGGTTCAAGAAAGGTTTTCAACACCTGATGGTTCTATCTTGTTCTGGTCTTGTAGTTTAACCTCTTTTTATTTAGTCCGTTGGATATATTTAAGGGAAATCTATGTTTAACTGTCCGCAACCTAGGTGCTGTAGGATTCCATTCCCCTTGCTAAGTTGAAATGAGGTGAATAATGTCTTGACTAGCCATAAGACTACGCCCATGTTTAGTAAGGAGATGAAATCGCCATATTTTTCTTAGTTAAGACAACATGTTTTGTAGGTATCCATGTTTAAAACCATTTTCTGATTTATTGTTGTTTGCTCGTAGGCCTCCTGATAACCTTAAAAATCCGCACTGTTCATGTTCATTTAGTTAATTACTATACAAGATAGTCATCTATTTAAGATGAATTAATAGCAACCTTTACTACTTTAACAGGTGCAATGGGGCAATTGTGGCTTCATTCTTTGGTGATTTTCATTGTCCTTTTCCTGCGGAACATTCAAGCTCAGAGAACAGGTAACGCCTTCTTTAGTTCCTTTCCTTTTTTCTGTAGACCACGACCAGTCTCTTCTGTTTTTGATCATTTTACGATTTCGCTCACTGTTCGTGGCACTGAGGAAGGAAGGGCAAGGGCTCGTGGTGTAGGACTGCCACAGCGAGTTTGACTTTGACTTTGTCCTCAAGCGTCCGCACAGTTTAATATGGCAGCTGATTTTATAGTCAGAGGCTCCTTGGTCTTCGCTTCCAAAGTTTTTCAAGCAGTCAAACTCTCTTCATTTGACAATTAACTAAACGCTTCCGCTTTTTGGAAAGCCTTCCCTTGGCTAGGATTTTTAACAAAAATCTATATACATTTCGTTGACGTCATAGACAAGTGCAAACCTTATGTGGCTGGGCTAGCGAGATTAAATTTCAGTGATGGTAAGATCAAATTAATGGTAAATTTTATAATGATGAATTTTCTACACGTATAACCATTAATGGGTGATTTTATTGAAACGCGAAGCCAACATTTTCGGCTAATTTTCCTACCATAATATTTTCTTTATAATTAATTGAGGCGATTTTCTTGAAGACGTTATTCACATAAAAAACTTTTTATTGGTTACAGGACTTTGTGTTGTACAACTGAGTAAGAACTGACTAGGAACTAACTCCTTCATGTTAAAAGCATTAAAAGTCCATTTTATATCAGATCTCACCATTTGATTCTGCAGTTTATACGTTTGAGGATGCTAATCACTTGATGGCCTTTAACGCGCCATCATCTACATTGGAACGTTCTTCAACTCATTATAAGGACGGTACACATTCTATGAAGTGGACATGGACTAGTGGCAATGAATTCACACATACAATTTCTGTAAGTCTAATTATATATGAAACACATGCTATCTAGGAATGGTTTAGATGGCTGCTGGGATAGCCATAGTGAAATTGTGAATAGGCAGTCAGAAATATATGATTGAAACTGGCCGGTAGAATAGACATTCAACCTGTCCAATCAATCTAGATCTAATCATACCGTTAAATTCTGAAATTAAGCCCCGGGGCTTATATTTTTCAAAGGCCCTTTTTGAGGGGCTTATTTTCGGAGGCGCTTATCTGCGGAGGGAAATTTTTGTTTCAATATCGATTGGGCTAGCCTTATAGTTGGAAGTCAATTTACCGTTTTTGCTTTGTTTTACTTTGTATTTGACGGCAATTTTCCAAGTACAAGCCCCCGGGGGGCTATATTTGGAGGGGCGATTTAGAGGAGGGTTTTTTGCGTTACCGGTTTGGGGGGCTTATATTTGGAGGGGCTTATAAACGGAGGGGCTTATTTTCGGAATTTTACGGTATTTTTCTTTGTTTTCAAACTACAGTATTGTGTCCCAAATACCTATCAATACCCAAGCAAAGAACTCCACTATTAATAATAATAATAATAATAATAATAATAATAATAACGTCTTTATTAAAAAGCATCCGATAAAATAACATATCTGATGTTACAGTAAAAATATATATCGATAGAAAAAATTACAATGACAAGATGAATAAAAAAGATTAAATTGATTAAAAATACATATGGGGTATTTACACAGCTAGATTATATTTAAAAATTAATCTATTAAAAAAGCTATCTTTGAAACGTTCAGTGTTAATGCTGGACCTGACAACGGATATCCTTCGAAGGTTTACAATACAGTCTTTGTACCTTGGGAGCAAGTTTTTTAGTGGATGGTCATCGCGTTTGAGGTTATAAAAAAGGCGTCTGTCGCTTTTCTCCAAAAGTTCATATATGTTGTAATTGACCGACGTATAACGCCTCTTATAACATCTTTTTAAAAACCTTTGTATAACAGTAAGTTCGGAAACACTTGCAGCATAAACTGAAAGACCGTATAATAACTTAGGGATCACAATTGAATTAAAGAGGTGGTCTATTTCATCTTGTGTATATCCTTCTTTACGTAGGCTTCTGATGACAAATAAACACTTGTTGGCTTCATGGAGCTTGGCCTTGACATGCAAGCCAAACTTACAATTACCTTGAATTGTGACGCCTAATAAAGAAATGTTATTATATTGTTTGATATTGTGAGACTATTTACGTTGTTATTGTGCGAAAATGGTGACGCTTTTACTCTCGTATATCTCTAATTTCAAATCTGTTTGCAATGCTGTTAATGTTGTGGTGCAAAGTTATCCTTGGTCTAAGTTTTTATTTTCCTTGCATCAAACTTTCAACATACAATACCATACCAAAAAACAAAGAAATGAAGTAAAATTTGAACCAAGCACAGATTGCACAAAACAAACATACTGTATATGTTCGTGGAAATAGCTTAAAGTTGATAACCAAACACGCCCAACTCAGTAAAATGTTTAAGTTTCTTGGCACTCTCATTCTGGTATAAATGTTTTATTACATTGTGACATGATTTTTTTTTCTTTTGAACAGCCGCAGATCAGTGGATCCGAGCGTAGTAGAGGTGGAATTAAATTGTGGCTTTACAATCCTTACAAACGCGCAGCAGGAGAGCATCTGACAGTCTCTTTTTCCAACTCAGCAAAAACCGTTTCACAATTCAATATCAACCTAAACTTCAAGGTATTTATGAATTTATCCTTTCCCCAATGACTGTGGCAATTTGCTCCAAAATGAAAATCAATGAAAAGTAATCGTTCTTTCAAAAGAATGATTTACTCTTTGTGTTTTTGTAAGTTGTGTCCCGTCCAAAAAATGTAAGTATTCATTTAACTATTCATTCATTTACTTCTAAGAATATAACTATTACCGATCGGTGAAAATTTATTATGGCGATGACAAAGACAACTGTTTTGTATTTAAATGGTTCTAGGGCTGGCGTGCAGTGTGGGTTAGTTACGATGAAGGTCTTTTGAATGGTCGAGCTAACATGGACTCCATGAAGATAACTGCTCCAACAACTTCAGAGACCACTCATCCATTGTACTTTGATCTTATTCGATTGGTCGGAAACTTAGCCAGGCAGTCACGTGATAAGGTTGTTCCAACACTCGACCCAGACATGTACAGTCCAAATAATTTCTGGCAGCAAACGTACCGATGGAGTCAGGTTAGTTTTGTTTATTCAGTGCTTCTTTTATTTAAGCTTTGTCATTGTATCATTGTATCTGTCTTTCATGCAAGCAAATTTACTGCTCGAGAAATAGAGATAGAGCCGAGATAAAGAGCGCAAGAGGTTAGGGCAAGGCGGTTAAGTAGTTATAAACTACTTTTGCTTTTCAAAACTGTTTCTTTCCATCTTATGTGCTCTTGTAATTCGCGAGGGAACGAGAATGAGATATCATAATGAACACAAAAAGACTACGTAAAAAGAAAACCTGGTCGCTAAAGAGGAGCGGCCTGTGGGTTAGCCTGGTTGCCTGTGAAGATTTAACGATATCTTTAACACGAAACATTTTGCATCACTAGGCCACTCCAACAGCTATAGACACTGGCACAACTCCCAGTATGGAACAAATATCTAACCTGACCTTGATCGAGAAGAGATTGGACAACTGGTTCGTGAAGCAGTCACAGGCCTCAGTTAATTTTACAGGAAACGTACAGAAACGATGGAATTCGCTTCAAGGCGACGTGAACGATGCACTCACAAAGTTTGCTTCACTGAATGTTGTCAACAATACAGATGGTATTATCACAGGTAAGATCTAAAGTAAAGCTGCAAAATATGCCCGCCAGCGAACTTATCTGAAGCAAATCATGATCCATTCAAATAAGAAAATTCCTACTAATTGAATACTTTACACTAACTATAAGACTATAACTGGTGAAGACTCTCGTAATCCACACTGTAGGCACCCCGCTCTATTCTGACGAATCGGAATATGACGACGAAAAATTTGGTTATGTCGTGGAGAAAGTTCTTCTTCCGCTGGCGCTGGATTATCACGTGAGATCAAGAACCAATGACGTGGACGCTGTAGCCTCTGCAGAGATGGCCAACTTGAATGGAGATACCAGCGTTTTTAACGCAGCTGTTAAGGTATGAAGAGTTCGGTGGAGGTACTTCCAACAGGTGACATGAAAACATGTCAACATGACATAGAGGTGCTTTTAAAAGTTTGAAAAACAAACAGACAACAAAACGAAACATCAAAATGACATCATTCCGGTTGGAAATCTTCTCCATTTCCGTCTCCACATATTTTTTAGCTCTTATATTAGTGATTGTGACCCTTCATTTTAACCTCAGGTCTTTCGAAAACATTTTTTTTTTGCAATCTTGGTTCATCGAAGAGTTGTTGGGTAAAACAGTCTATATTTGAATCCTGACAACATATCAAGACATGTTTATACCCGTTTTAAAAGGAACTCTTAGAATTAAACACGAGCAAACATGTGGTCTATAGTAATGAGACGAACAATTAGGATTGAATGTTATGAACTTATTTCAGAGGATAGCAGGTGGCAATTCAGGTGAGCAACAGACCTTTACTACCGCTTTGGGTTCAACGACGCCATATTCTGCGATAAAAGTCAAGGAAGCCATCAGTACTCTTAACAACAAGCGGAAACAACGATTGATGCTTCTTCTTGATTATATTGAGGATCAAGGTTGGTTGGTTTGAAAAAGCAGAAATGTTCCTTACATTACAAAGTTATTTTTTGAGTGATTACTTGTTTTGGTTTTAAGCAATATATTTTTTCTACATACAGTATACAATTTACGCCACTAGAAAGAAGTTATAATTTAGCAACTGGTCAGAACTGCAAGATATCTTCAGTTGAAGTAAAATCTTATCAAAATTTAGAGTTTTGGGATCTGTTATCAAGGAGTGAATTAATTAATGGTTCAATTTTCAAGTGTTTGAGAATCGTTTTTTTTTTCGTTACACTTTAAATAAGTAAAAACATTAACATGGCAGGATGACTACAGGAAAAAGACAGTCCTACATATCGCTTTACATATTTTCTAAGATACACGAAACGCACAAAACAAGTCTCACTTGTAACCACTACCTCTTGCAAGTGCAAGTTTAAAGGCTATACAACATAAGAAAATAGTCTTTTCTGGGAACACAACAACATAACATCTGAATCATCATGCTTACTTCACACATATATAGAACACAAGCACTTCCAAAAAAAGAACCACTAACTTCAAAACAGTTACCTGCACGACCAAAGGGTTATCTTATCCACCACTTCACTACATAAACGTATATCCACACTTTTCCTCCTATAAAGTGTTTCATGGGTAAACATTATTTTTTTTACGAGTAAGGTTTTACTGAGGGCAGTGCAATTGGATCCTTGGACCACGAAATGAACAATGCAGGAGCGGGTTACATGAATTCAGTGTATTTATTGAAGGAAGTTCTGCAAGAAGCAGGAAAAAAGGAGAATTATGTCGCGACTATGAAGTGGTACAATGACTTTGGAGAAGTATATCAAGATCCATTTGAGTACGCTGGAACAACTGCTGATCGAATGAGAACCATTTCATTTTGGCGGTAGGTTACAAGCTAGGTTTTGCCTTCCTCTCCTCTAACACAAATCAGCCTTGATGCCTTCGGCCGATATTTTTACAGGGCATTCACAGTACAATTTTTATACTTATGAAGAATCACACACATCTTGCTGATCCAAGTACAGTAAAAGCCAGTAACTGCCCCACCCAAGGTCCATGAACTGGTGACGTATTGTCTCCGTAGAGATTCCACTTTTACTTTCCATCCACAACAGTATCCGCGCTTTTTCACCAAGAAATTGAAACCTGCTTTACGTTCTGAGATAGAACAAACATGGAAATTATTTGGCCATGTTATGGTTTACTGACAACAAGCCGAATTGTGTGTAGCCTCACCCGAGCCTAATGTGCAAAATATCTTATTCTTAGCCTCAACTCCTTCGTCTTGGGAAGATGTTAAATTTCTCGCATCTAATTTTCATTCTTTTTATTCACAGTTTGTTTGCTGTTCTTATGATGCCTTCCTCTACAACAGCAGAACAACAAGGAAAAATCCGCGACATAAAAGCGCTTCTTCGATGGTACGCCAACGCTCTGTCACCTAATGAAGGATTAGCAGGTGTCCTAAAGCCTGATTTCCTTGGATTTCATCATAATAGCTACTACGCTTCTGCTTATACACCACACGCCGTGCACAAGGGAGCACTCATACAATATCTACTCAGCGGGACGACATTTGCTTTGGGTGAGAAAAAAAAAATATCACAAGTAGCAATATTGAGTAGGAAATGTTCGAAGTTACTGGTCTACAAGGATGTTAAAACTGAATGTCAACATTGCCAGAGGCGGCGTTAGTAGTATAGGGCGGACCGGTTACACCGTTCTTTATTGCGGGAATCTCATTAACGTGCGGGGTAAACTAATACATTAACGCAAAATGACGTAATAGACCAAAAAAAACCTCTAGACAGTCATTCACCTAAAAACGACCAGGAAACCTGTGAAACCCGTTAAACCACCTTAAAATAACACTTGGTCTTATCTTAATGAGATTGTCTTGAATTTATTCACGAGATTAGACAAAAGGCTATAACGTTATCAGCGTTAATGTATTCACGCGAACAGCGTAACTGGTACTTACTATAACACTGGCACGGTTTGGAATGTTATGATTAATAAACAAGCGAGTTCTAACGATACCATATAATTTCTTTTATCCAAAGTTATCTCAGAATTAAAGGTGTACTATGTTTTATTTAAAGATGCCGAGACAATGCAAAACATAAAGAAAGGACTGGAGATAATGAGAGTCGTTTCAGTCAAGTATTCCTCACCGAACAGTGTTGGAGGCCGATTTCCAGGATTTACTCGTGCAATTCTGGCCAAAAATTTCCCTGGTTTTGCCTATTACGCTGCGACTGCTCCAAATTTCAACAGTGATGGATCCCTAGGAGAAATTGTCGCCATTGACAGTGACAACGTCAAGCCTTTTTTGCGGCTATTTGATACAAGTACTAGTGCCTTTTAAATTCTTTAATATACTATGATGTGAAATGAATGGAATATTTCTTTATTGTGGAGTAGGTAATAGATTCTCTCTTAACGTTTCCACATATGTTAGCGTTATTTTCAACAATTTTGGATAAGCGGAGACTGTATCATTCCTTAGGTCAGAAAATCAACATTCACGAAGGTGTGTTGCCACATTAATCAAGTAAAAGCATTTCAATACAGCAGTTGGTCCTAATTTTGCCTAATATATCATTGCCAAAACTAGCTTTAAGACTGACTCTATTAAAGAGGTGAGTGAAACAATACCAGTTGTATCTTTCCTCTGCAGGTGAAAGTAGTGTCAATGACTACTTGGCTGACGGAACAATTTTCACTTCAATTTATTACTTGAATTCACTTGGCTCAATCAACATCATGGAAGAAATTAAAGGCAAGGCAATGACCATGAGTATCGAAGCAGAAGCTTCCCCTAAGGGATTATGGGCACTTAATTACGGGGCCTTTGTCGTCCACCGACGCTTTGATTGGGCAGTCTCTGTTAAAGGATTTAACAGCTTTGTTTGGGACTTTGAGGCATCGAGCAACCAAAACGTGTATGGGATATACCAGAGTCACGGAGCGCTTCTAGTTGCAAACAGCGAGGCGTCTCTTAAAACTCTCGACATCGACAACGGCTGGGACTGGACACGACATCCGGGTACAACCACTATCAAATTGCCGCTCGCAGACTTGGTCAGCGGAAACCGCAGGTTTTTATTTTGTTTAGTTTTCACCACCTTTAATCGGGTAGTTGACAGGTCAATCACAGTTTAGATCTAATCACATGGCAAGTCACGGCAACGTAACCTTGTTTTGAGAAACTCTCAAAGTCAACTGAAAGAATCAAAGAGCATTTACTAAAATCACATCTCACAAAACTCGCAAGGAAACACTCTAGCCTTTCTTAGTCTGTGTACCGTGTGACTGGCTTTATGCGTGAAGCGAGTTACGCACATGACAAATTAGTACACTGTAGTAGCTTATCATCCTAAGATTCTCAAAAACTGCTTACTGAAAAATACGATAAATCAAACATGTTTTAGCCTTCCAAAAGAGTCTCTTTGACAAGTAGAATAATTTAAAAGAATTTGAGGTTAATTTGAAGACATCAATTATTTTCTGAAATCACATGAAAACCAGAGAAGGAGGGCGTTAGGCTAGCAAATAATGGCACGTTGCATTATGGGCCTAAAGATATCTTTTGGGTGTAAATTACAGTCAACCCACTCTCTAGGACGGGCACCTTTGATGCATGCGCAAAGTGCACGTTTAAGAGTGATGTTCGTCTTAAAGAGAGACGAATGAAGGGAGTAAAGAAAGGCAGGTGTTCGTTTTACCAAGTCTTGTAGACGTGTCCGTCAAGAGCGACTTGGCCGTATAGAAATTTAGTTTTACAAGGCTAACGAATGCCTTCACTTGTCGTCACTTATAGATATTATCAATCTGAGAAACTTGCTGGCGGAGTTAGATTGGTGGGTAGTGGAGACTACTCTACAGGAATGTTTTCAATGGAGTTTTCTCAACCTGACTACGACTGGGATGATGGTGCCTATCAAAACAACATCGAGTTCACATTTAAGAAGAGCGTCTTCTTTGCTGATAATCTTACAATCTGTCTTGGCTCTGGTATTTCCTCTTCGGGCAGCAACTCGCACATCACTCAGGTATCATGTTTATTACAAAAAAAAAGCATTTCCTTTATTTCTCTACTGATTAATTAATTTATTTTCAAAGTTTCCAATACACAAAACGGTAGCGGTCAAACAAAAGTGTCGCCTGTAAGATGGGGACATCGTTTATCCTTCCTTGATCCTAAAGGCGACGTCGCTTGAGGGTTCTCATTTTTTCATGAGAACCAGAATTCTTACTTCTTCAAGAATAATTTAATTTAAGGCTACCGAATACCTTCAGATCGGAGTATGACTTCATTATCAAAGAAAAAATTAACGAAAAAGTAGGTATTTGCGAAGCGTTTAAAAACTTTTCATGAGCCAAACCTAACTCGAATAAGGCCAAGCCAAATGATTTAGATCGGCTGAATTGATTCAGTCGCCGATCGTAATTCCAGTCGAACTAAATTTAAAAAGGAGAAAAATGCTCATTTCGGTCAAACTGCTTGCAAAATACTTTAAAATAATTTATACATTAGGTTCGGCACATGAAAAATTCGGCGTCTGAACCAGTAGCGGATCCAGGGAAGGGGGCCGGGGGCCCGCCCCTCCTCAGTTTTAGAGCAAACTATTGAAACCCGCCCCCCAACCCCTTATCCCCTCCCCTTAATAGCCCATTTTACAGTTATGGGTGGAAGGGAGGCTGACGTTGACCTTGTTTTGATACAAACCTTCCTGCCTTATAAAGTAACTCAAGTTATTCTTATTCTAACAAGTATTCTTCAAGGACAATTTCCATAACAAAGCAAAGGAGGTTTGAATCGAAACAAGGTCACCGTCAGCCTCACATTCATTCGAAGGCTAGGGTACTAAGTCCACAACTGTGAAATGGTCTATTGAAGGTGTGGATCAGCCACTGTGAGCTGGACTTTACATTTGAATGGAAAACATGCAATTAAAAAATATCGGGGATCTTTCTTATTCCCAAAATGTTTTTGTTAATTTTATCGATAAGCAAAAGAAATGTTTTTTGGCAACTGAATGCTATAATGACATTTCGAGCCATACAAACATGTAAAGAGACTGTACAAACAGTTTTGTTTTTACTTTTTCTTTGCTGGACAGACTTCTTTGTTTCAAGTCAAGTTGCTGGACTCAAATAATCCATCATCGATCCGCATAAATGATTCATCGCACTCTCTCAATACAGACGTAACTAGAGAACCTTCATTCTTTGACGGAACACTGCCAGCCTCTCTGTATGATGTAAATGGTAATTGTCGTGTTCATACATATTTCGTCCTGTTTAGTGCAAATAATCTGTAACGATGATGAGGGCCGAGGAATAACGAGGAATTTGTCGTTCACAGCAAACGGATGTGATGACCACGAGACCACATTACCATTTTCTTGGCTGTTTATTGGCTTAATGTTAGTCATTACCCGTCCACGTTTAAAGTAACGTGAAGAGGAGTGTTTTCACGTTCATAAAAAACGCGAGTGAGAAATTCACTAATCCATCGAAGTTTCCTGTTTTCCCTAAAGCGTGCGCTGTTGGAGAGAACATGACAACTTTAAATATTTTTTCTGTTTTAACCATCTTATCTCTTTCAATAGTGCAGTGCAGTAGACGTAAAAGTCAAATCACATATCATCAAATTCAAATTTTCATAGAGCTGCTAACCTATCTTACAAAAACACTGCGCAGATTAAGAGTGCAGTGTATGAGTTTCTTGTCCGACTATTGACCATCACTACTGGACGTTTCAGTTAACATACTGTCCTTTTCGTAAAGCATTAGTCTATTGTGTATTTATTTAGTCTTTTTAATCTATTTCATTACTATTTTAGTTTAGTTACGGGCACTGTCACCATACTGATATATCAAACACTTGTAATGACGATAATTTCATTGCTGTTTGTTACGTTTGTATCAGGAAATGGTTATTACATTCCTAACGCGAATGAACAAGGACTAAATGTTAAAATCAGTCTCCAAACGTCCAGGGACAATAGAGGAAGAAAGGACACTTCAGCAAGATATGCAACAGCATGGCTTGACCATGGAGTAAATCCAACTAACAAAGGCTATGAATACGCAATTATCGTGGGTACAAAACCACGCACTATTCAGGTAAATATGTAGACATTCACTGCAAATTTGACCGCTGAGTGTTATTATTACGCTGGCATGTTTTTGGTGGAAAGGGCCTTTGAGATGTGTTGTTAGCTACAATGCAACTGCATGGCTGATAATTTTTTCTTCACAGATGCGAATTTAATTCGTACAAATATTTCTTTCCAACAAGGCTACCTGACGGTAAACTTTTTTATCCCGTTGCGATAACTTTGTAAATCAAAAACGCAAAATAGGAATTTTTCAAAGAAAAACTTGTCAAGGAACCAATCGCAGATCTGAAGTGAATGAAGGCTGGTGGCATTTGTGCTCAAAAGATGGGTTGGCTTGCTTTTCTCTTTTATAGTTGTTTCCTGGACAACAAGCGGGGCAATTTATAGCAAGTGGCTTTCCCCCGGCATACGAAGTAATTCACAAGGACAATAAAGCTCACGCAGTAAAGATCAATGACTGCCCAAGAAAAAACGACACTCAGTGGGGATATGCATTCTTTGACAAATCTGTTCGCACTCCTGGTCCTGTAAGACGGGTTACTAAGGTAAATTTATAAACATTTTTTTTCGACACGGCTTATTCCGGGATGTTTGTGGTGAATACTTTAACTCTCTGAAAGGAAGGAGTGGTAAAGAACAGGGCTGACAAGGGACCATAACAGTAACATTATAGTGATATTCGCCATATAGCACCTCCACAAATAAACTACACTTGCAATTCAAAAGAATTTTAAGTATCTTAACTATCTAAACTACACCATTATTGAGAATGATGATTGTTTCAGAGAGCGACACAGGTGGCTCAGAAGAAAATCTCAACAGGAGAATAACCTAAGACTCTCTGGTGACTAGTCCAGATGCTCTACCACGGAGCTACAGGAGACTTATGGGAGCTGAGGCCGATAAACTAGGCTCATGTGACAAACATCCTGCATATTGCGAGGACTGGAATGCCGATTATGCAGGCGTTATTACAAAAAAAATGGCATTGAAAGTTGTGCGTCAATAATGGATTTTCGCATTGATTTCTATTACCTACACCAAGACTTTGAGGACACCCAACGATACACTTCTGCTTTCCAAACGTCTCCACTTTTAAGAGCGTTTCCGAAAACCCCAAATGTTTCGGTGTAGACGGAAGACCAAACGAATAAAAATGTGAGCGGGTTGCTGAGGTGTATTTTTTTCCCACAGCACCCTTGTCTTGTGATGTTTGAAGAAGACGACGAAGACAACGTGTACGTTTCTGTGTCGTACCCAAATCTAAATTTCAACATCAGTGAACCTTTGACGATTGGAAGCCGTGTCAATGCTCAGCAACGGTTTTACTCTGTCAGCATGTCAGAGGATATTGAGGTAGGCATATGAAAATGAAAACCATTGTAGCAGTTTGACCCGGACTAGCCTGCAGTGCTGATACACAACTCTTCCAGCAGTGCCAGATCCAGACCTTCAGATAAGGGGAGAGGGGGGGGGTCATCCAGACCTTGAGGTAAGATAGGACTAGCCCTCAGTGCTGACATTAACTCCAGCAGTGTGTTCAGGAATTACCTGCAGCGCTGACATCAACTCTCCAGTGTGTTTAGGAATTGCCTTTAGCGCGCTGACATCAACTCTACCAGTGTGTTCAGGAATTGCCTGCAGTGCTAACATGAACTGCAACAGGGTTTTTAGGTCTAGCCTTTAGTGCAGGAGTAATGATTGTTTGGGCATCAGGGCAGTCAGTATTTCATTCCTGCAATGAGCATTTGTGATTTTGACACGCAGTGGAAGATTGGGAAAAGCAACATTAAAACAGTACAGTGAGTAAAAAGTGTTGGATGGAAGATAAAATCTTAAACAAAATTTCTTGGTGATTATTTACCTCGGTTTTCAGTTCATCGTCTCCAAGTCTGGCATGAATATCCAGGTTTTAAATGGGAGGATTCTAGACATTGTCAATGTTTGTATTATTACAATTTTAATTGCATGTTGCTAGAGTGGGCTTTTTCTTTTTTTGGGCATCAGAAAAGCCACATAACATTTGTTAAAGCCAAGAGCCACAAATGAATAAAACGTTTTGTTAAAAACCTTCTTTTTGAGAATCTCAATCACTTACTGGACTGGACCACGTGACTTACCGAGTGCCATCTTCTTTGAGTTCTTGCTTAGAGTTAATTCTTGTTTTTTTCTATTTTACTAAAAGATACACAACATTTCTTAAACCACATTATATTTTCTTTGGTTATTCTGTATTAGGTATTTTTCCCAGAAGATGTCGAGGTCAGTATCGGTGATGTCAGGGTGAACGGTAAAATTGTACCACAAGGTGAAAGAGGTGATCATGTAGAGGCCATTCCCAGAGGAATGGATCCTAACAGCACAATATCACGCCGAATCAAGTTCAAAGGTCTGTCTAAAGGATTCAGTAAAGAAGTGAAACTCAGGAGACCCTCTAAAAAAGGCAAAAAATGATTGTGTTTACTATATATTGACAGCCCGTTATAACTAAGTCACTTTGAATAATGAATGCATGCTCTTAAACTCGGACCGTGAAGAATATTTCTGGATACAGCCTTTATGTAATGAACTTGTCCAACTATTTTAAAAGCACACTTGAATTAAAGAAACGCAAATATTATTATGTTCTACAATTCAATTCAATTCATTTAAGGGTGTTCAGGATCATTACTTGTTGAAGACATATTATCACAAAGTAGAAGAAATGAAATAAAAATCAGTTATATAAACTTACTTGTTGTATCGTTTTTAATGTCCGCCCAAAACTCCTTGTCAGGTGATTTCCATAAAGCTCTTTTTCATGAGGCATGCTTACAAGGGTCTTTTTATTTGACGATATTTAAATTCTAGTTAAAGTTTAAAGTTACGGTCGAACCTGCATAAAACGTTCAATTATCCCCCAATTTTTTTTTTATCATTATTTTACCGTTTACTGCTCTGCTTTCACTCAAGTTTATCGAGCTGGATTTTTCCCTCTTACTGAAAACGTCCCTCTTCAATACTATGGGTCGAATTCAAGCCTGGGGGAAGAGGGGAGGGGGTGGGGAAAACAGGTGACATCAATATGGGCAAAAGAAGAAGATTTGTAGAGCTGTCTACCCAAAGCGTATTCGTTCTGTTTAGTTTTAAAGATTTCCAAAGAATAACACAGGCGCATAAACTGTAAATTACATAGCTTTCAAAATTCATTAGAAAGTCGAATCTACGTTTTACAAGCAATGTCTACACGATGTACGATATGTTTGCTTTTAAAGCACCAGATAATGGACCAGAAAGTTTCCCTGAGACCAATTGGAATGCTCCCCTTTAACTTTTGCTTTTGGCACCTCCCATGATTATACCCAAGTACAACCCTCAGTTATACATCTCGTTTAGTCCTAAGGCGCATTCTAGCCAGGCTGATGCGGTTGCTTCTATCGAACATTCCATTCAAGACATGAGGCAGTGGATGTCTCAAGACAAGTTGCTCATGAATGATGCCAAAACAGAACTTCTTTTGATTGGCACCAGACAGCAACTCGCTAAAATCACAATTGATGGCATAACTGTGGGACACTGTCATTGCTCCACAATCTCCTGTTCGGAATCTGGGTGTGCGGCTATATTCATTTGAGTATCGGTCAGTTGTTGATGAAATGTTCAGTTCGCAAATAGAGACACCTGTAGTTTGGTCGAGTGATAGGTCAGAGCACTGGGAACTAGGGTCCATCCTCTGAACTGGATCGGTTAGTTCATCTCGTCATCAAGAAACCGAATTACTTCGCCTGCTTTCAATTGACTGAATATCTCTTACTACTAATTTTACACTACAGACGTCACTTTACTTAATACGTGTATCTGACAATTAGCTGAATGACTGAGACGGAGATAGCTCCGGCCGATTGCTAGAGAGAAGGATTTCATTACTATGTATCGAGGCGCTCTTGTTAGCGGTTTTGTAAACATTTCGGTCTACTTTAATAAATTATTGCTTGACAGATTTTTAAAAAATCTTATTCCTCTTCTCGTAATTCGAGCTGAGTGCTAGTCAGCCACTTCTTCATTTTCAGACCCACTGTTGCTGATGCTATCTGCCATATACTGTTCTACGAGCGGGGATGATTCCAGAAAGATATTTTGAAGTTTATTCTAATCAATGCACCACTGGAAAGAGCCTATTCCAGTCAGTGCAGTGCAGTACAGTGCTCAACAATAAAAAACTATAAATATGTAAATCAACAAATGATACGCGTTCCTATAACCAAAAACTCATCACCTCTTAGGCAACCACTGTGAGTGTCTCGAGAGAATGTAACTGGATTATTACGCTGACTTCAGGATTTTTTCAGATTAAAATAAAAAATATTTGTCTCTTTAGACTAATAAAAAAACATGAAAACGTCTTTAAAAACTGGCTTTGCCCAAATTTCTCTTGCTGCCCAAAAAATCTGAGTCGCCCAAAATTTGGGGAGGCTGCAGCCTCCCTCGCCCCCCGGCCCGTACGCATATGCACAGCTCGCGCAATAGCATGGCAAAGAGTTAGCATTGGTGAACGGCCCTTTTGTGCTGGCAACAATGGACCACGTTCAACAACAATGCAGTTGCTAGTTCGCGAGAGGTGTCGGAGTGAATACTTAATTCATTGACTTCAGAATGCAAATTACCAGTCACTTTGTTCACATTTTGCTCCAAAAACCCAGAATAACACATTTGAACTGATGGTTGCCTTGAATTTGATAGGAGTGTAGCTATAGCTCTCCTTTTCAAACGCCCCGCCCGACTTCCTCGGTGAGTTGGTTTCACTCGGGTTTGTTCAAACTGCAGGGCTCAATACGGTAAACTCAATAAGGTACGGTAACTTTAAATAAAATAGCTTTTGTCCACATTGTTTAAAAACTCAACTAATACATTCTTACGAAATCGTCTTTTTGAAGTCAAGAAGAAATGTAGGCGATCATGCATACAAAAGAATCAAACAGGTTTAAAGAGTTTTTTTTTTATTTTTATCACTGACAGGAAAATGGATATAGCATGCCCTAGATTATTATTCCCTTAAATGCTTTTCAGTTTCAAAATACAACCAAGACGGCTCTCAATTAGAAAAGTGAATTAGGTAACATTTTCAAAACCGAGTAAAAATATAAAAAGTTAAATTCAGATGTTTTTTCAAAAACGTAACCTCCAAGAGTTTTTCAGCAAGTTAAGTGGCAGTACTGTTTTTTTTTTGAGGAAAATTATAAGAAACTTATTTTCTTTAATTCAGAACAGCTAAGAGGTTCACGAGTTAATTTTTGTACCTTTTCCTTAACGCACTTCCCGTTTAGTTAATTCTTGCCTTTTTTGACATTTACCGTTAAAGATTTATTTCTAGAGAAAAAAAAATTAGGCAATTGCTCACATTGTTCAATCAACTTCTTACCCATCACTTTAATTATTGTTGGACAAATTCGGTGAAAATGTGGGCGGGTGATTAATTTTTCGAAGCGGGAAGTTTGGTACTGAGTGCAAAGTAACTATAAAATTTCTTCTTTTTTTCTTGATTTCACCAAGGTATCAAAAATCACCAATCAGTTTGATTGATTCTGCCATTTCCAAAGTGATTTCCATGTGCTGTCGAACTGTATCTTTATGAAAATTAGTTCGGTGTTTTTATCCCTTTCGTAGATGGTGGAAAATAAGTGATATGATTGAAAAATACGTCCGTCGTTGCATGTTTAGGAAAAAAGGGTATTGAATATGGAATAGAGTAAAAGGAGGAGGATGGGATAGACGTTGTTTCTTATACTGAAGCATTGAATAAGTTCTATCTTATTCTGCTTTTGTAGATAGGTCCGCAATCTAGAAACTTTACAATTCCATTACTGTAGCCGATAGGCTTATTTGAAAAGCACGCCATCCTCTTTCGCGACATTTGCTTATTTATTCATTTTATTCCTTCCACCATAAATTATTTTGCCCTTACAAAAGAAAACGCACGCTCTGGAAACCATTTTGTGACCATTTTCTCTGACCAAGTTTTGAATTTTACCACCGCACGCGTGAGACTTTCTCGGATATGTCGCACGATGTTGACTGGTGTTCGGACTTCTTCGTACGGCTATGTTTAGAAAGCCGCTTCTCTACCGATAACCTAATTTTAAAGTGAGTCTGTTTTACTGCAACAGGTGAAATGGAACAGTTAAAGCAACATTTTGTGGTAGTCTTCATTGCGTTTTTCTTGCGAAACATTCATGCGACCAGAACAGGTAACGCCTCTTTTCTTTTAGTTTGTAAAGCATTATTCCTTTCGTCAGAAGTTCATCAGTCACTCTTTAGCTTCCATCGGTATTAAAAGCTTCTATGTTATTAAAGGTGAAGTCCTTTACACATCAGATCTCACCATTTTATTCTGCAGTTTATACATTTGAGAATGCTGATCACTTGATGGCCTTTAGTGCTTCATCATCATCCACATTAGAACGTTCTTCAACTCATTATAAGGACGGTACACATTCTATGAGGTGGACATGGACTAGTGGCAATAAATTCACACATACAATTTCTGTAAGTCTAAGTATCTTTTTGTCTGAGGCGGAAATTCGTCAACGTTTGGTATCAGTGAGTTAAAAGACTTTTAATTTTACTGAAACAATTCGGTCTTACCAGTTGCGAAACAGAAAAGTTTACCACCTAGACTTGCAACATAAAAATACAGTACTCAATAAAACCTTGGCACTAAACTATTCAAATGTTTTTTTAACCAGTTGAATGGAAGTACATAGGTACAATCACAGCGTTTGATGAAAAGATAATAATGAACTACAATACTACAACGGTTTACAATTTTCAGTTGTGGTGCAGTTTTATCTTTGGTTTGATTTCAAGCCTTCGTTGAACCACAGCATACGTATATGGTCGTGCAAATAGGGCTATTTGTTTACAACCAAAAACTGTTGCCCAACTGAAATGTTTAAGTTTCTTTTGCACTTTCTAGCAAATTCATGATTAACATTTTCCTGCCATTGAATAAAATCTGATGGCCACTTTTGTCCATTCTGACATGTGTGTTTTGTTACATCGTGCCATGATTTTCGCTTCTTTTGAACAGCCGGCGATTAGTGGATCAGAGGGTAAAGCAGGTGGAATTAAACTGTGGCTTTACAATCCTCATCAACGGGCAGCAGGAGAGCATCTGACAGTCGCCTTTTCAAACTCAGCTAAAACCGTTTCACAATTCAATATCACCCTTAACTTCAAGGTATATATAAATTTATTGTTTACGCTAATATAATAATAATAATAATAATAATTATTATTATTATTATAATCATTATTGTCATTATAATTATAATAATAAAATATAATTTAATCTTTAATGAGGAAGCCAACTTCACTGAATAAGTGGTTTACAGAGGGGTCCTCTTATAAGACAAAACTATTAAGCTAACAAATAACAAGTTACTAATATAGAAATTAGAGCCTTAAAGAATCTATATATTACAACATAAAAAGCACTGTAACACAGGATTAAAGTATGAGTGCAATGTAAAAATTCTATAATACGGGATAGAAGTACGAATTAAAATTTAGCTTCAGATAAGCCGCGCTTAAAAGCTGCCTTAAAGAAAGGTCCAACGCGTTCCAATTATCTGCAGCAAAGTTTAATGTAGTCCAATGTCTCACATTCTAGAAACAAAAGATTTACTGATATTATGCTTAGATCTAGTATTAACAGCTAAGTCAATAGTCTCAGATAAGAGGATTCTTGTAAACAAGATAGTGACATCATAGGAGACTAAAAACATATCACTAAAATCAATATTTTGAATTTCTCTTAATTTCTCTACGAAAACTTAAGAATAAAGGTCTCTTGGATACTAATGTCGATCGTGTCATTTATCTCACTGGATCCCAACCAGAGAGACTATATGGTCTGCCTAAATTACATAAAGTCAAAGATCCTAAGGTAACTACACCTCGCTTTAGACCTATTGTCTCTTCAATAGCAGGCACTTATAATTACAACTTAGCCAAATACCTTTGTTCTCTACTGAAACCTAACATATCCTCAGAGTTTTGTGCTACAGATACCTTTTCTTCCGTAAGAGAAATTCAAGATATTGATTTCAGTGATATGTTTTTAGTCTCCTGTGATGTCATTAGCCTTTTTACAAATATCCCCTTATCTGAGACTATTGATTTAGCTGGTAATACCATAACTGACAGTGACACAGGTCCTGACCTCAAACTTGATAGATCTAGTATTATAATTATAAAAAACTACTATTAAACATTGACCCAAATGCATAAAAAGTTTATTGATATACTTGTAAGTAAAAATATGGCGCTGCTGGGCCTTCTGGCGCTGTAAAGGCTTCCAACGGTGTCTCCCAAGAGAGGGGCGAGAGGGAAGATCTAAAATTGATCGCGCAGCCTTATTGTGGAGAACTTTTAATTCAGCCATAAGAGTAGTGTTACGCCTGTCTCCCCGAATTACATCACCGTAGTCGAAAAAGGGTAAAAAAAGAGCTGAAACACATAATCCTAGCACCTTACGGTAGACAGGACTTCGGCGCATATATTCATCCCATGTAAGGAAGGTTCTTATAAATAACTAATTCCAAGTATGGAAATGACTGAATTCGTCATAATGTTTATTGTCAGCGAAAATAGTAATGGAATCTATTGTGCTAAGCCTTGCCTGGCTGCCTACTAACATAAAATGTGACTTCTTGGTGTTAAGAGGAAGTTGATTAAGTTTCATCCAGTCGCAAATGTGTATATAGCTTCACTTATCCTAGGAGTGTTCAATGCAAAAAAATATGCAGAGCGAAATACAAATGGAAAGGATAGAAGTTAATGGAGTTGTAACTCGGAGTTTCACGCACTTAGGCATGGGTCGCACTTGAGACAAAACTTAGACAAGTTTGTTTTGATAACCAAAAAATCCGTCAAATTCCTGTCATCAGTTGACCACGCCAAGTGCGACCTACTTGTCTCGACGCAGACAAAAACTTGTCTACGGAGACAAATCTTCAAAAGTGCCGTCGTCCTGCCTCGGAGCACGACTTTTTGCGAACAACAAACAAAAATTGTTTTTCTTGCAGTAAACCTGTCAGTCAATTCAGTGAACCTTAAAATTTTTTCCGCTTCACATTTCACTTGTTGTTGTGACTTTCGTATCGTTCACGGCTAATAATGAATCCAGGATTTCGAAACAATTTTCCCTGTTTTTGGGACATCCATTCTGATCAAATGATGAACCCAAATGAAGCACAAGACCGCTATAGGCCAGGGCAATTGTTCTTGAGGCAGCAAATTCCGCAGAACACCTTTCCACCAGCGACGGCAGTTTTGGCGCCCTTTCAGCCTCTCCAACCGGCACAAGCAGGCTGCTCTGGCACTGCACCACTGCCTCTAGCTCCCACGCCACCTAAAACACCAGAACCCCAAGAGGGAAAGCGACGTCCTCGACGCCTCCTTCGACGTTGGTTCCACAAAAGAAGTTGCGCTTGAAGTGCTCGTATTTGTATGAGCGAAGAAAGAAGAATGACTCTTTGAGCATCGTTAGCTGCATTTGCGTTGAGAACATAGAAATAAAAACCTAGAAACAGAGCGAACTGGCGCGGATTCATTGCGTCGTTCTATTCTACACATTGAGCGGGAAATAATAATTTATGCGGTAAAATTAAAAAAAAAAGCGCTAGAAGTGACAGGTCTTATGTTTACTTTACGTTGATGTCTCTGATGTTTGTCTCTACAGTGCGACCGCAAAACAACAACATTTTAATTGTCTCGGACAAGTTCTGAGACAATATTGTCTGCGATATCTTCAGACATTTCAAATATTTGTCTCAAGTGCGACCCCAACCTAAGCGATCATCAGACTGATGATCTGATGATCGCATAGTGAGTGAAACTCTGAGTTACAACTCCATTAACTTCTGTCCTTTCCATTTGTATTTTATATATTATAAACATTAGCGGGCCCAGGATAGAGCCCTATGCAACTCCGACATATACGGCAGAGAGAAGGGAGAAATCAGGACCGGACATTTCTAGGGTGATACAGCTTGAGCAGATAGTGATACAGTAGAAAAGTTTTCGGCGACTTTTTGACCGATGCTCACAAAAAAGCAGTTTAAAGTGTTGTCAATAGAATAGGTGAGGGTTACAACAACTCCATCAGAACACAAATTTGTGATATTACCAGAGGTCTTAGACGAGGGTAAAGTCTTTTTTAGCGCCTTTCAAAATTCCTTTTCATTTCCTTGACTTTCTTGAATGCCAAGGGGATTAGAGACGAATCTGCTGTAATGGATTTGACTACCTCGAAAATCAATCATTTTTCAAAAGGAGGGTGCTGTTGTACGTTGTGTCCAAAAATATTCATTTATATATTTAGTTCTAAGAATTTTTTTTTGCCAGTAACACAAAGTAGTGTTTGAAATGTACGATAGATAGAATAAAACCTATCTCCTATTGAAATCTTTCTAGGGCTGGCGTGCAGTGTGGGTTAGTTACGATGAAGGTCTTTTGAATGGTAGAGCTGACATGACCACTATGAAGATAACTGCTCCAACAACTTCAGAGACCACTCACCCATTGTACTTTGATCTTATTCGCCTGGTCGAAAACATATCTAGGCAGTCACGTGACAAAGTCGTTCCAACACTCGACCCAGACCTGTACAATCCAAATAATTTCTGGCAGCAAACGTACCGATGGAGTCAGGTTAGTTTTGTTTATTTAGTCTTTCTTTGGTTTAAGGTGGCTCGACTGGATTTTTTTGGGGGGATACCTCCCAAGTTTGAGCATTAATTACGTCGCCATGAGTAAAGATATGGAAAAAAGGTTTCCACAACTGTATTATATAAAGATGAAAATTTCTTATGATCTGGATTTTATTGCAATCGGAGTCGCCATGGCAACGTAACGACGCCATTTGGTTTTTTATTTATCTTTGTCTTTCTCTGCACCAGGAGTTTTTTTTAAGAAATCGCTTAAGGGAGTTTGTACCTGCCATAATTGTCTCAATTATTGCAAAGTTTGAACAAATTCTATGAGAGCATTTTTGAAATATTTGGAAACGAAGTTTTAAGCACCATATAAACAGTGAAATAGCATGCTATCCACACAGTTAGCTAATTTTTAAAGAAAAAGATAAGCTTTGGAAACGCAGCTTCGTCTCATAGTGGTTTGATTCCATTGAAAACTGTGTACAAACACAGCGGGGAATTGCTGTGGGCGATCGCGAGTAAGAAGGATTTTATTAACTTGCATTCAGCTGCTTTTGTTACAGTTTTTGCACGTAATTTGGTTCACGCCTACAAATTTCGCATTTTGCAAAAAAACCGCTAGATAAATTTTTTTATAAATTGGAAAATCCCGAGATTAATCGTCAATAAATATAGCCTGCGAGTTTTAAGAACATTGAAAACAGGGAAGGCTTTTAAATAGGGCCTCAGATATAACCAATTTTTCCCCCAGATTTTGTGTTTACAAGTGAGCGTTCACATTATTCACTGGCATTGTTTTCAAGTTTCATATGCACGTGCAGATTTAGCAAAAAGATAGAATTTGCATCAAAAAGGACCCCCGTTTAAATCTCCAGAATATGCTAATAACTGGGTAAAGAAATTAGTGATATATTCTAACATCACAGCAAGATCTTTGTAAGAGTTTCTGTGATGTTATAACCCGAGTAAGATAATTAAGTGTTACATCCTACAAGATGAGCCGTGACGTTCACTGTCTCGGCTCTCACTGCTATCTGTGACACAAGCCAGTTATTAGCATATTCCGGATATTTCTTCCGAAAGTAATCGAGAGTTCTTTTTGGTGCAAATTTATTTTTTTTGCTAAATGTGCACGTGCATATGATTCTTGAAAACAATGCCAGTGAATAATAAGGACGCAACACAAAATCTGGGGGGTAAATTGGTCATATTTGAGGCCCTATTTAAAAGCCTTCCCTGTTTTCAGTGTTCTTGAAACTTGCAGGGTATATTTATTGACAGTTGATCTCGGGATTGTCAAATTTATAAAAAAATTTATCGAGCGGTTTTTTAGAAAATGCGAAATTTGTAGGCGTGGACCAAATTACGTGCAAAAACTGTAACAAAAGCAGCTGAATGCAAGTTAATAAAATTCTTATTACTCGCGATGGCCCACAGCAATTCCCCTCTTTTTTTGTACTCAGTTTTCAATGGAATCAAACCACTATGAGATGAAGCTGCGTTTCCAAAGTTTATCATTTTCTCAAAAAATTAGCTAATTGTGTGGATAGCATGCTATTTCACTGTTTATATGATGCTTAAAACTTCGTTTCAAAATATTTTGAAAACGCTCTCATAGAATTTGTTCAAACTTTGCCATAATTGAGGCAATTATGGCAGGTACAAACTCCCTTAAGCGATTTCTTAAAAAAACTCCTGGTGCAGAGAAAGACAAAGATAAATAAAAACCAAATGGCATCGTTACGCTGCCATGGCGACTCCGATTGCAATAAAACCCAGATCAAAAGAATTTTTCAACTTTATATAATACAGTTGTGGAAACCTTTTTTCCATATCTTTACTCATGGCGACGTAATTAATGCTCAAACTTGGGAGGTATCCCCCCCAAAAAATCCAGTCGAGCCACCTTAAGGTTTGTTAATTTGTCATTCTATCTATCCTGCAAGCAAATGTTCTGCTCAGAAAATCAAGAGAGGACTGCGATAAAGAAAACGAGAGCTCAACCAAGGGGTTCAAAAATACTTTTTGCTTTTCAATTCTTCAATGCTCTTGAAATGAAATGTGATTTTAAAATACATTTCTGAATTTGAGTTTATCCAAGAGAACGAGAATGAGATTTCATGACGAAGATAAAGAGAGCCTGGTAGCTAGAGAGGAGCGGCCTGTAAGTGAGCCTGGTTTCTTATCAATCTATTTGCATATTAACACGTAACATTTTGTGTCACAAGGCAACGCCAACAACTGTAGACACTACCATGACTCCAAGTATGGAAAAATTGTCTGATTTGACCTTGATCGAGAGGAGATTGGACAACTGGTTCCTGAAGCAGTCACAGACTTCAACTCAATTTACAGGAAATGTAAAGAAACGATGGGATTCGCTTCAAGGCGACGTGTACGATGCACTCACAAAGTTTTCTTCACTGAATGTTGCCAAAAGTACTTCAAGTAACATCATCACAGGTGAAAAAAGCCTCAGCCAAAAGATTCGATTAAGTACAAACATGGTAAATATTTTAAATAGGATGAGGTCGTTAAACCGAAATCTGCGAAAGATACTTTCATACATCCATCTTCAAAGATTTTCAAATGTTTAAAGATTAGAATTAAGAACTTTGAGAAAAGAAGATTAGATAAATATGCTAACGAAGGAATACTTAGCACACAGCCTCATTTTCCAAAAAAGGCCGACAAAATCACACTTAATTTAATCAGTATAAAAGGATGTGTATCATTCCTTTGAGTGTATTGTTTTGACGTATTTCACCCCGTAGGCACCCCACTCTATTGTGACAGGTCGGAATATTCCGCCGAAAAATTTGGTTATGTCGTGAAGGAAGTTCTTCTTCCACTGGTACTGGATTATCACGTGAGATCACGAACCAATGAGGTGGATGCTGTAGCCTCTGCAGAGGTGACTAACCTGAATGGAGATACCAGTGTATTTAACGCTGCTGTTAAGGTATGAAAAGTTCGGTGGTGGTACTTCCAACATGTGACTTGAAAAACAACAAAACTACCTTGCAGTCAAAAAGGAGTCCTTTTAAAATTAAATTTCTCTACGAGGTTTTTCCAGACATATGTAAAGATTACAGTCTTAGTTACAATTATTGCTACCTGGGACCATCATCAAAAACACATTAAGTGAGAGGTCATTTATGGCGGTTGCTCCTAAACTTAGGAACAAGCTGGCAACTTATATTAAGAACAGTAAATATTGTGTTTATTTCAGAGAATAGCGGGTGATAATTCAGATATGCAACAGGCATTCACTACTGCTTTAGGTCCAGCGAATCCATCATACACAGCGATGAAAGTCAAAGAGGCCATCACTGCTCTTAACACCAAGCGGAAACAACGATTGATGCTTCTTCTTGACTATATTGAGGATCAAGGTTGGTTAGTTTAGGTTTAACTACCATAATTTACAATGTCAGTTTCATAAAATATGACAACATGAGCAAAAGGTATTTTCCTATACATAGCATTTGAGTTTTCACCCTTAGCTGACACCTATCGCGTAGGCCACATAGAACCATATTCAACGAAACAACCAAAAGAGCCATTGTTTGCTCTACCAATGGATCCCTTCCCTGATCCAATCGGCCACACAATACATGAACTTGTACCCAGACCTTAACTCCTACAAAGTGTAAATATTCTTTTTTCTTTCTCTTACGTTTCAGGTTTTACTGAGGGCAGTGCAATTGGATCCTTGGTTCACGAAATGAACAATGCAGGAGCGGGTTACATGAATTCAGTGTATTTGTTAAAGCAAGTTCTGCAAGATGCAGGAAAAAAGGAGAATTATGTCGCGACTATGAAGTGGTACAATGACTTTGGAGAAATATATCAAGATCCGTTTGAGTACGCTGGAACAACTGCTGATCGAATGAGAACCATTTCGATTTTTCGGTAGGTTAAACACTTAATACCATACAAGAGATGATAAAGGGGACAGAGAAGGAATCCCCCATACACACCCTATTCCATAGGTAATTCGTCTCGAGTTATTTTTAGAATCGGGATAAAGTTACCTCGCGCGCTGCGTGGATGTTTGGTGGAGGTTTCGCATGACTAAACGCCGTGCAAAACATGTCGTGCGAAAGGCAATGAAAGCGTACAGAGATCGAGAGCATTCCTGAATATTGAAGCGAAATGAGTCGGTGCTCACCTGGGTAAAGGGAATCGCTGGACTCTTTGACAACCCGTGAAATCAGTTTAACTCGAAGTTGTCGTAACCTCAGTGCTTTACTAAAGTGAGAAATTTCGCCGGTCTATTGAAACCGGTCGTTTGTACAATAAAGCAAGTAGGACGCCAAGTGTTTTTTTTGTCGAATAATAAAAGACTAATAAAAGAATAAATATTAAACCAGAAATTGCTCTCTTCAAACTGTAAATTATAAATGATCCTGAGAGAATATTCAGTGTGTTAGCTTTGTATACAAGAGAGGAAGGGCGATTCTTTTTTAATTTTCATTTCGCTGACACTGCTTTAGTGGAAATCTCTCTTTAGTCGTTTTCGTCGACAAATCGAATAGCAATATCGTTCTCCGCGTCTTCCGACATTTTTTTCTGCGTCAATTTGTGAAGGACGCGTGACTCTGAGCGTGGGTCATCCACCCGGAACACATTCGCGCTATGTGATTGGCTGTTGTTTAATCCCCCTTGGGATCTGTGGTCTTAAAAATAACTCGAGACGAATTACCTATGGAATAGGGTGTGTATGGAGTATGCTTTCTCTGTCCCCTTTATCCTCTCTTGTGCCATACTAACGTTTTCATACCACACTTCCACATCTTACAATTAATCAGTAAATATTTTTTAAGACACCTGTAGCCTGTACGGTTTTGTTGAGGGCTTTTCTCGGTACTTTTACACTCAGCTTTAACAGTGTAGGCCAGCTCATCCAATCACTAAAGGGCTAGAAAAATGGTGTATTGTTTCACCATGAAATCAGCTCAGCTTCCGTTGTCACTGTGTGCGGAACTCTTTTTACCCATCGGGTTTTCCTTCAGAAACGTCCAGTCCATATTTTTAAAAATCTCTCTTTAATTTATACTTTTACTGTGAAAAAACAAATAATAATAATTCTAATAACAACAACAATAATAATCGAAACTTGAACATTGGAATGGGCTACACAGTACCTAATTTTTAAACTTAATTCCCCCTTTGTCCTGTGAACATCTTGCATTTATCTTTATATTCTTTTATTTCGCAGCTTGTTTGCTGTTCTTATGATGCCTTCCTCTACAGCAGAAGAAAAACACGCGAAAATCCGCGACATGGAAGCGCTTGTTCAATGGTACGCGAACGCTCTGTCAACTAATGAAGGATTAGCTGGTGTCCTAAAGCCTGATTTCCTTGCGTTTCATCACAATGGCTACTACGCTTCTGCTTATACACCACACGCCGTGCACATGGGAGCACTCATCCAATATCTGCTCAGCGGGACCGCGTTTGCATTGGGTGAGAAAACATCACAAGTAGCAATACTTCGACGAGGCTAAAATGTTTGATACCAAGTCAATCAAGTACAAATACTTTTATATTGAATGACCACTTTGTCGGAGTATACCAGGGTACTGTGACTGTTAAAATCTATCTCGCCATAAAAAGAAGTTTAGTTTTTAATATCTTATGTTATTCAAGTTAGGTAGGAAATAACTGCCCTAAAACTCAGTAATGCTTTATTTCAGTTTATTTATTTATTTTTGTTATTTAAAGATGCCGAGACAATGCAAAACATAAAGAAAGGACTGGAGATAATGAGGGTCGTTTCAGTCAAGTATTCCTCATCGAGCAGTGTTGGAGGCCGATTTCCAGTATTTACTCGTGCAATTCTGGCCAAAAATTTCCCTGGTTTTGCCTATTACGCTGCGACTGCTCCAAATTTCAACAGTGATGGATCCCTAGGAGAAATTGTCGCCATTGACAGTGAAAACGTCAAGCCTTTCTTGCGGCTATTTGATACAAGTACTAGTGCCTTTTAAATTCTTTAATATACTATGATGTGAAATGAATGGAATATTTCTTTATTGTGGAGAAGGTAACAGATTCTCTCTTAACGTTTCCACATGTGTTAGCAAAATTTTTAACAATTTTGGATAAGCAGAGACGGTATCATTCCTTAGGTCAGAAAATCAACATTCACGAAGGTGTGTTGCCACATTAATCAAGTAAAAACATTTCAATACAGCAGTTGGTCCTAATTTTGCCTAATATATCATTGCCAAAACTAGCTTTAAGGCTGACTCTATTAAAGAGGTGAGTGAAACAATACCAGTTGCATCTTTCCTCTGCAGGTGAAAGTAGTGTCAATGACTACTTGGCTGACGGAACAATTTTCACTTCAATTTATTACTTGAATTCACTTGGCTCCATAAATATCATGGAAGAAATTAAAAGCAAGGCAATGACCATGAGTATCGAAGCAGAAGCCTCCCCTAAGGGATTATGGGCACTTAATTACGGGGCCTTTGTCGTCCACCGACGATTTGATTGGGCAGTCTCTGTTAAAGGATTTAACAGCTTTGTTTGGGATTTTGAGTCATCGGGCAACCAAAACGTGTATGGAATATACCAGAGTCACGGAGCACTTCTAGTTGCGAACAGCGAGGCGTCTCTTAAAACTCTCGACATCGACAACGGCTGGGACTGGACACGACATCCGGGTACAACCACTATCAAATTGCCGCTCACAGACTTGGTCAGCGGAAACCGCAGGTTTTTATTTTGTTTAGTTTTCACCACCTATAATCGGGTAGTTGACAGGTCAATCACAGTTTAGATCAGATCACATGGCAACTAAAAGAGTTAAAGAGCATTTACTAAAATCAGATCTCAGAAAACTCGCAAGGAAACACTCCAGCCTTTCTTGGTCTCTGTACCACGTGACTGGCTTTATGCGTAAAACGAGTTACGCACATGACAATGCCCTTACTACACAGTAGAAGCTTATCATTAAGATTCTCAAAAACTGCTTACTGAAAAATACGATAAATCAAACATGTTTTAGCCTTCCAAAAGAGTCCCTTTGACAAGTAGGCTAATTTAAAAGAATTTGAGGTTAATTTGAAGACATCAATTATTTTCTGAAATCACATGAAAACCCGAAAAGGAGGGCGTTAGGCTAGCAAATAAAGGCACATGTTGCATTATGGGCCTAAAGATATCTACAGTCAACCCCCTCTCTAGGACGGGCACCTTTGATGCATGCGCAAAGTGCACGTTTAGGAGTGATGTTCGTCTTAAAGAGAGACGAATGAAGGGAGTAAAGAAAGGCAGGTGTTCGTTTTACCAAGTCTTGTAGATGTGTCCGTCAAGAGCGACTAACGAATGCCTTCACTTATCGTCACCTATAGATATTATCAATCTGAGAAACTTGCTGGCGGAGTTAGATTGGTAGGTAGTGGAGACTACTCTACAGGAATGTTTTCAATGGAGTTTTCTCAACCTGACTACGACTGGGATGATGGTGCCTATCAAAACAACATCGAGTTCACATTTAAGAAGAGCGTCTTCTTTGCTGATAATCTTACAATCTGTCTTGGCTCTGGTATTTCCTCTTCGGGCAGCAACTCGCACATCACTCAGGTATCATGTTTATTACAAAAAAAAGGCATTTCCTTTATTTCTCTACTGATTAATTAATTTATTTTCAAAGTTTGCAATACACAAAACGGTAGCGGTCAAACAAAAGTGTCGCCTGTAAGATGGGGACATCGTTTATCCTTCCTTGATCCTAAAGGCGACGTAGCGTGAGGGTTCTCAGTTTTCATGAGAACCAGAATTCTTACTTCTTCAAGAATAATTTAATTTAAGGCTACCGAATACCTTCAGATCGGAGTATGACTTTTATACGTTCAAAGAAAAAAAATAAGGAAAAAGTAGGTATTTGCGAAGCGTTTAAAACCTTTTCATGAGCCAAACCTAACTCGAATTAAGGCCAAGCCAAATGATTTAGATCGGCTGAATTGATTCAGACCCCCCTAATATCAGGGTCTAGATGACCGCCCCTACCCCCCCTTAATAGGCCATTTTATAGTGATAGATGGAAGCTAGGCTGACGTTGACCTTGTCTTGATACAAACCCTCCTGCTTTATTATGTAAATCAAGTTATTCTTATTCTTACTAGTATTTTCAAGGACAATAGGCCCTTTGCACTAGCCAGCCATTCACATGGTACAAAACCTCCGTGCTGGAGAGCAAAAGTCGCACAGGGACAAGACAAACAAAGAAAATTACCATTTAAAATTATGTATCTTTTGTTTCAAAGGAGGTTTGAATCAAAACAAGGTCACCGTCAGCCTCACATTCACTCGAAGGCTAGGGTACTAAGTCCACAACTGTAAAATGGTCTGTTCAAGGTGTGGATCAGCCACTGTGAGCTGGACTTTACATTTGAATGGAAAACATCCAATTAAAAAATATCGGGGATTTTTTTATTCCCAAAAAGTTAATTTTATTGAGAAGCAAAATAAATGTTTTTCGGCAACTTGACGCCATAATGACATTTCGAGGCATACAAATTTCTCCTTACAGACATGTAAAGAGATTGTACAAACAGTTTTGTTTTTGTTTTTTCTTTGCTGGACAGACTTCTTTGTTTCAAGTCAAGTTGCTGGACTCTGATAATCCATCATCGATCCGCATAAATGATTCATCGCACTCTCTTAATACAGACGTAACTAGAGAACCTTCATTCTTTGACGGAACACTGCCAGCCTCTCTGTATGATGTAAATGGTAACTGTCGTGTTCATACATATTTCGTCCTGTTTAGTGCGAATAATTTGTAACGATGATGAGGGGCTGAGGAATAACGAGGAATTTGTCGTTCACAGCAAACGGATCTGATGACCACGAGACCACATGTATGACCATTTTCTTGGCCGTTTATTGGCTTGATGTTTGTCATTACCCGTCCACGTTTAAAGTAACGTGAAGAGTATTGTTTTCACGTTCATAAAAAACGCGAGTGAGAAATTCACTGATCTATCGTTCTCAGAATCAGTATACAGCGAACGAAGTTTCCTGTTTGCCCTAAAGCGTGCGCTGTTGGAGATAACATGACAGCTTTAAATATTTTTTCTGTTTTAATCATCTTATCTCTTTCAACAGTGCAGTGCAGTAGACGTAAAAGTCAAATCACATATCATCAAATTCAAATTTTCATAGCGCTGCTAACCTATCTTACAAAAACACTACGCAGATTAAGAGTGCAGAGTATGATTTTGTTGTCGGACTATTGACAATCACTACTGGATGTTTCAGTTAACATAATGTCCTTTTCGTAAAGTATTAGTCTATTGTGTATTTATTTAGTCTTTTTAATCTATTTCATTACTATTTTAGTTTAGTTAAGGGCACTGTCATCACACTGATATATCAAACACTTATAATGACGATAATTTCATTGCTGTTTGTTACGTTTGTATCAGGAAATGGTTATTACATTCCTAACGCGAATGAACAAGGACTAAATGTTAAAATCAGTCTCCAAACGTCCAGGGACAATAGGGGAAGAAAGGACACTTCAGCAAGATATGCAACAGCATGGCTTGACCATGGAGTAAATCCAACTAACAAAGGCTATGAATACGCATTTATCGTGGGTACAAAACCAAGCACTATTCGGGTAAATATGTAGACATTCACTGCAAATTTGACCGCTGAGTGTTATTATTACGCTGGCATGTTTTTGGTGGAAAGGGCCCTTGACATGTGTTGTTAGCTACAATGCAACTGCATGGCTGATAATTTTTTCTTCGCAGATGCGAATTTAATTCGTACAAATATTTCTTTCCAACAAGGCTACCTGACGGTAAACTTTTTTATCCTATTGCGATAACTTTGTAAATCAAAAACGCAAAATAGGAATTTTTCAAAGAAAAACTTGTCAAGGGACCAATCGCAGATCTGAAGTGAATGAAGGTTGGTGGCATTTGTGCTCAAAAGATGGGTTGGCTTGCTTTTCTCTTTTATAGTTGTTTCCTGGACAACAAGCGGGGCAATTTATAGCAAGTGGCTTTCCCCCGGCATACGAAGTAATTCACAAGGACAATAAAGCTCACGCAGTAAAGATCAATGACTGCCCAAGAAAAAACGACACTCAGTGGGGATATGCATTCTTTGACAAATCTGTTCGCACTCCTGGTCCTGTAAGGCGGGTTACTAAGGTAAATTTATAAACATTTTTTTCGACACGGCTTATTCCGGGATGTTTGTGGTGAATACTTTAACTCTCTGAAAGGAAGGAGTGGTAAAGAACAGGGCTGACATGGGACCATAACAGTAACATTATAGTGATATTCGCCATATAGCACCTCCACAAACAAACTACACTTGCAATTCAAAAGCATTTCAAGTATCTTAACTATCTAAACTACACCGTTATTGAGAATGATCATTGTTTCAGAGAGCGACACAGGTGGCTCAGACGAAAAGCTGAGTATTCTCAACAGGAGAATAACCTATCACTGTCTGGTGACTAGTCCAGATGCTCTACCACGGAGCAACAGGAGACTTATGGGAGCTGAGGCCGATAAACTAGGCTCATGTGACAAACATCCTGCATATTGCGAGGACTGGAATGCCGATTATACAGGCGTTATTACAAAAAAAATCGCATTGAAAGTTGTGCGTCAATAATGGATTTTCGCATTGATTTCTATTACCTACACCAAGACTTTGACGACACCCAACGATACATTTCTGCTTTCCAAACGTCTCCACTTTTAAGAAGGTTTCCGAAAACCCAAATGTTTCGGTGTAGACGGAAGACCAAACGAATAAAAATGTGAGCGAGTTGCTTAGATGTATTTTTTTCCCACAGCACCCTTGTCTTGTGATGTTTGAAGAAGACGACGAAGACAACGTGTACGTTTCTGTGTCGTACCCAAATCTAAATTTCAACATCAGTGAACCTTTGACGATTGGAAGCCGTGTCAATGCTCAGCAACTGTTTTACTCTGTCAGCATGTCAGAGGATATTGAGGTAGGCATATGAAAATGAAAACCATTGTAGTAGTTTGACCCGGACGAGCCTGCAGTGCTGATACACAACTCTTCCAGCAGTGGCGGATCCAGAATTTCAGATAAGGGGGGAGAAGTGGGGGGTGGTCATCCAGACCTTGAGGTAAGATAGGACTAGCCCTCAGTGCTGACATTAACTCCAGCAGTGTGTTCAGGAATTACCTGCAGCGCTGACATCAACTCTGCCAGTGTGTTTACGAATTGCCTTTTAGTGCGCTGACATCAACTCTACCAGTGTGTTCAAGAATTGCCTGCAGTGCTAACATGAACTCCAACAGGGTTTTTAGGTCTAGCCTTTAGTGCAGGAGTAATGATTGTTTGGGCATCAGGGCAGTCAGTATTTCATTCCTGCAATGAGCATTTGTGATTTTGACCCGCAGGGGAAGATTGGGTAAAGCAACATTAAAACAGTACAGTGAGTAAAAAGTGTTGGATGGAAGATAAAATCTTAAACAAAATTTCTTGGTGATTATCTACCTCGGTTTTCAGTTCATCGTCTCCAAGTCTGGCATGAATATCCAGGTTTTAAATGGGAGGATTCTAGACATTGTCAATGTTTGTATTATTACAATTTTAATTGCATGTTGCTAGAGTGGGTTTTTTCTTTTTTTGGGCATCAGAAAAGCCACATAACATTTGTTAAAGCCAAGAGCCACAAATGAATAAAACGTTTTGTCAAAAACCTTCTTTTTGAGAATCTCAATCACTTACTGGACTGGACCACGTGACTTACCGAGTGCCATCTTCTTTGAATTCTTGCTTAGAGTTAATTCTTTTTTTTTCTATTTTACTAAAAGATACACAACATTTCTTAAACCACATTATCTCTTCTTTGGTTATTCTGTATCAGGTGTTTTTCCCAAAAGACGTCGAGCTCAGTATCGGTGATGTCAGGGTGAATGGTGAAATTGTACCACAAGGTGCAAGAGGTGATCATGTAGAGGCCATTCCCAGAGGAATGGATCCTGCCAGGACAACATCACGTCGAATCAAATTCAAAGGTCTGTCGAAAGGATTCAGTAAAGAAGTGAAACTCAGGAGACCTTCTGCCCAAGCCAAAAAATGATTGATTTTACCAACCTGAGCTTCCGTTATAACTAACAAGTAAAACAAATTTCTTTTTCCTCTCCCTTTAATTCTTGGAAAAGTTCGTGATTTATGGAAACATGTTATACAGAGAGCGTTTTCACTCACGTGACCAGCATCTATACAAATTTAATAAACTAAAAGACAGTGTTTACATAAGAAGGGAAATCAACTCCCACCAACATGGCCGCCATTTTATTGTTTGGACACCAATATGGCCGCTGTGACGTCATGTGAAAACGCTCTATTGTGCTGTTATCACACAATCTAAGGAGGCACTTAAAAAGTTCACATTTTCACATAAAAGCCACGCTTCTCTTTAATCTTCTACTGGCTAAAAATGACTGGTTGGAAAGCCAAATTACTTTTACCGCACACTTCAGTTATCGGAGCTTACATGGTGTTATTTCCTTTGTTAAAAGGCGTTGAGGGTTTTAGTTTGTTGAGTGGTGACGTCATGTTATCCCTTTGTAGAAGCAATGAAATAAAACTCAGTTATACAAACTGACTTATTGTGTGTGTGAAGTCCTTGATCAAATATGATGCCATTAACAATAGAAAAAATAAGCTGAATATTTCCTATGTGAACAACCAATTTGCTCAATTAGTAGCCCACGGCCTGTCGGCAAAATAAACAGATTACAAACCTTTTAAATGAGAAATTCCTAATAAGTCAACTCTATATAATCGCTCTTTCAACTGTCCCTTATTGGCCCTTATTCTATCCGTCTAAACAACGTTTTAGTTCCTTTTTGAGATCATTTCCCACTCTTTGATCTTCTTCACGAACCAAGGACTCTTTAAAGTTTATAATTAGAGCCACTCCGTTCAAAGTTGATTAAAATTAATTTGAACAAACACAGCGGAAGATCTAAGTATTGGCAGATGCCGCAACGAAAGCAATAACATCTAACTCAATTATCGAGAAGATTATTTTCTTTACACTGGAAAACTTTTAATTCGAATTAAAATTAAAACGTATTACAAAAAAATTTACGTTTTAGTCTTTCACCATGACGATTTTTCTATGTTTTTCTTCAAATCTGCTCGGTGAGTTTCTCGCTAGTGAGTAATATAGGAACCGCTTAATATTACGGCTCTATTACGGTATACACTTCACAAGTCAGTCCAGCACTGTACCAAAACATTTCAGAAGTCTCTTAGGACCTTGACGGTAATTACTACTAAAAGTAACACAAATAATGGGGTTTAGGGCAGAGTTTATGCACATCAAAAAGTAAGCAACGTAATGGAATAATTTGAAAATACAAGACGTCACGAGACCCGATGCAAAAATCTGCATTAAATGACCAACATTGTAAGGAATCCAACAAAGCAAAAAGGCTGTCACTATTGCAACGGCCATCTTAAGCACATTCCTGTTTCTTCTTGTGCGCTGTTGTTCGGCGATTGTTGAGAGTTCACCTGGAAGAGACTGTTTCTTGAGTTTGATGAGGATGATAGTGTAAAAGGTGACTAACAGACCAAGAGGGATGTAATGGAACACTATGTATACTGCTAGAAAATGGTTCTCTCCCAAATGATTTTCACATTGCCTTCCTCCTGGGTGTTTTAAGGCGAGTATATTTGGTGAGTAAACGGCCATAGCAACGATCCAAGTGGCTGGAATGAGAAAGGAATACAGCTTACGACTGATTAATGGAGAACGAAGAGGAAATGTCACAGCTACAAATCGATCCACTGCAATCAGAACAAGGCTCTGAATTGACACACTGAAGGAAACATATGACAACAGAAGTACAACCTTACATATAGCCTGGTCAACAGAACCACCAATAAAAAACGAATGGAACTCTGCCAGACGTGAGGAGAACAGTACTACTGGAAAGAGAAAGTCAGACATGGCCATGTTTACGATCAAATAATTTATGGGTTTTCTCAAGGTCGCTGTTTTATAAACGAGTACTGCGATCAATGAGTTTCCAACCAGCGAAACAACGAGGGTTACACTCCAAAAGACGGTTTCTCCCATTTTTGCCGCTGCAGGATTATTAATAAGCCTGGAGCTGAGGCTTGATCCGTTGGTTGTTGTGTTCATGTTTGCGGCCTTCACACTCTAAAGCTCCGCTATTTTCGTACAAGCCTAAATTGCTTTGCCTAAGAGCTACCAAATACCATGTTTACCTTTACTTTATTATTAGAGGTTGTACAATTTAATTACTTTAAGGAACGAGTCTGTCCGTACCACCTGCAGAATCCAAAATGAAAAAGAACAAACTAGTTGATGATTTAGACTGTCAAGAGCCAATCACGACAACGGATGGAAGAAGCCTACTGAGTGTCATTTCCTACATGTACGTGTATGTAAACAAGACAACAAAGGGCAGCCAGAGAATAGTAAATTTTATTCCCAATTAATTGCGCGAAGCAATCCTTGTTTATAATTATCTCGATTCTACTTCTTGGCCAGCCGTCGGAGTTTTTCTCTCTTATTTTTGTTGCAATGTTTCTTCCAAGGCTTGTAAGGCATAGCGCCGTCTTGTCCAGAGATCACTCCCCCGAGCGGCCTGGGTCCAAGCGTAACACCACGCGAGAAGCAACGGACGTGTTCCTTAAAAGAAAAGATCAAAGACAGCTTTTGCGAAAAATAAAACTCCATGGGATTACTTTATGTTTGAACTGATCTGAAATGTTAAAACAGCTCAGGCCTACATGATTTTTTCATGGGGAAAAATGTGCCTCCTGTACAGTTTACTAGGATGTCCCTCAAAAACAAAACTATTATTACATGAAGTACCGGAAGGGTCTGTTCTGGGACCCTCGATGTCTCCGCTGTTTTTCTGTTCTTCACAAACGACCACTCAAAGAAGGTCATTCTGTGGAGAATTACGTTTACGCAGACGAAACAACGAACTTTTGTGTCGTAAAAAATTGAAAATAAACACACAATAACATTCTCGCAAAGCTCTGGAAAAAGTGTGCAACAAGTGTTAAACCAGACAAGGGCAAGGCAATCAGTGATCGTACAACGGTAATGCTAAGAACGATTCCTTGCACAACAAAATCGGTTCAGATCACACTGCAAATGAAACGAAGCCCTTTGCGTACGGCCGGCATAAGCATTTTCTTTCTCGGAAGCAACTGGAGGACGTCTACAAGAAGGACTGACTAAAGGTTATAACGAAATCGGTTACATACCGACCGTCTGGTGGTCTGGGGATCATTGAATAAGGCACAGTTCAGTAACCTGGAAGAACTACAGCTGACACTGAGCCGGTTCATATGGATTGCCATGATGTCACCAAGCGTAGAAAATGGGTGAGACGTGCAGTTTACATAAAAGGTACAAAGAACGGTCGACGGAATTTGCCAGAACTGAAGGATATATTTAGAGAAATTCAGCTCGCGAAAGTGGAAGAAATGGAAATAATATCCTTTCTATACCAAACGCGAATATTTCCCGGAACTCCATATTATAGAGGAGAGAGGGGTAAAAAACCTGGAACAGTCCATCTCGGACAACCAAGCAAGCGCCTTTTAACTAACCTTTGGTCCCATTGAGGGCGTAATCAAACAGAAGGATAAAGTTTGGAATATTTTAAAATTTAATTTAATTTTGCGTACATCATAGTTATTTGAATTTTCAACTATTATGTTTATACTTTACCACTTGCAGCTCTGCCGATTAAATTTATTGAGCTAAAATAACGTAACAGGCCATTTCCGAGTTCCAAACACTCTCACTTTCAAAACGAGGCTAACTGCAAAACCTTTCTTGGGTTTAAACGGCATGATAGAAAATCATCTTCATATCAGTGGCTTTGCACTTAGCCTCGTTTTTAAACAGAGGCTTGGGATAACTCGGAAATGGCGTGTACAGTTCAGTTCAAACATATCATCAGGACATGACTACCGGGGGGTTGCCATGGGGATGATAAACTTGCGTGACGCTTTTACTACGCGTGACTTTAACTGTACGAAAATAAACCTGTTTTTTGGCCCTCGCATTCTGGGACACGAAGATTTTCCATCAAAGAAGAAGATTTTTGGATAAAACGATAAGAAGGCACCCTAAGAAAAAATCTATACATCGAAGGTAACAACAAAACAAGGCTTTATAAAAATGGAAATACCTGTTTGAAGAAATCCTTGTCAACATCATTCATCTAAAAAAAAACGAACGATGGTCATTGAAGCAGGTGGCTGAGTAATCTTTTTTTTATTGTTAAGTTTAAGTACTTTCAACAACTAAATAAAAAAGAGGATTGCTGATCGCTTGAATTTGTTCAACGAGGGCTAAAATGGTACAAATTCTGCTGATGCCGGCGAAGCCAACAATGATGTATACAATGTGTCACCTGTCTGTGAACTTTATCTTTTTTGTTAGTTTCTTTGCCTTCAGCGTCGATAAGTTTCTGTACTTTGTATCCCATTTGTTCAAATTGTTTTTCGTCTTCTCCAGGAGGTGCAATGCAGTACAACAATTTTCCCTGCAAAAACATAAAAACAGTATTTCGATCGGAATCTTGAGGGTGACTGAGAACCGTAAATGTATGTCAATGCGAAAAAAATCTCCTATAAAGAGCAAATGCATGGATTTATAGGCACTGCTTGCATACAAATCTTGGCTAGCAAAGCTGACAATTAAATTGTTCACCTTGACGTAATCTTTCAGAATATAGCGAGCCGATCTGGAGCCGTCAGGGATTCCGTGTGAAGTCATGAAACCTCTGACATCTATAAACACAACCACCCCGAACGTAAACATGAGAGTAAAGATAGTTTAACAGGAATAACAACTTAAGAGTCCGGCATGATTTCACTATTTAAAAAATCCGAGTATAAAAACGACATAAAGATGGCCTAAAATAGCCATATACGGTTTTGTGCCTAGATTCAAGACGGGGAACGCTGGGTCAGTACGACCAAACCAACAACCTCAGTTTTGAAAATAGAACTGCAGTCCAAACCAGAAATGTTGCTCAATTATAGAAGTTCAAACTGAAACTGAACTGCAGCTGAACCAAAATTTCCAAGTAACATATTATTTGTTTACTTTCAAGCTTCCTGTTCCATAGTAATACCAAACAACTGACTTACGCTCGTATGCCGAGAGTAGTTCGTCTGCAAATGGTGCCCTGTTGCTGTCATCTTCTTCTTGTGGTGACGGAATAGTTATACCATAAACCACTTCAAGAACAGCGCGAGGAATTCTTTGACAGAGGTGAATATAGTTAAGGAAGCAGATACTTTCTTAAAAGAATTAATGTCCTAGCTAAGAACTGTTACAACATTGATAACTTTAAATTATAATGCCTCAACGCTCTAACAGTTTCAACTGACAAAACGCCAGCAATTGGGAAAAGACAACTAAGCTACAAGTGCTGAGGCATGATATCTCCTCAGAGTCAGCTCCTACAGTAAATTAGACAAAAGAATAACTAAGCATGCGTTTTCGGGTCATGTGACGCAAAAGAGCCTCCGTAGGTATTTATTTGCTTTGCTTCACACAAGAAATGGAAGACATACATGTGCTTGCACAGCAGGAAAAGTGACAAGCCAATGGAAGATATTCACTTTTGACAATATAGTTTCAAGACGAAAAAGATATAAGAGAAACTGGAGGAATATGGTCTCTCATCTGGTCGATTGGTAAAATGCCATTCAGAATCATGTCTGCTTTTGTTGAGACAAATGAAGGAAAAACCAGGCCTGGGCAGTCACACAGGAGTACCTCATCATTAACATACAGAGTCTGAAATAAAACATAATCACTTCCTTGTTAGAACAACATGCACCCACAATTTAAATTACAAACTCTAAACTCAGTAGTGGCAAGATGAGCAACATATTTTGAGGGAGGTACGAAGAAGGAGGAATGTAGTGTTTCATGGAAGCAGTTTTACATTTCTGTGAAATTTGTAAGCCCAAACTTCTGTTATGTTATCCTCATGACTTGTTGGTTCACAGCCTTACACAAAGTATAGTAAGTTATTATGTTATTACATATGACAACATTTTGGCTGGGTCATGTACTTTAAGTTGTCTTGATCAGTTGATCCCTTGATAGCCTGTGTAGTCTGCAGTGCATGAAATTAACATGGGCACAAGAAGATGGAAGATAAGTGTGCACATCGTTCTCACTTTCATCATCCTTTTTTAATTTTATTTCAACAGTGTCACGCACCTGAAAGTGTTTTGTTCGTCCTGGAGTAGCTGATACAGGAACTTTCTTGTCATTCAAAAGTGTGTTGATTGTTGAACTTTTCCCAACATTTGGATACCCAACCTGAAGGCATTCCAGTTCAAAAAATAAGCTTATTAGTAACAAAAATGCTACTTTTAAGCAACTGGACTGACAACCTTGGATGAGATTGAATTCTTAAAGTAGGTGCATTAGATTCTGGTCTCGCATCACAGGGCAAGTCTGTGATGCGGGAGATCATGATTACCAATTTAACTAAAAAGACTGGTAGAAATGTTCAACCAATCAGCTTGCTACAGGGCTTTTTAAAAAATTTCTTGCTCTATGGCACCTGTTTAGTCTACAAAATCTAAAAAGTATGAGCTCATTAAAATTTTACTTTCTTGTCAAAACGATTTTTAGAAATAAGTATTTACTGGGAATTGCTATGACAACTCTATCCTCTTATGAACTATATAACTTGAGAGATATGATTTTGGATAAAATAAGTCCGTTACTTTTGCTCCCTGGATTTTGTATTGTTTTTGAGCTTAAAACCAATAAGAAGTTCTAACGGGCAAATGTGAAGGCTACGTGCGTATATCCCAATGATTGACCTTACGACAGAATATTCAACCGATTAATATGCGTCTACTAAAGCGAAACCAGAGTTACTTGATCAGTCAGTAATGCGTCAATATCAATACAAGTGTAGAGCAGAGATGTTCAGTAAATTTTTTTTCCTGAGGAAATTGGACATAACAGGGCTGGGCAAAGATTCCAGGTAAAATAGTCAACTGAGTTACGACGCTTAGAAAGCCGCTTCTCTATCGATAACCTAATTCTAAAGTAAGTCTTTTTTACTGCAACAGGTGAAATGGAACAGTTAAAGCAACATTCTGTGGTAGTCTTCATTGCGCTTTTCTTGCGAAACATTCATGCTACGAGAACAGGTAACGCCTCTTTTTTTTCTTTTAGTTTGTTAACCATTATTCCTTTCGTCAGAAGTTCATCAGTCACTCTTTAGCTTCCATCAGTATTAAAAGCTTCTATGTTATTAAAGGTGAAGTCCTTTACACATCAGATCTCACCATTTTATTCTGCAGTTTATACATTTGAGAATGCTGATCACTTGATGGCCTTTAGTGCTTCATCATCATCTACATTGGAACGTTCTTCAACTCATTATAAGGACGGTACACATTCTATGAAGTGGACATGGACTAGTGGCAAGGAATTCACACATAAAAGCTTAAAAGCTGCCTCAAAGAAAGGTTTAAAGCGTTCCAATTATCTGCAGCAAAGTTTAATATAGTCCAAGGTCCCACTTTCTAGAAACGGAAGATTTACTGATATTATGCTTAGATCTAGTATTAACAGCTAAGTCAATAGTCTCAGATAAGAAGATACTTGAAAAAAAGCTAGTGACATCATAGGAGACTAAAAACATATCACTAAAGTAAAGTAAAGTGTAGGGTTAAGTCTTTTTGAGCGCCTTCCAAAATTTCTTTTCATTTCCTTGACTTTCTTGAATGCTGAGGGAATTAGGGACAAATCTGCTGTAATGGATTTGACTACTTCGAAAATCAATCATTTTCCAAAGGGAGGGTGCTGTTGTAAGTTGTGTCCAAAATATTTATTTATATATTTAGTTCTAAGAATTTTTTTGGCCGATAACACAAAGTAGTGTTCGAAATGTATGATAGATAGAATAAAAACTATCTTCTATTGAAATCTTTCTAGGGCTGGCGTGCCGGGTGGGTTAGTTACGATGAAGGTCTTTTGAATGGTCGAGCTGACATGACCACTATGAAGATAACTGCTCCAACAACTTCAGAGACCGCTCATCCATTGTACTTTGATCTTATTCGCCTGGTCGAAAAATTATCTAGGCAGTCACGTGACATAGTCGTTGCAACACTCGACCCAAACCTGTACAATCCAAATAATTTCTGGCAGCAAACGTACCGATGGAGTCAGGTTAGTTTTGTTTATTTAGCCTTTCTTTGGTTTAAGTTTTGTTAACTTGTCATTCTATCTACCCTACAAGCAAATGTTCTGCTCAGAAAATCAAGAGAGGGCTGCGATAAAGAAAACAAGAGCTCAACCAAGGCGTTCAAAACTACCTTTTCTTTTCAATTTTTCAATGCTCTTGAAATTAAATTTGATTTAAAAATACACTTCTGAATATGAGTTTATCCAAGAGAACGAGAATAAGATTTCATGACGAGAATAGAGAGAGCCTGGCCGCTAGAGAGGAGTGGCCTGTAAGTGAGCATGGTTTCTTATCAAGCCATTTGCATATTAACACGAAACATTTTGTGTCACAAGGCAACTCCAACAACTATAGACACTACCATGACTCCAAGTATGGAAAAATTGTCTGACCTGACCTTGATCGAGAAGAGATTGGACAACTGGTTCCTGAAGCAGTCACAGACTTCAACTCAATTTACAGGAAACGTAAAGAAACGATGGGATTCGCTTCAAGGCGACGTGAACGATGCACTCACAAAGTTTGCTTCACTGAATGTTGCCAAAAGTACTTCAAGTAACATCATCACAGGTGAAAAAAGGCTCAACCAAAAGATTTCTATAAAGAATCGATTAAGTACAAACATGGTAAATATTTCAGTAAATAGGATGAGGTCGTTAAACCGAAATCTGTGAAAGATACTTTCATATATCCATCTTCAAAGATTTTTAAATGTTTTACGATTAAAATTAAGTTAACAAAATTGAATAACTAAACAACAAATGTCCTGGGCTTTAAGAAAAGAAGATTAGATAACTATGCTAACGAAGGAATACTTAGCACACAACCTCATTTTCCAAAAAAAGGACGACAAAATCACACACCCAATTTAATCAGTATATAAAAGGATGTGTATCATTCCTTTAAGTGTATTGTTTTGATGTATTTCACCCTGTAGGTGCCCCACTCTATTGTGACAGGTCGGAATTTTCCGCCGAAAAATTTGGTTATGTCGTGGAAGAAGTTCTTCTTCCGCTGGCACTGGATTATCACGTGAGATCACGAACCAATGAGGTGGATGCTGTAGCCTCTGCAGAGGTGACTAATCTGAATGGAGATACCAGTGTTTTTAACGCTGCTGTTAAGGTATGAAGAGTTTGGTGGAGGTACTTTCAACAGGTGACATGAAAAACAACAAAATTATCTTACAGTCAGTCCAGAATTAAAGATCACTCCATTTGGGAAGCTTCGGGAAAATGTAGCTTTCCTAATTTATCTATATTTTTTATTTCACTTACATTATGTTTAGCCTTTCTTTCTTTACCCCTTTTATTTTTTCTTTTAGTATAAGATGTGTTCAAAAAGGAGTTCTTTTAAAATTAAATTTCTCTACGAGGTTTTTCCAGACTTAAATAAAGATTACAGTCTTAGTTAACAATAATAACAACAATAACGTTTATTATTTGTATTGCGCCTTTTCTATAAAATATTCAAAAGCGCATCACAACAGTAATTAATAACTAAAAATTTTACAAATCTTTCTGTAAAAATCATAAAAAAATATTTAAAAGATAATTACAAATAAAGGTATAGATAAACTAAGATAACTGAAATGATTCTTTAAATAAAAATGTCTTAATTAAAGTCTTAAAAGATTCTAAGTTCGTTGCTTCGCGCGCGGACCTTGGCAGCTTATTCCACAGAAAAGGAGCAGCTACCTGGAAAGCTCTGTCTCCCAATGTTTTCTTTGTTTTCACACTTTGTCCTTCCAACAAACGACCATTGTCGTTGCGCCTCAAATGGTAGGACGAAGGCTGTTGAATACTAATTAAATCTGAAAGGTACTTAGGTGATAGGCCATGCAAAATTTTAAAAGTTATCAAGAGTATCTTATAACGTATCCTGGAGCGCACTGGTAACCAATGTAACTCTGCGAGTAGAGGTGTTATATGACAGAACTTGTGCCCACGATATATAAGTCTTGCACTCGCATTCATAACACGTTGCAATTTCATAGTCTGATATTCCGGGATTCCAAGGCTAGGTTACAATTATTGCTACCCGGGACCATCATTACGAAAACATTAAGTGAGAGGTCATTTATGGCGGTTGCTCCTAAACTTAGGAACAAGCTCGCAACTCATATTAAGAGCAGTAAATATTGTACTTATTTCAGAGAATAGCGGGTGATAATTCAGATATGCAACAGGCATTTACTACTGCTTTGGGTTCAGCGAATCCATCATACACAGAGATGAAAGTCAAAGAGGCCATCACTGCTCTTAATACCAAGCGGAAACAACGATTGATGCTTCTTCTTGATTACATTGAGGATCAAGGTTGGTAAGTTTAGGTTTAACTATTATAATTTACAAATGTCAGTTTCATAAAATGTGACAACATGAGCAAAAGGTATTTTCCTAAACATAGCATTTGAGTTTTCACTCTTAGCTAACACCTATCGCATAGGCCACACAAAGTACCAACATAGAACCATATTCAACGAAACAACCAAAAGAGCCATTGTTAGCTCTACCAATGGATCCCTTCCCTGATCCAATCGGCCACACAATACATGAACTTGTACCAAGACCTTAACTCCTACAAAGTGTAAATACTCTTTTTTCTTTCTCTTACGTTTCAGGTTTTACTGAGGGCAGTGCAATTGGATCCTTGGATCACGAAATGAACAATGCAGGAGCGAGTTACATGAATTCAGTTTATTTGTTAAAGCAAGTTCTGCAAGATGCAGGAAAAAAGGAGAATTATGTCGCGACTATGAAGTGGTACAGTGACTTTGGAGAAGTATATCAAGATCCATTTGAGTACGCTGGAACAACTGCTGATCGAATGAGAACCATTTCGATTTTTCGGTAGGTTACACTTAATACCATATTAACTTTTCCATACCATTCCACACCTCCACATCTTACAATTAATCAGTAAATATTTTTTAAGACACCTGTAGCCTGTAGGGTTTTGTTGAGGGCTTTTCTCGGTACTTTTACACTCAACTTTAACAGTGTAGGCCAGCTAATCCAATCACTAAAGGGCTATAAAAATGGTGTATTGTTTCACCATGAAATCAGCTCAGCTTCCGTAGTCACTGTGTACGGAAATCTTTTTACCCATTGGGTTTTCCTTCGCGAACGTCCAGTCCATATTTTTAAATACTAATACTAATAACAACAACAATAATAATCGAAACTTGAACATTGGAATAGGCTACACAGTACCTAATTTTTAAACCTAAGTCCCCCTTTCAGTGTCCTGTGAACATGTTGCATTTATCGTTACATTCTGTTATTTCGCAGTTTGTCTGCTGTTTTTATGATGCCTTCCTCTACAGCAGAAGAAAAACACGCGAAAAGCCGCGACATGGAAGCGCTTGTTCAATGGTACTCGAACGCTCTGTCAACTAATGAAGGATTAGCTGGTGTCCTAAAGCCTGATTTCCTTGGGTTTCATCACAATGGCTACTACGCTTCTGCTTATACACCACACGCCGTGCACATGGTAGCCTGCGAGCAAGCTCTCCTATTTGGGCGAGCGAAGCGAGCCTCGCGAGAACGCGCGAGCGAGGGGCCGAGGAAAGGAGAGCTTGCAACCATCTCTCATAAATTTTCATTTCCACCCCGGAAACCCCGGGACTCCACAAAGCGCGAAAATTGCCACCGCAAACGTGCAGCAGATTAGAAAAGTGACAACCGCCTGTCAAGTAAGTTTAGACAGCCGAGGGCACGTAGAATAATTTATTTATAATTCGCTTTCGCAACAGCAATAAAGCAATGTTTTTAATATCACTGATATATATTTTTTTTTTCACGGGGACATCGAACTTCAACGTGTCCGCTCGGATAAGAACTCACTACTTTGATTCTCGTTTCGTTTACTTTTGAAAGGTCGTCCATACTGCAGCGTAGAAGACTACTCCCCATCGCAATCACCAACAAAAACATCATATATTTGTCCGTCTGGAACTGGAGAATAGCGTTTTTCAGCACTTGGTTCTCTTAAGGTTTACTCCAGTTGCTTCCAACTCTTTCTCTTTTCCTTTTTACGATCAAGCTACACAGCTACACTGTCAAGTACATGTTTCTGAATTTTTCTACCCAGTAGAATTCAATCGGGCGAAGAAACCGATGTTGGAAGGCAGCGCTTTAATCACTCTTCACTTTCACTCTCCCGGTTTTCAGAACTAAACAAGGCGCTTGACACAAATGAATACAACTGATGAAGGGTTTTCATTTTCCTTCCACAAGAACTACAAACTCGGTCCGACTTATCCTCGGCACGCAATATTCTCTTTGCGAGAATTACAACAAACGAGCCCGTCTGCATTGAGCGCTGAAACAAGTTCTCGGTACCAATCTGATCCCCCTGAGAACCAAATTTGACACAAAGACGAAGCGGGTGCCAGCTTGTCCTGTTATCAATCAACTTTGATTTCCGGAACGTCATTTTTCAGCCAATGGTATTTCCCTTCGTCAGGGCGAAGTACAAATGAAAATTTGTAAGGGATGGTTGCAAGCTCTCCTTTCCTCTGCCCCTCGCGGCTTCGCCGCTCGCTCGCGCGTTCTCGCGAGACTCGTTTCACTCGCCCAAATAGGAGAGCTTGCTCGCAGGCTATGCACATGGGAGCACTCATCCAATATCTGCTCAGCGGGACCGCGTTTGCATTGGGTGAGAAAACATCACAAGTAGCAATACTTCGACGAGGCTAAAATGTTTGATACCAAGTCAATCAAGTACAAGTACTTTAATATTGAATGGCCACTATTTCGGAGTATCATGTACTAGGGTACTGTGACTGTTAAAATCTATCTTGCCATACAAAGAAGTTTAGTTTTTAATATCTTATGTTATTCAATAGTTAGGTAGGAAATAACTGCCCTAAAACTCAGTAATGCTTTATTTCAGTTTATTTATTTATTTATTTATTTATTTTTGTTATTTAAAGATGCCGAGACAATGCAAAACATAAAGAAAGGACTGGAGATCATGAGGGTCGTTTCAGTCAAGTATTCCTCACCGAACAGTGTTTCAGGCCGATTTCCAAGAATAACCCGTGCAATTCTTTCCAAAAATTTCCCTGGTTTTGCCTATTACGCTGCGACTGCTCCAAATCTCAACACGGATGGATCTCTAGGAGAAATTGCTGCCATTGACAGTGAAAACATCAAGCCATTTTTGCGACTATTTGACACAGGTTACAATGTTTTTTTTTCACTTCTTTTAGGCCTTGCTTTTTGTGCACAATGATCAATTCAGTAATCAGTTGTTTGGCTAACAGAATCAGTTTGACTTTCAATTCTGCAAAGATGAAGCTGAAAAATAGCAAACATTGTTGAAGATAATATATGCTTTTTAAATGTACCTCATCTACTGCAGTCGAGAGAATTGCTAGAGACTGAAGAATGAGACTTTTGCAACAACACCGCAACTGATTCCAATTATGCCCCTTTTAAACAGCGATGTAAGGAAACAGCGACCCTTTTTGTTGCCTGGTAAGTGACAACAAGGAGGGGTGGGTGGGGGGAGAGCTTCTCCCCATTGTTTGTCTCATGTTTTACGCATTTAACATAAAGATTAAAGGTAAAAAAGGACAGTTTGATTAAATAATTAGTTAGCTTCTCGACTAACTGAATTTAACAGTGAACAACTGATAGTTGCATCTTTTCACTGCAGGTGAAAGTAGTGTCAATGACTACTTGGCGGACGGAACAATTTTTACTTCAATTTATTACTTGAATTCACTTGGCTCTATAAACATCATGGAAGATATTAAAAGCAAAGCAATGACAATGAGTATCGAAGCTGAAGCCTCCCCTAAGGGATTATGGGCTCTTAATTACGCAGCTCTTGTAGTGTACAGGCGATCTGATTGGGCCGTCTCTGTCAAAGGATTCAATAACTATGTTTGGGACTTTGAGGCATCGGGCAACCAAAACGTGTATGGAATATACCAGAGTCACGGAGCACTTCTGGTTGCAAACAGTGAGGCGGCCCTTCAAACTCACGATACAGACAACGGCTGGGACTGGACACGACCCGGGCACCACCACTATCAAATTGCCGCTCGCGGATTTGATCAGAGGAAGTAACAGGTTTTAAAGTTATTTTCCTTTCAACTATTCACCGACACATAAGCTGGTTAATAGCCCAATCGTATTTGTAGATAATTTACATGGCAAGTCAGGAAGAACTCTAAGGGTCCGTTATTTAAACGAAGTCTAACTTACACCGCGGTTTAGGAAATCTTTGGACTTCGAGATCTCGTCCATAATGGTTGTTTTAAGAAGACAAATGCTTTTCTAGTCTACGCCATATAACAGCGTTCGAAAACTGAAAATGGCTGAGAAAGCGGTTTTGTTAAACACTGGCTAAACTCAGTTTTAATAACTCACCCTAAAAGTCAACTGTAAGATTATTACACGCCATAAACCTTGTACTTTCTTAGTCCTTGTACCACGCGACTAGATTACACGTTTTGTGGTAGCTAATCGTTTGAAGAATTTGAAAACACCGCACACTGAAAATTACTATACAACAAACACCTTTTGTAGCCGCCTTCCAAACAAGTCTCTCTTGTCAAGAAAAGCAGCATAAATTAACTTTGAACCTAATGCAAAAAGTTAAAAAGTTAAAAGTTTAAAAGTTTAAAAACATTGAAAGAAAATTTAAAGAACACGACTTGATAACCTGGTAAGGAGTAATTGATGGCACATTTGGCACCATGAGCTTAAAAAATCATTTCAATCTAAAATAAGATATTAAAAACCCTAGTCTTACTAGGCTAACATACAAAAACTACTGTCTTCTTTTGCAGATATTTTCAATCAAAGCAACTGGCCGGCGGAGTTAGATTGGTAGGAGGTGGAGATCACTCAACAGGAATGTTTGCAATGGAGTTTGCACAGCCTGACTACGACTGGGATGATGGTGCCTACCAAAACAGCATCGAGTTCACATTTAAAAAGAGCGTCTTCTTTGCTGATAACTATGTTGTCTGTCTTGGCTCTGGTATTACCTCTTCAGGTAGCAGTAAGCACATCACTCAGGTATATTCTTTTTACGTACAATATGAATTAAAATATTTTAACAAGAAAAGGAATTTAGTTACATGTTAATAATTACTTAAAGGTTTGGCTGGTGTGGCTTCCAATGAAGTCACATTTTCAAGAAAAGGTAATCAACGCCGATTACTTCACCATATTGTTACAAAAGAGGATCCCCATTGGCGATGCATTTACTATAGCCCTCGCGAATCAACGACAGGTGAAGATCGCTAGCGTTAGCCAAACAGAAAAGGCTACTGCAAGTTGGCGAGATGTTGTAATATTTCATTCATTTGTCTTGTGCTTGTTTGTACTTTATAGACCTCTTTGTTTCAAGACAAACTACTGGACCCGGACAATCCATCTTCAATCTATATAAAACAGTCATCACACTCCCTCAGTACAGACTTAACTAAACAGCCTTCTTTCTTTGACGGAGCGAACAAACCTTCAGCTTATCTTCTTGATGTGAATGGTAATTCTTGTCATAATTCATGATTGAACTCATTTACCGCACAGACTGAAAGGATGATTAGATATCAATTGACAATTAATAACAAACTTCCCCCTCAAAAATTTCCATTATTTATCGAAGTCTTGACTGTTGAATAAAGGAGAATAAATCCGTCTATTGAATTTTTATATGGCATATTTAGACTGTCTGCCCAGATACTTTTGGCGGGAAAAAATTTAAATCGAACTATCATGGATATCAAGTAACCTTGCCGTAGCAAATACAAGGGAGGAATGCTTGGGGGAAAATAACTATATTTATTAACCTACCATTTGCTCAAAAGAGCGCTGACCCGAAAAAGCGACTCACTAAGCAGCAACAAATATAAGGGACAGTAGTCATGCTTCAGCAAAATTAACCCCATTTTGGATTTCCCTTGGATTTCCCGCATACTAATTAAGTGCCTTCCCTTAATTAATATGTATAACGGTGGAGTCCATGACGTCAGCCATTGTTATAACCTAGGGAAAAAGTGCCTTCCTCCATACTAATGAGGGTCTTCCTGCATACTAATTCGGTATACGTTTACCAATGAGCGTCTCTCTACTTTAATAGAAACAATAGGCTTGCCCGTTAAGTAACTTGAGCCTGGTTTGAACGTCTATTAAAAGCAACAATAGGAATAAGAAAGCGATCACCTAGCAACGCGAGAAACGGCTTCCAGAAGAGAGATACCGTTATAAAGACGTTATTAAAAAACAATTACAAAAAGAATCAAATACACGGCGATTTCAAGCGGATAGAAATCAATTCATCTTCAATTCATCTTCCAAGTTACATTGTGGAGTATTTTAAATTGCTTATATAATAATACGTCAAGGTCCTCCCTTGGGTCTTTCCTGTAGAGGTAATTTGTATTCAACTTTGGGCTTGCGAACTCGCATAATTAACTGACTAACGGTGCGTGAAACGCTGAGACTGTAATAGTTTTTCTTTTCCTCGAGATAGATAGGAGAAAACGTCAGACAAAGTTGAAATAGAGAGTTTTCAGTTCTATTTTGTGTATGTGTTTTGTTTATATATATCCGAGGTTTAGCTCTAAATAAGATATAGGAAGCCGTTTCTCGCGTTGCTAGGTGATCGCTTTCTTATTCCTATTTTTGCTTTTATTAGACGTTCAAACCAGGCTCCAGTTACTTAACGGGCAAGCCTAGGCAAGCCTATTGTTTCTATTGAAGTAGAGAGACGCTCATTAGTAAACGTATACCGAATTAGTATGCAGGAAGACCCTCATAAGTATGGACATAGTTAGTACTACTAACTATGGTATGGAGGAACGCACTTTTTCCCTAGGTTATAACAATGGGTGACGTCATGGACTCGACCGTTATACATATTAATTAAGGGAAGGCACTTAATTAGTATGCGGGAAATCCAAGGGAAATCCAAAATGGGGTTAATTTTGCTGAAGCATGACTACTAGGGACTTATAACACCCGGAGAAAAAACCTCTCGGAGAAAAACAAACTCATCCCACAGAATGCGTCAACGCGGGCGTGCTCTCACCACTGTACTAGCCGTGCCCGATCACGATGAATTTCTCTGATTGTTCGTTCGTGTTTAATACGTTTGTTACAGGAAATGGTTATTACATTCCCAAAGCAACTGAACAAGGACTTAACGTTAAAGTCAGTCTCCAAACGTCCAGGAACCACAGAGGGAAAAAGGACACTTCAGCAAGATATGCAACAGCTTGGCTTGACCATGGAGCAAATGCAACGGCTAAGGGCTATGAATACGCAATTCTTGTCGGCACCCAACTGAGTGAACTTCAGGTACTGAATACGTTTAATGTAAAATATATATCAGTTGTCAAGTATCGTCCTCATAAATGTCTTTCCTCGTTGAAAAACCACAATGTCATTTTTTGATCAATTTATTGGAAAAGAAAGTACTGTTGGCTTGCTTTTTTGCTTTTGTAGGCATTTGCTACACAACAAACGGTGTATGAAGTGATCCACAAGGACAATAATGCTCACGCAGTTAAGTTTAATAATTTCCCGAGACAGAACGAAAATCAGTGGGGATATGCATTCTTCCACAAATCTGCTCGCACTCCCGGTCCTGTAAGACGCGTTACCAAGGTAACTATATCATAATAGGTTTTACAGCCATTGCCCTACTCGTAGCTTCGGGAAAGATTTGAAAAGGACCCTGGGAGCAAGGCTGGTCCTTAATTAAGGGAGCGCATGATCCATTCACCATCGCTTATTATATCAACAAAACAAGTTTATTAGATGCAGCTTTGCACTTTGTCTTAGAAGAAAATATCCCTCTTGCCTTTATCAGTTTATTATACAAAGTTATTATCTTTTTCCCACAGCATCCGACTCTGGTGATGTTTGAAGAAGACGACGAAAACAACGTGTACGTTTCTGTGTCGTATCCAAATTTAAATTTCAACATCAGTGAACCTTTGACAACCGGTAACCGAGTCAGTGGTCAGGAACGCTTCTACTCGGTCAGCACGCCAATAGACATTGAGGTAGGAATAACGTAATGCGTGCAAACCACTCAATTTACATAACTAACTCATTTGTTCGCAAAATGAAAAATAAATTGATGAATAATTGATTAAAACAATGACATAAGGCAAAGTGAAAAAAAACCCAGAAAACGGGGGACATAGCTGCGGTGCTGGTTGTCAATTTTTGCAGTCCTTTCCAAAATTAAAGCAATGAAATGTTCAGTCACAAGGGAAAAAGGTAAAACTTGGCCTAGACGCACTGTTGAACTTTTGGTCAAAACTGGCGGAGGCATGGATTTGGAAATGTTCACGCCAAAAATGTCCAAGAAGAGCTTGGTGTTCAACGGGATGTGGGAGGCGATCTGTACCCCACCTACCCCTCCCTCCCTTTGGTTATCGTTAGGCTGGGCTTCTCATGTGTTTAAAAAGACAACAATAACTCACTAACCTTAACCTAATTTACCTGCTAGTGTAGACCACGTGACTTACCGAGTGCCGTCTTATTTAAGTTCTTGCGGGATTCTACATCTACATCTACATCTACATTTATTAAGTTGATAAAATCTTGTAAGACATCACATCAACTTCTTTCTTTTTAGGTATTGTACGAAAAGATAGAGATAATTTATTAAACCACATTATCTTTTCTTTGGTTATTCTGTATCAGGTGTTTTTCCCAAAAGACGTCGAGGTCAGTATCGGTGATGTCAGGGTGAATGGTGAAATTGTACCACAAGGTGAAAGAGGTGATCATGTAGGGGCCATTCCAAGAGGAATGGATCCTAACAGCACAAAATCACGTCGAATCAAATTCAAAGGTCTGTCTAAAGGATTCAGTAAAGAAGTGAAACTCAGGAGACCTTCTAAAAAAGGCAAACATTGATTGTGTCTACTATATATTGAGAGCCCGCTATAACTAACTCACTTTGAATAATGAATGTATTGCTCTTAAACTCGGAGTCCTCGGAGTCGTAAAGAATATTTCTGGATACAGCTTTTATGTAATGAACTTGTCCAACGATATTAAAAGCACACTTGAATTAAAGTAACGCACTATTATTATGTTCTAAATTCAATTCAATTCAATTCAACTCATCTAAGAGTGTTCAGGGTCATCAGTTGTTGGGTGTTGAAGACATGTTATCACAAAGTAGAAGAAATAAAAGAAAAATCAGTTATATAAACTTACTTGTTGTATCGTTTTTAATGTCCGCCCAAAACTCATTGTCAGGTGATTTCCATAAAGCTCTTTTTCATGAGGCATGCTTACAAGGGTCTTTTTATTTGATGATATTTAAATTCGAGTTAAAATTTAAAGTTACGGTCGAACCTGCATAAAACGTTCAATTGTCCCCCCCATTTTTTTTTTACTGTTTACTGCTCTGCTTTCACTCAAGTTTATCTAGCTGGATTTTTCCGCTTACTAAAAACATCTCTCTTAAATAATATGGGTCGAATTCAGGCCTGTGGGAAGAGGGGAGGGGTTGGGCGGAACAGGTGACATCAATATGGACACAAGGAGATTTGTAGAGCTGTTTACCCAAAGCGTATTCGTTCTGTTTAGTTTCAAAGATTTCCAAATAATAACACAGATGCATAAACCGTAAATTACATAACTTTCAAAATCCATTAGAAAGTCGAATCCACGTTTTAAAAGCAATATCTGCACGATGTACGATATGTTTCCTTTTAAAGCACCAGATAATCGATCGGAAAGTTACCCTGAGACAAATTGGAATGCTCCCCCAGTAACTTTTGCCTTTTGGCACCTCCCATGATTATACCCAAGTATAACTCTCAGTTATACATCGATCGTTTAGTCCCAAGGCGCACTCTGGCCAGGCTGATGCGGTTGCTTCTTTCGAACATTCCATTCAAGACATCATGATCAGGCAGTGGATGTCTCAAGACAAGTTGCTCATGAATGATGCCGAAATAAAACTTCTTTTGATCGGCACCAGACAGCAACTCGCTAAAATCGCAATTGATGGCATAACTGTTGGACACTCTGTCTGGGTGTGTGGTTAGATTCTAATCTATCAATGGGGGGTGATCACATAACGAAAACAAGCTCTGCAGCATTCTATTATTTGTACAATATCAGCAGGATAAGGAAATATTTTAGCAAAGAATGTACTGAACCTCTGATATATGCGTTTATTTCTAGCCACCTTAACTACTGTAATAACCTGTTATATGGCTAACCGTCGTATCAAATTCAGAAACTGCAAAGAGTCCAGAACTCTGTTGCATGCCTTGTATTCCAAGAAAGTAAATTTTGTTATATTAAACCATTGCTGAGAGCCTTACACTGGTTACCCGTAGCAAATCGAATAGTATTTAAAAATTCATTTTATTTTGTCTTCGCCCTCGTCAATATGCATAGTTTTTGCGCCAAGAATCAGTGGACCGAAACCGGAAAAATTCGTTGTCTGCATTCATTTGGACAACGAAAGCGACAGGAAAGAGAACTTGTATAATTACCTTACGGTTCAATGATTTTGAGTCACAAGTGGCTTCAGGAGCAAATAAATGTGTGACGTAACCAATTTGCATAAACTATGAAATCATCGTGACCAAATAAGGACATGATCCCTACAAGTTACATCATTGATCTATATATGACAGACTGGTTTAAAAAAACTAAAACTAGCACGTGACCTTATCTTAATGAGATTCCACCGTAAGAAAACGGACTAACCGGTGCGCCATATACTGCTAGGAATTTTCAGTAAAGTAAATAAGTGATGGATGATAGAAGTAAATTAACAAGGTCAATACAAAAGGGTCTTAAAAAAGTCAAAATCACTTAAGTTAACTGAGGGAGGGCAAAAAATTATCAACCAAACAAGGGGAGATTTCTGTTAAAACTCAGAATGGTCATACGTTTAAAAGTGTGGCCTGTGGACGTATTGTTCGATAGAAAAAAGCAACACAAAATAACCCCACGCATAAGGTATCTATTTTACATGGAACTTATTCTGATTAATATGAAAGAAAGTACCTATAGATCTCAGGGTGAAAAAGCAAGCCACTATCATGCCTTTTTTGTTGCTACGTTGGAAATGTGCTAAGAGCAACATTTCAAAAGTCACGAGTGAAGGTTTACAAGGCATGTTGACTCGCAAACCTTTCCAAATTTTCCAGTCGTAGAAATTCTACAAACGTTTGCTTTTTTGAAGAAGTGAAGGTCGCCTCATGAGATCTTTTCGTTGTTGGGAATTTTTCTGGCGTTGAAATTAAATACCAGAAACAATTACCTCAAAACTGATTCACGGTTTCTTCTTTGGATGAATTAAAATCTGGTTTCGCTTCGCCGGACATGTCAAATGTCATAAAAATTAAAAGAACAAAAGAATTTTTTAAGAATTATTAACCAATCAACTTGCAAGAGGTTTTCTTAGGAATTGAACAAAAACTTTGTCTTGCCTTATGGAACCTGTTAAGTCTACAAAATAAAAAAAATATGAGCTGATTAAAAATGAATACTCTTTTCGAAAATGATAGGAAAGAGTCACTATTTATTGAGATTTTCTATGAAAACTATATCCTCTGATTGATTGTATTTCTTGCGAGATCAGATGTTCAGATGAAATATACCGCGAGGTTTTCAAAGACAATTATTTTGGCCTTTTAGAAGTCGACTGCATTCCTTTAACGTTAAGTCTGAATAGTCAGGCATACATTAACGACTACTGAAGCGAAACAATAATCACTTGATTAATCATTAATGTACCAATTTAAATACCGGTGTAGAGGAAAAACGTTCAGTTCAAATTTTTCCTGAGGAAGTTGAACGCAACAGGACTGCCCAAAGATTTCAGGTAAAATTGTCAATTATTTTTACACTCACGCTCGCATTCCACGGCACAAAAGAACCCATGCAGGCACTTAAGGATAGCGGCACGTGAAGACGGACCATAAATTTATCAGACATCGTTTATTCTAAATTATTGACCAAATATAGTCAATCAGACTTACAACAGATTCAAACAAGGTTAAAGATTTTGTCTTTCAGTTTCATCGACGACAGCAAAGAAATATAGCACCATATCCTGGATTGTTCGCGCGTCAAAATGCTTCTTACTAGATGCTTGTGATTAGAGTCAAGACAATTTTTCAACAACAACAGCAAAAAAAAATTGGCTACATTCTTTACCATAGAAAAGGTGACACAATGTTAAACCATACGTTTTCAAAACTTAAGGACCAAGAATTTTGGGGTGAGTACCGATAGCCCCTCTGCATTTCAGCTGTTTTTGTTTTTACCAAGGAGAATGATTATAAAAAAGGGGGTAAAGTTTGATTTATAATTTAGATTGTGCAATTTCATTTGGAAATTAGTCTTTAAAGGAAGAAGGGGCCCATTCAAAATTGGTATTAAAAAAACGACAAGTTGAAGTTAAAGTCCTTTGAAAGTAACAAATGGTAGTTTAAAGCAAGAAAATTGGAAGAATAGTGATTCAAAGGACATGTCGTCATGCATGAGTTTATCCTTGTACCTTTTTCTTGCGACAGCTCCATTTGATTAATTATTTAATTTTTCACCAATTATTACAGCAAATATTCTTTCCGTTGAAGAAGTAACTAACAGAAAAATATATAAAGGGTAAATGACCCGGTTAACTAGCTGAATACTTCATTCTTTTTACTTAGCCATTAAATATATATGGGTTCAAGAAAGTTTTTCAACACCTGCTGGTTCTATCTTATTCTGGTCTTGAAGTTTAAATGTTAATAGCGAGTAGTCTTCAAGCCCAAAAAACCGCAGTTAACCTCTTTTTATTTAGTCCGTTGGATATATAACTGTCGGCAACCTAGGTGCTTTAGGATTCCATTCCCCTTGCTAAGTTGAAATGAGGTGAATAATGTCTTGACTAGCGATAAGACTACAGCCATGTTTTTCTTAGTTAAGACAATATGTTTTGTAGGTATCCATGTTTAAAACCATTTTCTGATTTATTGTCGTTTGCTCGTAGGCCTCCTGATAACCTTAAAAATCCGCACTATGGCATGTTCATTTAGTTAATTACTATACAAGATAGTCATCTATTTAAAGTGAATTAATAGTAACCTTTACTACTTTAACAGGTGCAATGGGGCAATTGTGGCTTCATTCTTTGGTGATTTTCATTGTCCTGTTCCTGCGGAACATTCAAGCTCAGAGAACAGGTAACGCCTTCTTTACTTCCTTTCCTTTTTTCTGTAGACCACGACCAGGCTCTTCTGTTTTTGATCATTTTACGATTTCGCTCACTGTGCGTGGCACTGAGGAACGAAGGGCAAGGGCTCATGGCGTAGGACAGCGACAGCGCTTTTGACTTTGACTTTGTCCTCAAGCGTCCGCACAGGTTGAAATGGCAGTTGATTTTATAGTCAGAGACTCCTTAGTCTTCGCTTCCAAAGTTTTTCAAGCAGTCAAACTCTCTTCATTTGACACTTACCTAAACGCTTCCGCTTTCTGGAAAGCCTTCCCTTGCCTAGGATTTTTAACAAAAATCTACAACTCGAAGATATACACTTCGTTGACGTCATAGACAAGTGCAAACCTTATGTGACTGGCCTAGCAAGATTAAATTTCAGTGACGGCAAGATCAAATTAATGGTATTTATAATGATGAATTTTCTTCACGTATAACCATTAATGGGTCATTTTATTGCAACGCGAAGCCAACATTAATTTTTTCGGCTAATTTTCCTACCATAATATTTGCTTTAGAATTAATTAAGGCCATTTTCTTAAAGACGTTATTCACACAAAAAAAAATATTGGTTTTTGGACTCTGTGTTGTACAACTGAATAAGAACTGACTAGGAACTATCTCCTTCATGTTAAAAGCATTAAAAGTCCTTTTTATATCAGATCTCACCATTTGATTCTGCAGTTTATACATTTGAGGATGCTAATCACTTGATGGCCTTTAACGCGCCATCATCCACATTGGAACGTTCTTCAACTCATTATAAGGACGGTACACATTCTATGAAGTGGACATGGACTAGTGGCAATGAATTCACACATACAATTTCTGTAAGTCTAATTATATATGAAACACATGCTATCTGCCTTAGTGAAATTGTAAATAGGCAGTCAGTAGTATATGATTGAAACTGGCCGGTAGAACAGACATTCAACCTGTCCAATCAATCTAGCTCTAATCATACCGTAAAACTCCGAAAATAAGCCCCGGGGCTTATATTTTTCAAAGGCCCTTTTTGAGGGGCTTAGTTTTGGAGTGGCTTATGTCAGGAGGCGCTTACCTGCTGAGAGAAATTTGCGTTTCAAAATCGATTGGGCTAGCCTTGTACTTGGAAGTAAGTTTACCGTTTTTGCTTTGTTTCACTTTGTATTTGAGGGCAATTTTCCAAGTACAAGCCCCCGGCGGGCTTATATTTGGAAGGGCGATTTAACGGAGCGTTTTTTTGCGTTACCGGTTTGGGGGGCTTATATGTGGAGGGGCTTATTCATGGAGGGGCTTATCTTCGGAATTTTACGGTATTTTTCTTTGTTTTCAAGTATAGGATAAATTTTGCAGGAAACTGCAGTTCATGCAGTATTGTGTCCCAAAGAAAAGAACTCCAGTATTTACGTTGTTACGTTGGTGACGTTTTTACTCTCGTATATCTCTTATTTCAAATCTGTTTGCTATGCGGTTAATGTTGTGGTGGAAAGTTATCCTTGGTCTAAGTTTTTATTTTCCTTGCATCAAACTTTCAACATACAATACCATACCCAAAAACAAAGAAATCGAGTAAAATTTGAACCCAGCACAGGTTGAACAAAACAAACATACTGTATATGTTCGTGGAAATAGCTTAAAGTTGATAACCAAACACGCCCAACTCAGTAAAATGTTTAAGTTTCTCGGCACTCTTATTCTGGTATAAATGTTTTGTTACATTCTGACATGATTTTCTTTTCTTTTGAACAGCCGCAGATTAGTGGATCCGAGCGTAGTAGAGGTGGAATTAAATTGTGGCTTTACAATCCTTACAAACGCGCAGCAGGAGAGCATCTGAAGGTCTCCTTTTCCAACTCAGCAAAAACCGTTTCACAATTCAATATCACCCTAAACTTCAAGGTATTTATGAATTCTTCCTTTCCGCAATGACTGTGGCAATTTGCTCCAAATGAAAATCAATGAAAAGTAAGCGTTCTTTCAAAAGAATAATTTACTCTTTGTGTTTTTGTAAGTTGTGTCCCGTCCAAAAATGTAAGTATTCATTTAACTATTCATTCATTTACTTCTAAGAATATAACTATTACTGATCGGTGAAAATTTATTATGGCGATGACAAAGACAACTGTTTTGTATTTAAATGGTTCTAGGGCTGGCGTGCAGTGTGGGTTAGTTACGATGAAGGTCTTTTGAATGGTCGAGCTAACATGAACTCCATGAAGATAACTGCTCCAACAACTTCAGAGACCACTCATCCATTGTACTTTGATCTTATTCGATTGGTCGGAAACTTAGCCAGGCAGTCACGTGATAAGGTTGTTCCAACACTCGACCCAGACCTGTACAGTCCAAATAATTTCTGGCAGCAAACGTACCGATGGAGTCAGGTTAGTTTTGTTTATTCAATGCTTCTTTTATTTAAGGTTTGTCATTTTATCATTGTATCTGTCTTTCATGCAAGTAAATTCTCTGCTCGGGAAATAGAGAGAGAGCCGAGATTAAGGGCGTTAGAGGTTAGCGCAAGGCGGTTAAGTAGTTATAAACTACTTTTGCTTTTCAAAACTGTTTCTTTCCATCTTATGTGCTCTTGTAATTCGAATTTCGCGAGGGAACGAGAATGAGATATCATAATGAACACAAAAAGACTACGTAAAAAGAAAGGCCGGTCGCTAAAGAGGAGCGGCCTGTGGGTTAGCCTGGTTGCCTGTGAAGGTTTAGCGATATCTTTAACACGAAACATTTTGCATCACAAGGCCACTCCAACAGCTATAGACACTGGCACAACTCCCAGTATGGAACAAATATCTAACCTGACCTTGATCGAGAAGAGATTGGACAACTGGTTCGTGAAGCAGTCACAGGCCTCAGTTAATTTTACAGGAAACGTACAGAAACGATGGAATTCGCTTCAAGGCGACGTGAACGATGCACTCACAAAGTTTGCTTCACTGAATGTTGTCAACAATACAGATGGTATTATAACAGGTAAGATCTAAAGTATAGCTGCAAAATATGCCCGCCAGCGAACTTATCGGAAGCAAATCATGATCCATCCAAATAAGAAAATTCCTACTAATTGAATACTTTACACTAACTATAAGACTATAACTGATGAAGACTCTCGTAATCCACCCTGTAGGCACCCCGCTCTATTCTGACGAATCGGAATATGACGACGAAAAATTTGGTTATGTCGTGGAGAAAGTTCTTCTTCCGCTGGCGCTGGATTATCACGTGAGATCACGAACCAATGACGTGGACGCTGTAGCCTCTGCAGAGGTGACTAACCTGAATGGAGATACCAGCGTTTTTAACGCAGCTGTTAAGGTATGAAGAGTTCGGTGGAGGTACTTTTAACAGGTGACATGAAAACATGTCAACATGACATGGAGATGCTTTTAAAAGTTTGAAAAACAAACAGATAACAAAACGAAACATCAAAATGACATCATTCCGTGGGAAATCCTCTCCATTTGCGTCTTCACTTATTTTTTAGCTCTTATATTAGTGATTGTGACCCTTCATTTTAACCTCAGTTCTTTCGAAAACATTTTTTTTTGTAATCTTGGTTCATCAAAGAATTGTCGGGTAATACAGTCTATATTTGAATCCTGACAACATATCAAGACATATTTATACCCGTTTTAAAAGTAACTCTTAGAATAGACCTATTCGGCTAACTCAATGTTGTACCCAATTCAAACCCTTTGGGAATAAAACGTTTTGTTTCAGGAGTTTCCATATCATTTAAATGTAAATGCCACATTATAATGCAAATCAATACACAAAGAATCTTAATCCCAGGAGATTTGAATTGGGTACAACATTGAGTTAGCCGAATAGGTCTATGAAACACGAGCAAATATGTGGTCTATAGTACTGAGACGAACAATTAGGATTGAATGTTATCAACTTATTTCAGAGGATAGCAGGTGGCAATTCAGGTGAGCAACAGACCTTTACTAACGCTTTGGGCGCAACGACGCCATATTCTGCGATGAAAGTCAAGGAAGCCATCAGTACTCTTAACACTAAGCGGAAACAACGATTGATGCTTCTTCTTGATTACATTGAGGATCAAGGTTGGTTGGTTTGAAAATGCAAAAATGTTTCTTTCATTACAAAGTTATTTTTTGAGTGATTACTTATGTTATGCCACCAGCAAGAAGTTATAATTTAGCACCTGGTCAGAACTACAAGATATATTGAGTTGAGTAAAATCCTATAAAATTTAGAGTTTCGGGATCTGTTATCAACGAGTGAATTTAATAAATGGTTCAATTTTCAAGTGTTTGACACTTTAAATAAGTAACAACATTAACATTGCAGGATGACTACGGGAAAAAGACAGTCCTACATATCGCTTTATATATTTTCTAATATACACGAAACGCACAAAAAAAGTCTCACTGGTAACCACTGCCTCTTCCAAGTGCAAGTTAAAGGCTATACAACATAAGAAAATGGTCTTTTCTGGGAACATGACATAATATCTGAATTATCATGCTTACTTCACACATATATAGAACACAAGCACTACCAAAAAAGAACCACTAAATTCAAAACAGTTACCTGCACGACCAAAGGGTTATCTTATCCGCACTTCACTACATAAACGTATACCCACACTTTTCCTCCTATAAGGTGTTTCATGTGTAAACATTATTTTTTTTTTACGAGTAAGGTTTTACTGAGGGCAGTGCAATTGGATCCTTGGACCACGAAATGAACAATGCAGGTGCGGGCTACATGAATTCAGTGTATTTATTGAAGGAAGTTCTACAAGAAGCAGGAAAAAAGGAGAATTATGTCGCGGCTATGAAGTGGTACAATGAGTTTGGAGAAGTATATCAAGATCCATTTGAGTACGCTGGAACAACTGCTGATCGAATGAGAACCATTTCATTTTGGCGGTAGGTTACGAGCTAGGTTTTGCCTTCCTCTCCTCTAACACAAATCAGCCCGCCAAAGCTAGTAAGCTGTTTTTTATTGACTGCCTTGATGCCTTCGGCCGATATTTTTACAGGGTATTCACAGTACAGTTTTTATACTAATGAACAATCACTCACATCTTTCTGATCCAAGTACAGTAAAAGCCAGTAACTGCCCCACCCAAGGTCCATGAACTGGTGACGTATTGTCTCAGTAGAGATTCCACGTTTACTTTCTATCCACACCAGCATCCCTAATTTTTCACCAAGAAATTGAAACCTGCTTTACTTCCTGAGATGGAACAAACATGGAAATTTTTTGGCCATGTTTTGTTCTACTGACCACATGCCGAATTGTGTGTAGCCTCGTCCGAGGCTAATGTGCAAAATATCTTATTCTTAGCCTCAACTCCTTCGTCTTGTGTAGATGTTAAATTACACGCAGCTAATTTTTGTTCTTTTTATTCACAGTTTGTTTGCTGTTCTTATGATGCCTTCCTCTACAACAGCAGAACAACAAGCAAAAATCCGCGACATGGAAGCGCTTCTTCGTTGGTACGCTAACGCTCTGTCACCTAATGAAGGATTTGCAGGTGTCCTAAAGCCTGATTTCCTTGGATTTCATCATAATAGCTACTACGCCTCTGCCTATACACCACACGCCGTGCACAAGGGAGCACTCATCCAATATCTACTCAGCGGGACGACATTTGCTTTGGGTGAGAAAAAAATATCACAAGTAGCAATATTGAGTAGCAAATGTTCAAAGCTACTGGTCTACAAGGATATTAAAACTGAATGTCAACTTTGCCAGAGGCGGAGTTAGTAGTATAGGGCGGACCGGTTACATCGCTTTTTATTGCGGGAATCTCATTAACGTGAAATCTTAACGTGAATCTCATTAACGTCAAATGACGTAATAGACCAAGAAAAACCTCTAGACGGTCATCGACTTGAAAACGACGAGGAAACCTGTCAAACCCGTTAAACCACCTTAAAATAACACTTGGTCTTCTCTTAATGAGATTGTCTTGAATTTTATTCACGAGATTAGACAAAAGGCTATGACGTTATCAGCGTTAATGTATTTACGCGAACAGCGTAACTGGTATTTCCTATAAGACTGGCACGGTTTGGAATGTTATGATTAATAAACAAGCGAGTTCTAACGATACCATATAATTTCTTTTATCCAAAGTTATCTCAGAATTAAAGGTGTACTATGTTTTATTTAAAGGTGCCGAGACAATGGAAAACATAAAGAAAGGACTGGAGATCATGAGGGTCGTTTCAGTCAAGTATTCCTCACCGAACAGTGTTGGAGGCCGATTTCCAGGATTTACTCGTGCAATTCTGGCCAAAAATTTCCCTGGTTTTGCCTATTACGCTGCGACTGCTCCAAATTTCAACAGTGATGGATCCCTAGGAGAAATTGTCGCCATTGACAGTGAAAACGTCAAGCCTTTCTTGCGGCTATTTGATACAAGTACTAGTGCCTTTTAAATTGTTTAATATACTATGATTTGAAATGAATGGAATATTTCTTTATTGTGGAGAAGGTAACAGATTCTCTCTTAACGTTTCTACACGTTTCCACATAATTTTCAACAATTTTGGATAAGCAGAGACGGTATCATTCCTTAGGTCAGAAAATCAACATTCACAAAGGTGTGTTGCCACATTAATCAAGTAAAAACATTTCAATACAGCAGTTGGTCCTAATTTTGCCTAATATATCATTGCCAAAACTAGCTTTAAGGCTGACTCTATTAAAGAGGTGAGTGAAACAATACCAGTTGTATCTTTCCTCTGCAGGAGAAGGTAGTGTCAATGACTACTTGGCTGACGGAACAATTTTCACTTCAATTTATTACTTGAATTCACTTGGCTCAATAAATATCATGGAAGAAATTAAAAGCAAGGCAGTGACCATGAGTATCGAAGCAGAAGCCTCCCCTAAGGGATTATGGGCACTTAATTACGGGGCCTTTGTCGTCCACCGACGATTTGATTGGGCAGTCTCTGTTAAAGGATTTAACAGCTTTGTTTGGGATTTTGAGTCATCGGGCAACCAAAACGTGTATGGAATATACCAGAGTCACGGAGCGCTTCTAGTTGCGAACAGCGAGGCGTCTCTTAAAACTCTCGACATCGACAACGGCTGGGACTGGACACGACATCCGGGTACAACCACTATCAAATTGCCGCTTGCAGACTTGGTCAGCGGAAACCGCAGGTTTTGATTTTGTTTAGTTTTAACCACCTATAATCGGGTAGTTGACAGGTCAATCACAGTTTAGATCTGATCACATGGCAACTAAAAGAGTCAAAGAGCATTTACTAAAATCAGATCTCAGAAAACTCGCAAGGAAACACTCCAGCCTTTCTTAGTCTGTGTACCACGTGACTGGCTTTACGCGTAAAACGAGTTACACACATGACCAGGCCTTTACTACACTGTAATAGCTTATCGTCGTAAAATTCTCAAAAACTGCTTACTGAAAAATACGATAAATGAAACATGTTTTAGCCTTCCAAAAGAGTTCCTTTGACAAGTAGGATAATTTAAAAGAATTTGAGGTTAATTTGAAGACATCGATTATTTTCTGAAATCACATGAAAACCAGAAAAGGAGGGCGTTAGGCTAGCAAATAAAGGCACATGTTGCATTATGGGCCTAAAGACATCTTTTGGGTGTAAAATACAGTTAACCCCCTCTCTAGGACGGACACCTTTGATGTATGCGCAAAGTGCACGTTTAAGAGTGATGTTCGTCTTAAAGAGAGACGAATGAAGGGAGTAAAGAAAGGCAGGTGTTCGTTTTACCAAGTCTTGTAGACGTGTCCGTCATACGGTCAGCGACTAACGAATGCCTTCACTTGTCGTCACCTATAGATATTATCAATCTGAGAAACTTGCTGGCGGAGTTAGATTGGTAGGTAGTGGAGACTACTCTACAGGAATGTTTTCAATGGAGTTTTCTCAACCTGACTACGACTGGGATGATGGTGCCTATCAAAACAACATCGAGTTCACATTTAAGAAGAGCGTCTTCTTTGCTGATAATCTTACGATCTGTCTTGGCTCTGGTATTTCCTCTTCGGGCAGCAACTCGCACATCACTCAGGTATCATGTTTATTACAAAAAAAAGGCATTTCCTTTATTTCTGTACTGATTAATTAATTTATTTTCAAAGTTTCCAATACACAAAACGGGAGCGGTCAAACAAAAGTGTCGCCTGTAAGATGGGGACATCGTTTATCCTTCCTTGATCCTAAAGGCGACGTAGCTTAAGGGTTCTCCGTTTTCATGAGAACCAGAATTCTTACTTCTTCAAGAATAATTTAATTTAAGGCTACCGAATACCTTCAGATCGGAGTATGACTTTAATACGTTCAAAGAAAAAAAATAAGGAAAAAGTAGGTATTTGCGAAGCGTTTAAAACCTTTTCATGAGCCAAACCTAACTCGAATTAAGGCCAAGCCAAATGATTTAGATCGGCTGACGGCTGAATTGATTCAGACCCCCCTAATATCAGGGTCTGGATGACCGCCCCTACCCCCCCTTAATAGGCCATTTTATAGTGATAGATGGAAGATAGGCTGACGTTGACCTTGTTTTGATACAGGCCCTCCTGCTTTATTATGTAAATCAAGTTATTCTTATTCTTACTAGTATTTTCAAGGACAATAGGCCCTTTGCAGCCAGCCAATCACATGGTACAAAACCTCCGTGCTGGAGAGCAAAAGTCGCATAGGGACGAGACAAACAAAGAAAATTACCATTTAAAATTATGTATCTTTTGTTTCAAAGGAGGTTTGAATCAAAACAAGGTCACCGTCAGCCTCACATTCACCCGAAGGCTAGGGTACTAAGTCCACAACTGTAAAATCGTCTGTTGAAGGTCTAGATCCGCCACTGTGAGCTGGACTTTACATTTGAATGGAAAACATGCAATTTAAAAATATCGGGGATTTTTTTATTCCCAAAACGTTAATTTTATTGAGAAGCAAAATAAATGTTTTTCGGCAACTTGACGCCATAATGACATTTCGAGGCATACAAATTTCTCCTTACAGACATGTAAAGAGATTGTACAAACAGTTTTGTTTTTGTTTTTTCTTTGCTGGACAGACTTCTTTGTTTCAAGTCAAGTTGCTGGACTCTGATAATCCATCATCGATCCGCATAAATGATTCATCGCACTCTCTTAATACAGACGTAACTAGAGAACCTTCATTCTTTGACGGAACACTGCCAGCCTCTCTGTATGATGTAAATGGTAACTGTCGTGTTCATACATATTTCGTCCTGTTTAGTGCGAATAATTTGTAACGATGATGAGGGGCTGAGGAATAACGAGGAATTTGTCGTTCACAGCAAACGGATCTGATGACCACGAGACCACATGACCATTTTCTTGGCCGTTTATTGGCTTGATGTTTGTCATTACCCGTCCACGTTTAAAGTAACGTGAAGAGTATTGTTTTCACGTTCATAAAAAACGCGAGTGAGAAATTCACTGATCTATCGTTCTCATCAGTATACAGCGAACGAAGTTTCCTGTTTGCCCTAAAGCGTGCGCTGTTGGAGATAACATGACAACTTTAAATATTTTTTCTGTTTTAATCATCTTATCTCTTTCAACAGTGCAGTGCAGTAGACGTAAAAGTCAAATCACATATCATCAAATTCAAATTTTCATAGCGCTGCTAACCTATCTTACAAAAACACTACGCAGATTAAGAGTGCAGTGTATGATTTTGTTGTCCGACTATTGACAATCACTACTGGATGTTTCAGTTAACATAATGTCCTTTTCGTAAAGTATTAGTCTATTGTGTATTTATTTAGTCTTTTTAATCTATTTCATTACTATTTTAGTTTAGTTAAGGGCACTGTCATCACACTGATATATCATTCACTTATAACGACGATAATTTCATTGCTGTTTGTTACGTTTGTATCAGGAAATGGTTATTACATTCCTAACGCGAATGAACAAGGACTAAATGTTAAAATCAGTCTCCAAACGTCCAGGGACAATAGGGGAAGAAAGGACACTTCAGCAAGATATGCAACAGCATGGCTTGACCATGGAGTAAATCCAACTAACAAAGGCTATGAATACGCAATTATCGTGGGTACGAAACCAAGCACTATTCGGGTAAATATGTAGACATTCACTGCAAATTTGACCGCTGAGTGTTATTATTACGCTGGCATGTTTTTGGTGGAAAGGGCCCTTGACATGTGTTGTTAGCTACAATGCAACTGCATGGCTGATAATTTTTTCTTCACAGATGCGAATTTAATTCGTACAAATATTTCTTTCCAACAAGGCTACCTGACGGTAAACTTTTTTATCCTATTGCTATAACTTTGTAAATCAAAAACGCAAAATAGGAATTTTTCAAAGAAAAACTTGTCAAGGGACCAATCGCAGATCTGAAGTGAATGAAGGTTGGTGGCATTTGTGCTCAAAAGATGGGTTGGCTTGCTTTTCTCTTTTATAGTTGTTTCCTGGACAACAAGCGGGGCAATTTATAGCAAGTGGCTTTCCCCCGGCATACGAAGTAATTCACAAGGACAATAAAGCTCACGCAGTAAAGATCAATGACTGCCCAAGAAAAAACGACACTCAGTGGGGATATGCATTCTTTGACAAATCTGTTCGCACTCCTGGTCCTGTAAGGCGGGTTACTAAGGTAAATTTACAAACATTTTTTTTCGACATGGTTTATTCCGGGATGTTTGTGGTGAATACTTTAACTCTCTGAAAGGAAGGAGTGGTAAAGAACAGGGCTGACATGGGACCATAACAGTAACATTATAGTGATATTCGCCATATAGCACCTCCACAAACAAACTACACTTGCAATTCAAAAGCATTTCAAGTATCTTAACTATCTAAACTACACCGTTATTGAGAATGATGATTCTTTCAGAGAGCGACACAGGTGGCTCAGAAGAAAAGCTGAGTATTCTCAACAGGAGAATAACCTATGACTGTCTGATGACTAGTCCAGATGCTCTACCACGGAGCTACAGGAGACTTATGGGAGCTGAGGCCGATAAACTAGGCTCATGTGACAAACATCCTGCATATTGCGAGGACTGCAATGCCGATTATACAGGCGTTATTACAAAAAAAATCGCATTGAAAGTTGTGCGTCAATAATGGATTTTCGCATTGATTTCTATTACCTACACCAAGACTTTGACGACACCCAACGATACATTTCTGCTTTCCAAACGTCTCCACTTTTAAGAAGGTTTCCGAAAACCCAAATGTTTCGGTGTAGACGAAAGACCAAACGAATAAAAATGTGAGCGAGTTGCTGAGGTGTATTTTTTTCCCACAGCACCCTTGTCTTGTGATGTTTGAAGAAGACGACGAAGACAACGTGTACGTTTCTGTGTCGTATCCAAATCTAAATTTCAACATCAGTGAACCTTTGACGATTGGAAGCCGTGTCAATGCTCAACAACGGTTTTACTCTGTCAGCATGTCAGAGGATATTGAGGTAGGCATATGAAAATGAAAACCATTGTAGCAGTTTGACCCGGACTAGCCTGCAGTGCTGATACACTACTCTTCCAGCAGTGGCAGATCCAGACCTTCAGATAAGGGGAGAAGGGGGGGGGGGGTCATCCAGACCCTGAGGTAAGATAGGACTAGCCCACAGTGCTGACATTAACTTCAGCAGTGTGTTCAGGAATTACCTGCAGCGCTGACATCAACTCTGCCAGTGTGTTTAGGAATTGCCTTTAGCGCGCTGACATCAACTCTACCAGTGTGTTCAGGAATTGCCTGCAGTGCTAACATGAACTCCAACAGGGTTTTTAGGTCTAGCCTTTAGTGCAGGAGTAATGATTGTTTAGGCATCAGGGCAGTCAGTATTTCATTCCTGCAAGGAGCATTTGTGATTTTGACACGCAGGGGAAGATTGGGTAAAGCAACATTAAAACAGTACAGTGAGTAAAAAGTGTTGGATGGAAGATAAAATCTTAAACAAAATTTCTTGGTGATTATTTACCTAGGTTTTCAGTTCATCGTCTCCAAGTCTGGCATGAATATCCAGGTTTTAAATGGGAGGATTCTAGGCACTGTCAATGTTTGTATTATTACAATTTTAATTGCATGTTGCTAGAGTGGGCTTTTTCTTTTTTTGAGCATCAGAAAAGCCACATAACATTTTTTAAAGCCAAAAGCCACAAATGAATAAAACGTTTTGTCAAAAACCTTCTTTTTGAGAATCTCAATCACTTACTGGACTGGACCACGTGACTTACCGAGTGCCATCTTCTTTGAGTTCTTGCTTAGAGTTAATTCTTTTTTTTTCTATTTTACTAAAAGATACACAACATTTCTTAAACCACATTATCTTTTCTTTGGTTATTCTGTATCAGGTGTTTTTCCCAAAAGACGTCGAGGTCAGTATCGGTGATGTCAGGGTGAACGGTAAAATGGTAGCACAAAGTGAAAGAGGTGATCATGTAGAGGCCATTCCCAGAGGAATGGATCCTGCCAGGACAACATCACGTCGAATCAAATTCAAAGGTCTGTCGAAAGGATTCAGTAAAGAAGTGAAACTCAGGAGACCTTCTGCCCAAGCCAAAAAATGATTGATTTTACCGACGTGAGCTTCCGTTATAACTAACAAGTAAAACAAACTTCTTTTTCCTCTCCCTTTCATTCTTGGAAAAGGTCGTGATTTTTGGAAACATGTTATCTATAGAGCGTTTTCACTCACGTGACCAGCATCTATGCAAACTTATTAAACCAAAAGAAAGTGTTTACACAAGAAGAGAGATCAACTCCCACAAACATGGCCGCCGTTTTATTGTTTGGAATACCAATATGGCCGCCGTGACGTCATGTGAAAACACTCTATTGTGATGTTATCACACTATCTAAGGCACTTAAAAAGTTTACATTTTCACCATAAAAGCCACGCTTCTCTTTAATTTTCTACTGGTTAAAAAAATGACTGGTTGGAAAGCCAAACTACTTTTACTGCACACTTGAGTTATCGGAGCTTACATGGTGTTATTTCCTTTGTTAAAAGGCGTTAAGGATTTTAGTTTGTTGAGTGGTGACGCCATGTTATCCCTTTGTAGAAGCAATGAAATAAAACTCAGTTATACAAACTGACTTATTGTGTGTGTGAAGTCCTTGATCAAATATGCCATTAACAAACAACAGAAAAAATAAGCTGAATATTTACTATGTGAACAACCAACTTCCTCAATTAGTAGCCCACGGCTTGTCGACAAAATAAACAGATTACAAACCTTTTCAAAGAGAATTTCATAATAAGTCAACTCTATATAATCACTCTTTCAACTGTCCCTTATTCTATACTTCTAAACAACGTTTTAGTTCCTTTTTGAGATCATTTCCCACTCTTTGTTCTTCTTCACGAAACCAAGGACGCAGAACTCTTTAAAGTTTATAATTAGAGCCACTCCGTTGTTCAAAGTTAATTAACAGAGCGGAAGATCTAAGTATTGGCAGGTGTCGCAACGAAAGCAATACCCTCTAACTCAATTATCGAGAAGCTTATTTTCTTTACACTGGGAAACTTTTAATTCGAATTAAAATAAAGGCGTATTACAAAAACTTTTACGTTTTAGCCTTTCACCATGACAATTTTTCTATGTTTTTTCTTCAAATCTGCTCGGTGAGTTTCTCGCTAGTGAGTAATATAGGAACCGCTTAATATTACGGCTCTATTACGGTATACACTTCACAAGTCAGTCCAGCACTGTACCAAAACATTTCAGAAGTCTGTTAAGACCTTGACGGTAATTACTACTAAAAGTAACACAAATAATAGGGTTTAGGGCAGAGTTTAAGCACATCAAAAAGTAAGCAACGTAATGGAATAATTTGAAAATACAAGACGTCACGAGACCCGATGCAAAAATCTGCATTAAATGACCAACATTGTAAGGAATCCAACAAAGCAAAAAGGCTGTCACTATTGCAATGGCCATCTTAAGCACATTCCTGTTTCTTCTTGTGCGCTGTTGTTCGGCGATTGTTGAGAGTTCTCCTGGAAGAGACTGTTTCTTGAGTTTGATGAGGATGATAGTGTAAAAGGTGACTAACAGACCAAGAGGGATGTAATGGAACACTATGTATACTGCTAGAAAATGGTTCTTTCCCAAATGATTTTCACATTGTCTTCCTCCTGGGTGTTTTAAGGCGAGTATATTTGGTGAATAAACGGCCATAGCAACGATCCAAGTGGCTGGAATAAGAAACGAACACAGCTTACGACTGATAAATGGAGAACGAAGAGGAAATGTCACAGCTACAAATCGATCCACTGCAATCAGAACAAGGCTCTGGATCGACACACTGAAAGAAACATATGATAACAGAAGTACAACCTTACATATAGCCTGGTCAACAGAACCACCAATAAAAAACGAATGGAACTCTGCCAGACGTGAGGAGAACAGTACTACTGGAAAGAGAAAGTCAGACATGGCCATGTTTACGATCAAATAATTTATGGGTTTTCTCAAGGTCGCTGTTTTATAAACGAGTACTGCGATCAAAGAGTTTCCAACCAGCGAAACAATAAGGATTACACTCCAAAAGACGGTTTCTCCCATTTTTGCCGCTGCAGGATTATTAATAAGCCTAGAGCAGAGGCTTGATCCGTTCGTCGTTGTGTTCATGTTTGCTGCCTTCACACTCTAAAGCTCCGCTATTTTCGTACAAGCCTAAATTGTTTTGCCTAAGAGCTACCAAATACCATGTTTACCTTTACTTTATTATTAGAGGTTGTACAATTTAATTACCACCTGCAGAATCGAAAATTAAAACTCGTTATCAAGAAACTCATTAAAAGTTTAGAAGCTGCACGGGGGTAAGTACAGATGTAAAATGACTTAGACAGTCAAGAGCCAATCACGGCAACGGATGGAAGAAGCCTACTAAGTGTTATTTCCTACATGTACGTGTATGTAATCGACGAGTTGTCATTATTAAACAAGACAACAAAGGGCAGCCAGAGAATAATAAATTTTATTCACAATTAATTGCGCGGAGCAATCCTTGTTTATGATTATCTTGATTCTACTTCTTGGCCAGCCGTCGGAGTTTTTCTCTCTTATTTTTGTTGCAATGTTTCTTCCAAGGCTTGTAAGGCATAGCGCCGTCTTGTCCAGAGATCGCTCCCCCGAGCGGCCTGGGTCCAAGCGTAACACCACGAGAGAAGTAGCGGACGTGTTCCTTAAAAGAAAAGATCAAAGACAGCTTTTGCGAAAAATAAAACTTCATGGGATTACTTTATGTTTGAACTGATCTTAAAAGACAAAACAGCTCTATACATCGAAGGTAATAACGAAACAAGGCTTTATAGAAAAGGAAATACCTGTTTGAAGAAATCCTTGTCAACATCATTCATCTAAAAAAAAAAAAGAACGAAAGATGGTTATTGCAGCAGGTGGCTGAGTAATCTTTTTTTTATTGTTAAGTTTAAGTAGTTTCAATAACTAAATAAAAAAGAGGATTGCTGATCGCTTGAATTTGTTCAACGAGGGCTAAAATGGTACAAATTCTGCTGATGCCGGCGAAGCCAACAATGATGTATACAATGTGTCACCTGTCTGTGAACTTTATCTTTTTTGTTAGTTTCTTTGCCTTCAGCGTCGATAAGTTTCTGTACTTTGTATCCCATTTGTTCAAATTGTTTTTCGTCTTCTCCAGGAGGTACAATGCAGTACAACAATTTTCCCTGCAAAAACATAAAAACAGTATTTCGATCGGAATCTTGAGGGTGACTGAGAACCGTAAATGTATGTCAATGGGAAAAAAAATCTCCTATAAAGAGCAAATGCATGGATTTATAGGCACTGCTTGCATACAAATCTTGGCTAGCAAAGCTGACAATTAAATTGTTCACCTTGACGTAATCTTTCAGAATATAGCGAGCCGATCTGGAGCCGTCAGGGATTCCGTGTGAAGTCATGAAACCTCTGACATCTATAAACACAATCACCCCGAACGTAAACATGAGAGTAAAGATAGTTTAACAGGAATAACAACTTAAGAGTCCGGCATGATTTCACTATTTAAAAAATCCGAGTATAAAAACGACATAAGGATGGCCTAAAATAGCCATATACGGTTTTGTGCCTAGATTCAAGACGGGGAACGCTGGGTCAGTACGACCAAACCAACAACCTCAGTTTTGAAAATAGAACTGCAGTCCAAATCAGAAAGGTTGCTCAATTATAGAAGTTCAAACTGAAACTGAACTGCAGCTGAACGAAAATTTCGAAGTAACGTATTATTTTTTTACTTTCAAGCTTCCTGTTCCATAGTAATACAAACAACTGACTTACGCCCGTATGCCGAGAGTAGTTCGTCTGCAAATGGTGCCCTGTTGCTGTCATCTTCTTCTTGTGGTGGCGGAATAGTTATACCATAAACCACTTCAAGAACAGCGCGAGGAATTCTTTGACAGAGGTGAATATAGTTAGGGAAAAAGATACTTTCTTAAAAGAATTAATGTCCTAGCAAAGAACTGTTACAACATTGATAACTTTCAAATTATAATGCCTCAACGCTCTAATAGTTTCAACTGACAAAACGCCAACAAAAGGAAAAGACAACTAAGTTACAAGTGCTGAGGCATGATATCTCCTCAGAGTCAGCTCCTACTGTAAAATTAATTAGACAAAAGAATAACTGAGCATACGTTTTCAGGTCATGTGACGCAAAAGAGCCTCCGTAGGTATTTCTTATTTGCTTTGCTTAACACAAGAAATAGAAGACATGTGCTTGCACAGCAGGATGAGTGACAAGCCAATGGAAGATATTCACTTTTGACAATATAGTTTCAAGACGAAAAAGATATAAGAGAAACTGGAGGAATATGGTCTCTCATCTGGTCGATTGGTAAAATGCCATTCAGAATCATGTCTGCTTTTGTTGAGACAAATGAAGGAAAAACCAGGCCTGGGCAGTCACACAGGAGGACCTCATCATTAACATACAGAGTCTGAAATAAAACAATCACTTCTTTGTTAGAACAACATTTAAATTACAAACTCTAAACTCAGTAGTGGCAAGATGAGGCAACATATTTTGAGGGAGGTACGAAGAAGGAGGAATGTAGTGTTTCATGGAAGCAGCTTTACACTTCTGTGAAATTTGTAAGCCCAAACTTCTGTTATTGTTATCCTCATGACTTGTTGGTTCAGAGCAAGTTATTATGTTATTACATATGACAACATTTTGGCTGGGTCATGTACTTTAAGTTGTCTTGACCAGTTGATCCCTTGATAGCCTGTGTAGCCTGCAGTGCATGAAATTAACATGGGCACAAGAAGATGGGAGATAAGTGTGCACATCGTTCTCACTTTCATCATCCTTATTTATTTCAACAGTGTCACGCACCTGAAAGTGTTTCGTTCGTCCTGGAGTAGCTGATACAGGAACTTTCTTGTCATTCAAAAGTGTGTTGATTGTTGAACTTTTCCCAACATTTGGATACCCAACCTGAAGGCATCCCAGTTCAAAATATTAGTAAGCTTATTAGTAACAAAAATGCTACTTTTAAGCAACTGGACTGACAATTTTAACCTTGCATGAGATTGAATTCTTAAAGTAGGTGTGCCTGCAGATGTTTTGCCATGGTAAGTGAAAACATTTTTGTGAAAGGTAACTTGTTGTTTGTTGCACCTTTAAGAGCAATTCTGTTTCTGTAACACCATGGCTAGTGACTGTCAAATAACATTAAAATTGAACAGAAAAATGATTTCTTTTTTCTTATTAATATTTGAATAGTATTTTTGGTAATTCAACATACACAAAACAAGCTATCATACAAGAACAAAGAACATAATGATCTTGAGCTACTGATTTGGCCTGGTACAGTACAAACCATGGCAGGAAAATTACAATGATAAAAAATTATTATTTTTAATAGTTGATTGCAAAGTACTTACCAACCCAACAGTGGTAAGAACTGTAGTCTGTGTATGTTGACCTGACTCCTCTAATTTACTCATGTGAAGCATTTTAAACAATGCAAGTAACTCATCCCTTGTCAATAGTTGCCCTGTCGCATTTTTCTCATCAATGTTATCTGAGTTGCCAGGTCCAGAATCCTGTGATTCATCTTCTGAATCACTAACTTGTGACTTTTCTTCATTTCCAACAGCCTCAATACAAATGTTTTCTGAGGGAGGAGAAACTTCTTTAACAGTTGAAGATAAAATGTCACATTTTGTCCTTGTGTCTTTAGATTGTTCATTTTCCTTAATACATGTGTCACTTCCGGTGTCCTGTTCACAAGAGTCAGAACCCTGTGCACCATCACTATATCCAGTAGATAGATTTTCAGTACATTTTGACTGTAAGTCTACTGAACTCTTTGTTGTCTCATCATGTATGTTATGATCCTCAAGTGATCCTTGTTCCTCTTCATGTAAATGTAAAAGTTTCTCCTCATTCTCAACAGACATTTCAGAAAGTCTTGACCACAGTGTTGTTTTCTGGATATCACTTTCTGCTTCTTCTTCTCTTTGTTCTTCTTCCTTCTCTTTCTCTTCAAGGATTTTATCACCATCTGCTGCTCTTAACTGAGAATACAAGTCTGTATTAATAAAACGTTATTTCTTCCTTGGAAATAGAATCTTCCACTCCTTTTTTACCTTTTGACAATGACGGTAAGCTAGCAAAAAGCAATAAAAAAAACGGAAAAGAGTGCCTGAAAATCACAAGTAATTTTAGGGTGTTAATTCTGAGTTTTGCTTACTAGACCATGTCAAAAGTTGTAAAAAACTGTGGAAGGGTCTTTTGTATTTCTTGTTGGAAAACAGGAAAGGAACTGAACAACCTCCAGTGATGAAAAAAAAAACACTGACAGTCTGACTTTGTTTTTTCATGTTTATTGGAAGAGAGCCTATCACATGACCCACACATAGCTGCCTATTATACTCATGTATAACACCATCTACCACTGTTTTGCTGCACATCAATTCTGCTCATGTGTAGTTTTATCCTTGTTCTTTTGGTGAAAACTGGCAGATCAAAAAACATTGAGAATATTGGAGGGAATTACAGCACTTTTGGTCACAGTTTTCAGTTACATCCTTAAATATTTTATTACACCCATCATTCTCCTACCTTCATCAATCGATCATTTTCTTGCTGTGCAGACCAGAAAGCTACCGGTAACCCAATACTTTTGAAATATCTTGCCCATGAACATCTACAAACAATATATAAATAATTAAGTGATAAAATCATATACAGGTAACATAAAGAGGAGTTAAGAAGAATTTTATTATCACCTTTGTTCTGGAGACAAAAAATCAGCTTTGTTTATGAGTAAAAGATTGCACTTGTTTGGATCAACTTCAATAACATAGTTTTCCTATCAAAATAACAACAGTGGAAAGATAATGAGTACATAATTTAAATACATCCCATTATGATAAAGTTCACTGATTTAAAATGTGTAGTGTTTTGGTTCAGTCGTATCCTTGATGTTACAAAAAATTAAAGGGGGAAAAAGTTGTAACACAAATGAGAGGTAATGAAAAACAACTTTATTCTCAAAAATTAATATCATATTAAAAAAAATGGAAGTATTAAAAAATCTTAGCTTATTCTAAGGCATGTTAACCTTAACAAACAAACAAAAATGCAGTTGGACAGGAGTAAACAATTATCCTATGCTATGTGTTCTAGCAAAATTGTTGGAAAAATAAACATTGAAAGTTAGTTTCATTCTTACCAGATCTTCACACCTAAACAAGAGGGGGTTTCTTGCATCCACAATCTGAACAATTACATCACTAAAAGAAATTAAACAAACCACGGTATCATGCAAATGGACAAAAAGAAAATGTTGGATTAACTGTATGATTAACTAGGGATAAACAAATTTTTGTACAAATTTTCACATTTGTAACTTTTAATTTTTACATGTATTGATGTCACCTTCATGTTTCTGATCAACAATTTTTCAATGTGTATCCTTAAAAGCTGTCTCCAAAAAACTCAAGATTACGCTCAAATGGTGTAAAGCTAAGAAAACAAGATATGTTCTTTTTTGCACTTGCAACCTAAAAAAAAATAAGATTACGTAAATAATTAATTTAAAAAAATAATAAACAAAGTAACTAATTTAAAATAAACCATAACATTGGGCAACATGGCCAAGAGCTTCGCACATCTACATGAACACAATCACCAAAGCTCTTACTGTGCAAGTTGCCTTCTCCAGTCAAGAAAACTTTCCCTTTCTTGTTGATCTAACTCCTCCACAGTCATGTCCTTATCCCATTCAGGTCTGCAAGTAGAGAAATATAAAGAAATTACACCCTTTCATACAGTTCAATCAACGACTGTGTCCAGATGTGAACAATTTTAAGATAAATATCATTATGAAATGTTTAATATTGTTTTCTTAAAAAAGGTCAGTAATAGAAACAAACCTGCGAGGAATCCTAAGGAAATGTTGATTCTCTTGCTGAGCTTGCTCGATTGCTGCAGCTGTTTCCCTACTCACAAGCCCGTCATTGTGCCTCTCAGTTATGATTGTTGTGTTAAGTTTTTCTGCAAGCAAGGTTATGATACCAGTTATATGCAGAGAAACATCAGTGGTATAGATTCATGAGTATGGGCTATATACATATGCACTTCTGTGAAGGGTTCAAGTAGGGTTGTCAAGCAGATAAGTCAAGGAAAGGGTATAAAAATCAAAGAGTTTTAATCAAGAATAACAGATCACTTATTTAATCAGCTGTACAAGTATGAAGACTGGAGTCCCTGATTCATATCAAGTGTGCGATAGGGTCAGGATTCTTTGTACCTAGTACAGTGGAACCTCGATATAACTGTGGTGTATGACATCATACCACATCAGCGTGTAAAGAATGTTGTGTCTGATAGCCCAAGGCTAGTGGATTTTGCTATCAGGCTAGAGATTTTTGTTCTTAACTTGCCCGACGGACAAGTGGTGTTTTTTGGGGAAATTCAAATTACAGAAGGATCGTAATCAATCCTGTTAATCAAAAAGGGTTTTGGGGCTAGTTGAAATGACTTGTGGGCTAGTAAATGCTAGCTACAGCTTGCTCGAATGGCAGGCTGTAAAAGTGACTTTCTTTGCACCCTGCACATGCACTTGCACCACACTCTTGCACTGGTTGTCACATGCTTTTGTGTAATTCGGTGGCAGAATATAAAAATCTGTTGAATTTCTGAAGCTTGATCTGTTCTTATGCCTTACGGAACAATGCAATACGTTGTATGTACAATAACAAAGCCCTCAGTATAAAATAACCCTTTTCTTTAACTCCAGTAATAGGAAAATATGATTTAACGAAACCTTGTTAGATCGAACAAAATATTCCAGTCCCTTGGCCCTTTATTGTGGCTTCAGTGTTTATTATATTGAGGCTTCCAGGGGCGGATCCAGGATTTTTTTTTTTTGGAGGGGTGCACTCGTCTCTTGCTCTACTTCAACACCAATAAACCACATAGTTTTTTTTTTTTGCAGAATACCAGTTGTATTAAAAACCGCAGGTCATCTCCCCCCCTCACCTCCCAATCCGCCCCCTGCAGTCCCATGGAAAACAAATAACTCTTACAAGAGTACAAATAACTCTTACCTGCTGCAAACTCTGTGCCAGCCAATTCAGCTGTTGCTAAAAAATCATCCAAATCAGTTTGTTCTGTTATGGATTGAACACTGGGTCCTGGATCGCTATCCAACTCACTGCAATGCAGCTAAAACAGAATGACGTCAACTTTGATAATCAAAAACATTTCGTAATTTTTAAGCTTTGTCATGATCATTCTTTGTAATTACTTGGAAGTATGTTCCTCAGATAACCTCATTTTAGGATAAAACCAAACGAACTATAGCTCATTAAATTTGCCTTACTCGTTCGATCTTTGAAGCCTCGATTTTACGAACCATAATTTTTCATTTCCCATAGACGGAATATAAGCTAAGCTTAACAAGGCCATGAGGACTCTAAAATCGTGATTCTATGACTTACCCAGTTATTGGCATGCTTAATATTTCCACTGCTCTTTGTTCTTTGTTTTATGATACTTTTTCCTAAGCCTTGACTGTTCTTTTTACCCATTATTAAATTAAATTTACCAAGTAGCTAGTAAGAAATTGAGAAATCATACACGAGAACACTGAACAATCCATAAAACCGCTGTGTGTTCTTTTTGGCCTTTGTATATGGCAAATGTAGTGTCCACGGTCACGGCTCAGTGAAAGAACGTCAGCGAGTTAGCAGCAAGTGAGCTGTCGCTGGGAAACCATAAAACAAAGGAATGTGATTAAGGAATGTACGTGGAAAAGAAACAAGAATCAAAGATGGAGGAAGAATTGACGAAGGAGGAAGGAATATGGACGAAGTTGTGGAAGTTTCGACCGATCTTTTACGCCGTGATAACTCGAGTAATGTTCTTTATTCACGGATTCATGTCTGTATGGCTTCTTGCTCACTGTTTCAAGAACCCCATGTACTGGGTAACCATTGCTGGCGTTGTGCTGTTGTTTTTCGAGATGATGTATACGCTTCTCGCTCGAAAAGGACAAGAATATAAATAGTAAGTAACATTGTGTTATCATTTTTTTTTCTTGTACATGCCTACAGTCTGAAGTCTGCATGGAAGAATAATGGCGGCTGACGGTGTTATTAACAGTCGTCTGCAATAAATTGACATGACATGCTTTGCTTGCATGCTTTGGCAACCTGAACAGTGTTCCCCTGTACCCTCCTTTAGATAGTCCCCTACTAAAATAAATGTTGTCTCGGGATTCCTACACGAGAAATTATATGTTGATATTTGTGTAGAAATTATAGTTAAGTGGCCTCAAAAAAGTTCTATGGGTAGTTAATAGTCCCTTCTGATGTAATGCATGTAGTTTGTTATATCAATGTCACTTTGATTGTTCTTTTTTTTCCAGTTTCTGGCCCAGCTGTTTTTTCTACATGTCCACAATGATTCCAATTATCTGGGTTGCAGAAATAGAATTTCTAAATGAACGTATTCAAGCAACCAATGAAGCAAATGACACATCCTCAACTCCCAAGAGTCCTATCCCTGGGGTAGGTAGTTTTCATAATAAACTCTTGAACATTAAGTTATTGCTTCATTGCTTAATAAGCAGTGGGAGGTGCGCTGGCCCGGGGGATCGCTCCAGAGGTCAGGGTTCAGGGTTTTTCTGGTCTCCAAAAAATTTTTTCAGTCCTTCTGGCCTCACTTTAGTCTAAAAATAAGGGGAGGGGGGCAGGTGCCCAGCCCCCCCTGGGTCTGCTACTGGTCAGGGTTATAATGTCGTGTTCTTGGGCAAGATACTTTAGGCCCGTTTCAAGCATTGTGCTACTGCTGTGCCGAACTCAATTGATCGAATTGAATTCAACTTTAGTACGGCAGTAGCACGACGTTTGAAACCAAATCGTGCTACTACCGTGTAGCACGGCAAGCCTTTCCGTGCTACACGGCAGTAGCTTGACTTGGTTTCAAACGTCGGCTACCGCCATGCCAAACTCAATTCATAAATTATAAATACATTAGAATATATTTAAAAGTTTGCTAAACCATTTCTTTATTTTTGTGTTTTGTTTTTGGCAACAGCTGTTCCATTCGACTGTCATTGTGTGAATTAAATTCGACATCTGAAACCAAGTCGTGCTAGTGTTGTGCTGCAGTCGAGCTCCAGTCGAGACAGCTTAGCACGGCAGTAGCATGACAACAGGAACAGAAACAGGCCTTACAGCTGTACCCAGTTATGTAAAAGCTGCAATTTAATGCTGGTTGTAACAATAGCCTTGTTCTTTCAGATAGTCGTTGGAACGTATTCTAAAGCGAAAATAAGACCAGTTATGTAAAAGGGAACCTGCAAATTTAATGCTGGCAGTAACCCTGCAATGGTCTGTTATCCTGTCCAAGGCAGGAATATAATATTAATATTCTTAGTCCCTTAGAACTACAGAAACTGGGTTAAACTCTGACCTGATGAGGCACTTGGCTGGTATGCAGACTTTTTGCCTACTTTCACCTCAATTAACACTAATAGCCAAGATAAAGGCCGGGGGGTCAGCTGCTTTTTCCCCTCAACAGACATAAATGAAGAAAGATTCTTCAAATTTTGCTGATCATCAAGTGTTGTCATCTCTCTTTGTGCCAGGTTTTCAATACAGTTGCTATATCTACTCAAACCAGCTGCCTACTGTACTTTATTATTTTTTTTCCAACCTGTTTTGAAGTGTCTTGTTTTTGGAAATAACTTTTTTCTTTTTTTAAATTTACTTTCAGTGTTTTGGAAATATAAGCACACAGACTTTGGCCAGACAGGTGTGCGAGTTGGGTTTGATTATTGGTATGATCATAGGCCGATGGCTGTTACCCAGAGGAGAGATAACCCGTGACCAGCTGTCTGCACTTTTGTTGGGCTATGTTGGTACAGCAGCCGACACCTTAGAGCTATTTGAAGTTCTAGATGAACAAGCTGTCAGCACAGATCAGCAAGTAACACATGCTGTATTAGGTGTGTATACCTGGAGCTTGCTGCAGTTCTGTCTTGTCACAACAGCTACCACTGGAAAAAACAACCAAATACGCATCACAAACAACAAGGTGGGTATAATACTTTTGTTAGCTTTAGTTAAATCCAAATGTGGTGTTGCAAATAGTGAAAGTAAAAAATAAACATGAAAAATGTTAGAATTTTGATAGAGAAAGATTGGTTTAGGCTTAGGGACTCTTTTCCAGGAAAGATCTAGATCTCTGTGCATTCATGTTTGACGCCTCTCGACCATATTTAAATGGCATTTAATGGTGCCAGGATTTTTTGCAAAAATGCTTCAAACATGATGTTTTTTCTTGTGATGCATGTATTTGCAAACATGGTGCAGCAGTCAAGGAGTCAAACTGGAAAGCAGGGGACCCAGGATCAAGAAATTTGACCTGCTACAGCTCTCTTCCGTCATAAATAATCTTTTTGTTACCAAATGATCGGACGTATAACTCAAAATGTTACTGCAAAGAGGGAAGGTATAATGTTAAGGGCATTATTTTTTTCCTTCCAGGTGAACCCTGATGATGTAATAAATCGTAAGATTAGTTTGCATAAGTATGGGAAACAAGAAGACCTCAAAGAGAGATACATTCAGAGATTACAAATGAAAAGGAGACAGACAGAGATGAATATGATGCGTGGAAAAGGGTTTAAAGGAGTTAAAGAGAGGAAGATCAACCCAATTACTACTGCTCGTGGGGAGGTGAAGGAGATTTCTCGTCGAGAAATGTTGCTTCATGGAGATATATTTGGAATCCTGACTGGTATCTTTATGCAGGATGGGCCATTTCTCATTCTACGACTACTGCTTATCATAAAGTACCAAGTGTACAGTGAGATGCACATTTTCTTTACTTGTAAGAATGCCATTGCTTTAAGCCTCCTTGTATATAGACTGTGTATTCTCACATGCAGTGGTGAAGATGAGGAAGATGTAGAGCACCAGCAGCAGGAGTCAAGATTGCAGAATGTTCAACAAGCTGTGTTAAGTGAGAACTTCCAAAAGGCTGGTGCAATTCAGCTAGCAGGATAGATAAATAGTTAACTTCCATTGACTTTATATGCTACTGACTCCTGAATTTACATCAAATCCTGACATTTTTCCAGAGCTGCTAGAGGTTGATGTCCTCAGTGCTAGGTATTTTTAGGCAAGGTTAAAAATGTCTCTTTTCAAAGTGATCTCACTTAAAAATTTTTCAAGTTAACTGCAGTGGCCATTTAGAGAGACGTCTTAAGTGCTTGAGGGTACATGTATTAGTTACATGAGTACTGACTTGTTTGGTGGAAAACAGAACAGGAAAATGTCAAACTAACCCTAATCCAAATCTCCAGTTAATTTTTCCAACCTCCTCCCTCCCACCAACTTCAAAATCTTAGTGACAGTCCAGCCAGTAAATTGAATAGTAATTCTCATCATATTTCAGCCATGATTCAATCAAATACTAAATCTGCATACACTTCTATAAGATTTCTCAAATCTAGTTACAACTGTCATTTTAAACTCCTACTTTTATTAAATAACTTGTCTTTTTGTTGTCACAGTGCAGTGTAGTGACTGATGTACATATATAACATGTTAAAACCAAAAAAAAGGAGATTACAAACCTGTATTTTAAAGTGACACCCCTCTGGTTACAACATGCACAAATATTAATAAATTACATGTGATTATTACTACATGTTGAACTATGCGGATGAAATTTTTCTATGGACGCTCTGTAAACATCTTGTCATCAATGTCAAAAACACATTATTTCATTTACAGAACACAACCCTTGATTACAAAATTGCAAAGAACAGGATTGTCAAAAATTCAAGAATGTATCACACTGCCATGTTACAAATTAACTTTGTAGGTACTTAACTTGTAAGACTTTATTTACACACAATATCACCTTGGTCATATAAAATAAACTCACTTGCCAAAACAGACCTTGCAATACCAATGTATATACTTTAACCTGAGATAAGGCCCAATTTTAGCAGTTGTTGTACATATTTTTATTTACCTAGTGAAATGGAAATTGAGCCTTATTTCAGGTTATACATACTTTTGCAATATTCTTGTATATAGTAACAATATTATTTTATTCTTGTCATTTATTATTTTTTTAATAAAATGTTGAAAAAAACTCTTATGAAGTGTATATTACTGTGTGTTCACCAATTTGGAGAGGCTAAATCTCTATGCAACTATAGCCTGAGTGCATTCAGTAACGGAATCTCTGTAGAGCATGGTGTAGATGAACTTCATTCCCCTGTTTCTTGGTGTTATGGAAACCATTGTTGTGGTTTGGGTATTGTTTAGCCTCTTTTCAGTCTTTTGCATCACATTATTTGGTGATTGCACCTGTCTGCAACACCGAGAAAAAAACGCATTTTTTGAGGGGGGGATAACTACACATGTGAGATAAATCAAGTGAGCAGTGAGAATCATGGGAGGGCTGTGAGTATTTTGATTGTTCCATGGGAGAATTGTGGATGCACTGAGGTACCAATGGCTGGAAAGAACAGCTGCTCGCAGTTAAGCCCAAATTTTATCTGGCAACATATTCTGTTTCAGCTGGTCTTTGGTTTTCTTTTATCAGCATTTTTTCTAAATCCTTTCTTTGTTTTAGGAACCCTGAATTTCTTTTTCTTTTTCTTTTCTTTGGTAGTTTGTTTGGTGTCACTATTTTCTGTGTCTTGTTTTGGTTCAGAAGTTTTATTCACATTTTCTTTTTGACCAGTGGTCTCTGCAAAAGTAAATAGAGAAAATATCATGAGAGAGGGCAATAATTAATATGGATAAAAAAAAAATTGTAAACATGCTTTATTTAATATCCCAGCTCTTTAATACATTTATTTTACTTTCATATATTGATGCATTATAAGGGACGGAACTTCTAAAACACTGTTTTCTTTTGCGAAAATTGTGAAAGCAATTTGCTAGCAAATTTTTGCTAACAAGATCAATCCTGGACATAAGTGGGTGTCAAAGCAGGTTAATTGATGTAGGGAGACAATAAAAGAGACCATCCATGAGAAAATGAAGGTGAAGTTGGCAGCAGTGTGCAACTGATAACCTGCTGTTATTCTAACAAGAGCCAAGTCACTTTTTTAAAAAACCCATAAAGTACATATGTACATGTTATGGCATTTGTAGAAGACTGCTATATTATGTGCCCTGTTGTTTTGATAACCAGGAAGTATGTCCAGATTCCTACCTTCAGTTGTAATTTTGTTGGAGTATTTTTTCAACTTGGCAACAAAGAAGCCATCCATATTGTGAGTGTGAGCAAAAAATCTCCTTGTCAGTTTAAGAGAAGGATGAAAATGTCTCCCTCTAAACCTGAAAAAAGTAATTTTATCATAAGAATAATAAACAAATGCATGGATGATTGAGCAGAAAAACAACTGAAAAAATTATCACTATGTTAGTAGATGAAAAGATGACAGAGCAGACAAGTAACTGAAGTGTATAAATTATCCCTTTGTTAGTTCCTTTTTATTTCACAGGAAATAACCAAGAATTAATTTGTTTTAAGTTGCTGCTAAGTTTATAGAAAAGAGGAAAAGAATGACCACATATTGCTCAGCAGTATCACTGAAAGATCCTTTCCTTTCAATTAATTGAATAATCATTTTTGTAATGAGTATAATGAGACTACCAAGATAATTTAATATTTTTGTTGAAAGACTAACCAGGCTATTTTACCATGATATTATATAATAATAATTAACTTTACTAGCGCCAGAATGTTGCATATTTTATTATGTTTCCTTACTTGGTGAATCCTTCTTTACCAAAGTCGAGGCCAGTTGATACAAGCTTGACATGTCTTTTACTGAGGGCATAGTCAATTACCCATTCATTTTCTTCTACCTGTTAAATATCAACAAAAAGAGTAACATTAATGTGCCAGTAATTATAGTGCCCAATGGCTGTTAGTGTTTGTTGATGCCAGGAAGGACCAGTAGCTGGTTCTGTTCACTAGTGCGTGGATTATGAACCTCTTGTGCACAGTGTGTATATATTACTGTACCATTCTTGTTGATGAGGCTCCCGCGAAAAGTGCGAGAGCCTCAAGGTGCCATCCAATTAATAAGCCTTTAATAACATTATTTCAATTTTTAGTCTTTCACTTAAAATTAATATAACAACTACACTACAACTATTGCTAATGACTTGCATCATATTTTACACAGTATAAAACAAAACAAAAAAATAAATGGCTTACAAGAACTGAGCAGGTAGAATATACAATGTAACCACCAGTGGATGACTTAGCATCTGTAGCATCAATTGCTGCTAATAAAAGTTCTTTTTGGATATGAGAACATCGCTGGATATCTTTTTCTGTCTGCAATAAGTTAACAAAACAATAAAGCAAGCAAATTAGAGAAGGAAAAGGTGGTAAAAAAACACACATGTCTGCTAATAGTAGTGTTCACTTTGCTATTGATCATGACATTTCAACCACCTACTGCCGGTTGTCTTCATCAGGTGATGATATTGATTTATTAAATGGGACTTAGTATGGGTAGCACTATGAACCTCACCCGCAGTTGGTGGGTTTTGCCTCGATGATATAGCCAACATCTGACTTATGTTAGCTAGGCAGCTGTTATTAAGACCATATAAAAATAGGAAAGAAAAATCTGTTCCATGTATGCAACTGAATGTAAATCAGTACAATATTAATCTAAAACTGTCATAAAGAGAAGGGTGAGATATTGTTATAATAATACCTTGTTGATTTTGACAGACTGATCTTTTGATATGACTCCTGTGCCACTACACGGAGCATCAAGCAGAACACGATCAAAACCTGCCATCACCTTCAACATAAAGATCACCGAAAAAGTTATATAAACTACGAGTCATCAAGGCACTGACTACCAGTGTAACCTATACAACAGATGTCTCTGAGAACCTGACTGGAAGATCATAGAACTTCAAAAGTACATAATGTAAGAACAGCAATAGAATGCTGGTAGACAAATTAAGCAAATACCTTGGGGAATGCTCTACCATCATAATTGCAGACCAAGGTGTTGCTTATTCCTTTAAAAATGAGAGAAAATAGAACACCATAGTTTAAGTATACAATATCAAGTTTAATAAGTTATGAAGTGAGAAAGGTGTTGATAACAGGGAGTTTAAGCAACAACGGATGGTGACGGCTACAAAAATGTCACAAAAAAATGAATGCTCCCTGCTTTGAACTTAATGACATTTTTTTATTTTATTCCATCTTGTTTAAGTTCTCAAATTTGGGAAAAATTTTTTGGAGTTGAGTTCTACAGGACTGTATCAAAGTTCAGGAAAATAATAGGAAGTTGTTTTCTACTGTTCCCATACTCAACAAAACAAGAAATTAGGCACTTTTACAGCGTAATCCTGCAACAACGTCAAAGAAATGTACAAAAAGCATGATGCAAGTGCAGATCGAGAGCTCTGTTGTTTTGCTAATCTAAACCTATTGCTTGTTTGCTTTTCTCATTGCTATCGCTGTTGTCATTGCTTAAGCTCCCCAATGTCACCAGAATGGGTCAATGGGCCCAGTAATCAGGTTTCAATGTACTTAATGGCTCTGTTCTATCATTGGGGAGAAAAGAGAGTTTTCAATTCTCATCAACTCACCTAATCTGTGGATATTGGCCACCAAAGCTTTTGTTCTCTCCCTCTTAGCATCATTAGCCACCACCAAACCGGTGTTCTTCAGGAGTGAAGCTACAGAAAGGCAATGTTAAAACAACTGTAACTTAACATGTTTCGGAATTGAAAACAGCACAGTAAACAAATTTTGCAGTCATATGGTGGTAAAAGACAATAGAAAGATTGTGAGTCATGCAACAAAAACAGAAAGCATGTCTCAGGTGTACATGTACATGTCAATAGTACAGGTGTAGGCACTGTAGTGATCTGAAATTTAATGATGAAAGGGGTGAAAACTTCAAAATCCTCTATCCACTATTAGTACTAACAACTATACAAACCACGAGTAAGTTCCAATCAAAACATCTGATTATATACTTACCAATGTAGGTTGTTTTTCCTCCAGGGGCTGCACACATGTCCAGAATGCGTTCTTTCTCCTGAGGTGCTAAGGCCATCACAGGGAGCATGGAGGAAGCCCCCTGTAACATGTAGTGTCCAGCTAAGTATTCTGGGGTTGCTCCTAAAATCAGGAACAAAGGTTAATATATGCCTTTGAAAACCATTTGAACCTACTTTCCTTACCAAAATGATTTTTAAAACTGTTCTGTTTTGAATTTATATGGGAATTTGAAGTTGTCACATACATAAATAATAAAAACTGCAGGCAGTTTTTGGGCATTTCAGACATTAATTATAAAATTGGTTTGTGAAAATACGTTGAAATAACTACCAATAATAATTTGAACGCATTATAAGTATTAGCAAATTTAGAAAATTAAATGAAAAAATGCTGTCATTAAATACATGACATCCATTAGATCACTTTGTTTGAATTAGGGTGATGAACACTCAGACCCTGATGTTCTAATGTAAATGTCACTAGATGTACTGGTACATCAGTTTAATTTGTAATTTGTCAGTCTTTGGACATATAACCTGAACACAAATGTTTAATACATCACCACAGACAGTGTACAAAGCTTACCAATAGGCACTGAAGAGTCATACACAACCAGTCCAACTTTGGACCATTTGCCAATTGGATCTAAATTGACTCCACGGTTGATGAGAGCCTGTAGAAAGTGGGAAACAATGAATCAGCGAATTCATAGGTTTAAGCCATTGTTAAAATTAATGAGAGAAGCACTGCATTACTATTATTACACTCTTTCTTTTTTAAAAAATGAAAAAGTCAAAAATAAACATTGACGGTGTACCTGGGCAAGATCTCTTCTTCTTGTCTTTAAAGTGTTTGTTCTTATTGTTACTGGTCTTTGCACTTCATTTGCCTCAAGAAATTCTAGAAGCTATAAGATATCAAAAGACGTGATTACATTTATCTAAAAAGATCGATACACAATAATAATTGTTCAAAGAACAGATTTTACTTAATTATTTGAATCATGAATATTAAAACTAAAAAAAATTCCCATAAAGTAATTTGTCTTTGTAAATAATTTTTATTTCATTTTTACTAAGTCTCTCTTACTGTTTTACCTCATTCAAGGGAAATAGCTCCACAAATTTTTCCATAAGAAATTTTCCATAACTATAATATGTACAAAGGTCATTGAGAAGCAGTTCAATGTATTCCTGTCTGGACCTGCAATTAAACAAAGAGCACATGTGTACTAAACCTTTAAACCCTAATATCAAAATTCAAATTCTCATTTGTTATCCCAGTCATTTTCAATAGACGTGGTGGGGAGAATTTTTCAAAGTATCAATTAGCTTGTGTGATCATGTCCTCAATTCTCATGACCACTGTGTTTTATGAAGCAGTGATAATACAAGGAAAACTTTGATGCTGATCACTCTCAGGGCTTAAAAGGTTCATGATATTTCATTTTTGAATCAAAATTGCTGACAGATGATGCCCCTAACCTCAGTAAATACATGTAATAACAATGACTAGTCAAACTTCTGAAGAAACAACTTCTAGATATTTCAAAAGACTGAAAATCTTAAGTCACCAATAATGCATCATCATCAAATATGACAATTTCCCTTGTCAAAGTTAGTATTATAACTGCATTGATTTGAGATGACACTACCTAAAAAAGATGCCTCATGATTTGTTTATATTACCTTCCCTCCTCACGAGCACTGTTGAAGTTACTGAGGGCCTGTAGGTTGTCTCTGATTCTCTGATTGATCAATGCTAAATCAGCATGCTCATTTGCTGTGGAGGAATCATGACAAGTTAGGGTGTAGTTGTTTCAAGGAAGCTTGAAAAAGTTACTACTGTGTACAGGTAGTGGGTTTCACCTGCGACCAAAGACTCCATATTTGCCTGGGTCCATGAAGACCATAAATAATATTGTTTGCAAATGAGAGAGATGAGTTACAAAGTTACATAACAAAGTTGAACCTCTACCCAAGCAGTTACTTGTAAGGAAACCTCTATGATATGGACCAGACACTCCTGCATCACAAATTAAAAACAGTACAAGATAATAAAAAAAATGAATATACCGGTACCCACATAATTAGTAACCTCCGTTAAGTGGACAAGGCTCTTTCCCTTTATTGTTCATACTATCAGATTATGGTCTGTACAAACACATGTATCTTACAGATAGGGCTTTGTGCTTGTTGCTCTTTTCAAACTTTCCTTATTAAATGTTGCACATAATATTGTAATATTCAACAAGAGTATACTCTCAAAGTACCTTCTTTCTCAATTTCTTGACCACTTGGAAGCACAAACACTTCTGTTTCAGAAATGTTAGTTTTTAACTCTTCTTCTGCTAGAGCCCTGGCAAAGGAAAAACAAGTCGACAACCATTACAATTGTAAAACTTATGGACCAATAATGTAATTTACAGGAATGAAAAAAAAAATCAGCCTTTAGGAACACCAATAATAATTATATTATTAGTACATGTGTTAAAAATTTTAAGTGTGTATGTTAAATGTTTTAATATTACCAAATTGCATTATAACCACTATCTGAACAAAACTAACTTGTCTCTGGCCTTCTTTTTGTCCAACTTTTTGGATTTCTTCTCAATGGGAAGCATCTGAAACAAAGATTTCAGTATAAATTTAATGTAATATTTTCACTTTGATCAGAGTCAGACATGAGTGCACCATACAAGGATAATACCTCATCATCATCATCACCATCATCATCATCATCATCACTGTCATCATCTTCATTGCCGTCACTTTCACCACTAAATTCATCAGCTGGCTGTAGAAAATATGAGAGAGAGAAAAAATTAATTCAAACATAAATGTTAACAAACCTATCCGTACTTTCACATTCAGTTAGAAAATTGACTGCAACTTTACCATGTCATCATCATCACCATCCTCGTCATCAGTACTTTTCTCCTGTGCAAGCTTTAACCAACTTTTGTTCTCATCACTGAAAGGTCTGAGTATAGATTTTGGGTTTTATCAAAATTCGATTCACATTTATTTTAGATTGGAGGAACTTATACTTTAAAAAACAGAATTTAAACAGAATTTAATTTAAACAGAATTTATAAACAGTATTTAATAAAGCAATCCTTACATTGACTTGAAATTCACTTTCACCTCTTCATCTAGGAAATTAACAAAAAAAAGTTGTGGTAAATTTTAGTCTTCAGGGGGGATGCACTTGAAAAACATTTATTTCAATTTATTTGTTAAAACTTTTGTCAGTGGAAGATCTGGGGAAGAGGCCTGCCCCCAAAGGCTGACAGCTTGGTCAAGAAAATTTTGTTCCTGAGTTGGCCTGCGTTATCTCACAGTCTGGATTTGTATGTTAACATGGACAAAAATGAATCTTTTCAAATATCTATATTTGTGGTATATATTATAATGTTACAATGCTACATGTACATCAATACTGCAACAGAACAATCATACCACTTGAATCTTCACCAAAAATGTCCTCAGATTGATTTCTGTCCTCATCATCACTACACTGCTCAAGATGCCTTTAAGAGTAAACAATATACAAATATGTAAACATATCATACCCTGGATATTTATTAATGGTCTAGAAATTGATAATGCCACTGACCCACTTCTCCTTATTACATGTAAGAATCAAATACTTGAAACAGATGTATCATCGGAAGCAAACTTACTTTTGTGATTTCTTTGTCTTTTTCATCTTTTTGTCCTCAGGCTGTGATCAAAAGAATTAGAAACAAGTAAAACAACTGAAGTTCACCTAACAAATGTATGTCTGATTAACCACAAACTACCTTATCACTGAATGACACAACTCCATTTGAATCCGCTGATTCTTTTAATTTTCTGAAAACAAAGTTGTAGACACATTAATTTTATACACTAGTTCAAAGAGTTACTAGCGCAGCTAGTACTCCTAGGTACAAAGGATTAATTACCTCTTCTTAGCCTTTTGTATATGATTTTTCTCTCCACCACTTTTAACTGTGAAAGGAAACAAACATTTAATGAACTTCACTGTGGTAGTACTCGATAGAATTATCTTACAGACTACCTAGATAAAATCCACGTACAATGTAATTAGAATAACTGGCCACCCTTAATGTTTTTAGAATGTCAGAGCATATCAGAACAAGAGGATCCCATTTCACTGGGTGTATAATATAGTTATATTTAGGCAAGGTTAAACTCAACCATCAGTGCATGGTCACCCATGTCAGCTTGTTTGAGGTCTAAGGCTCTACCAGCTGAAAGTACGTTCAAGCGATTCACAGTGTATTATCTTTATCAAATAATTAAAAACAGGTTTCTCAGACAAAGGAGAAGTTCTAACATCCCACCAAATACCAGTATTCGAAATTAGTTCATACTATATCAGCTTGCCATTCGCGTAAGCTGAAGCTAGCATTCACTAACCCAGACGTCATTTCATCTACCCCAAAATCTTTTTGACGAGCAGAATCGATGTCACAGTTCTTCTGTTATTCTAATTGCTCAAAAAATATCACTTGCCCATCGGGCAAGTTAAAAACAGAATTCACTAGCCCGATAGCAAAATCCACTAGCCCCAGGCTATCGGACATTACTTTCTTTGCACGCTGTATATACATGCATATTATTATTATTATTATGTCGCAGTATGAAACTTTGGAATGCTGTCCACATTATGAGTAGTGTAGGGCGCATAGCGTAACCTACACCACTTGAGAAGCTATACTTAGAAGTAAAAAAAGGTCGATACGAAACCTAATACAATCCTAAAATACATAGTGGTAGAATCTCTCTACTTAAAAAGCCAATTTAGAATATTATTAAATTCTGATACTCTGTAAAACCTTCGCTATCTCTACTAAAAGCTTATACATAGTGATATAAATCTCTCTACTTAAAAAGCCAATTTAGATTATTATGAAATTCTGATACTCTGTAAAACCTTCGCTATCTCTACTAAAAACATATTTGTAATAATATCACACTCTAATGTTCTAAAAAATCTAAATTAAAACGTCAGCAAGCTTGTGTTTCTAGATTTCTAGAGAAAAAACAAAAACCTAAAACTGAAGTCCATAGCGCCCTAACTAAGCATTTATCTTAAATGTTCTGGCAATGTTTAAAGTGTTTGAGATGACCGACTTCTGCATTCGATCAAGTACGCTCCGTGCTCTCGCTCCAAGTAGCTTCCTCACCGACTTCTCTAGGTGTTTAGAGTAACCCCCCAGTACGTCAATTATTACGTTGAACTGTTCAACCCTGTAACCATTGTATCTCTGCTTCAGCTCCCACATCATGGGCCCATACTTGAGTGTCTTTTCCTCATCTTTCTTAGCTCTACTCTCAATCCATGGGCAGCTCATTTCAATTGTGCAGACTTATTATTATTATTACTATTATTATTATTATTATCATTATTATTATAATTATTATTATTATTATATTCCAAAGTCAGTAATGTACAAAGCACAATTACTTTTAAAAGTTATTTTCCCATGAAGTGCACAAGCTCATGGTGGTGATTCTCATGGAAGTGGCAAAGGCTGCATGCTTTTCACTTCACATCTGCTTCAAGATGGTATCATTTTACAACAACGAACAATACAAAAGGGCTCTATTTTGTTGTCTCACCAGTTAGGATGTTTGCTTAAAGATGCAAAGAAGAAAGGAAAATGGGATGGATTCTGAAGAATGAATACCCCTTTATAATGGACTCCTTCTGGCCAATCTTATACACCAATATTTTTTAAACATTTTTGCGCCAAAAAACATAAGCGTAATGCTAAACAACGCATCCAATGCAACTCATTGGATGTGTATAATATTATGTTAATTTACCATAATTTTAAGAAATGGGCTATTGGGTGCTAAGCAGTACCTATCATTAACCTAACTTGTTGCTCAAGACATGCTTGCTTAAATGTTGCATAAATGGCTTCTTCACAACCTTATTGAGTAGAAAAAGAACTCAGAACGTATAATTCAGCTTATCGAGTATGATTTCAGCTGGGCATTGCTGACCATGTAACGATAGCAGAAATGTTTACATCAGAAACATCAGCTTACCAAGGGCTGCTGGTAATTCTGGAGCAGGCTGTTTCCTTGCTTTCCTTCCGGGACCTTTTGGTGCGGCTTCATTTGATGATCTGTTTCTTCCCATTTTCGATTAAGACAGACAATTCTGTAAAAAAAAAGGGGAAAAAACTCTATTGGTTCTTATAAATCTCGCACGTGTGATTGAAAACGAGCCGATCATGGCAAAGGGGTCTGGGAACGATCAATGAACGTCTTCGTTGAGTCTGCGGTTATGTCTGCGGTGGCTACTATTGAGTATGCGTATTGGCGACTTATTTTGGAAGCGGGAGTTTTGTTTTCATCGTGATTTATACAAGACATAGTTTTCTGCAGTTTGAAATGGACGAACAGTTAAGGATATCTTAAATTTAGTTTCCAAAGATATCAAGATCTTCCCCGAGTGCTAACTGCAAATGGCGACTAGGGAATCAAATTAGCTGATGTGACGAGCAAAAGTTGAGATGCTTCGTGCCCGGTGTAGCATCTGTACCGAAACTATCCAAGACAATGCAGCTTGCTGTCCTTGTATCTTTTGTCATTTTAAAGCAAAATTAATAACGTTTACTTTTCAGGAATTTGGTGTAATTTCGCTTAATGTGATTTCATTACTCATCAGAGGATTTGTATATCACAGAATCTTAAGCTTAATAGGTTTGGATTATTTTAGGAGAGTTGTTAAGTCTCTCTCCTGTTACGGTAATTGTTCGATTTTTGTTAAAGACTTAGAGCTGCTTGCTGTGCTCAGTTAGTAGATTTTGTTTTTTGCTGACCACAAAAGCTAAAAGAGAAAGTGCCCCTTTTGTCATGAGCGTGAAATAGAGTTGAAACACATTACATGTTTAGACCATGTCAGCCATGCTGTTTGCATCATCAATATGAAAAGTTGCTTGTGAGGAGTCATACAAAAATAACTGTTATTATTCAGTGATTATTTTACTGTCAAACTCAGAAAACCCTTGAATGCCTCAAATCTTTCAGGAATAGCGAATGAGTTTTGAGGAATCTTAATAAAGTTCAGTACACTTAAGCAAACCTTAAAACCACAAATTAGTCACCATTTGCTGTTTGCGTTTTCAAAATAAATGGTTAATTTGGTAAATTAAATATTTGTTAATTTAATTTCATATTAATTTTGATTTAAAAATAATAATGATGATTATGATGTGTGTTTCCTTGACTCCGTTTGCTACACAGGTGGTCATGTTTATCACCTGCAATGGTAAGCTGCTCCTTGCTGTAGTTGTTTAATTAGATCACAATTAAAAATCAAGGGTTCATCTTCAAAGTCAATAATATTAAATATTGCTTTGAATACTCTTTCATAGTCTGGACCAATGTCAAGCAAAAATAATTGAGCTTTGACTAGAACTAAAACCCTAAATCACTTTATTACCTGCATCCCTGGTATGCAGGTTACACAGTGAGTAGGGGTGCAGTTGTAGTAGGTGAAAGGTTAAGCTCAATTTTTTTGTTAGGTTTGTTTTTGATTACATTGGACTTCCTTTATATTGTTTGTTCCCTGGACAAATGAGTTCATTTAATGAAGTCTAATACAAAATACAATGTAATATTAACTATTTCTTCTTTGATGCGTATAGCATTGATAGATGGATCACAGAATGCAGTCGCACCTGCCCAACATGTCGAAAAAACACTTCCAAAGCATTGTTATTGTTCTTTGATGGGACAGATGTAAACAGTACACAAACTGGGGATGATGTGGATAGCCTACAGGTATGACTTTACTATAATGTTGTACAGTCGACTCTCTCTTAACAGAAGCCTCTGCAAGACAGACACCTTGATGAAACAGACACCTAGAGTTGATCCCTGCCTTTCTTTACTCCCTTTATTCCACTTCCTATACGATGAACATCACTGAACATTACATGGACCCTTTGTGCCAGCTCCAGCGGTGCCTGTCTAAAGAGAGAGTAAACCGTATAATACTTTCTTATTTGATTATAATGGAGAAGAAGTGCAGTACACATACTTGCAAATCCAAAATAATCACTGAAGTAGTGAAAGACTGTGAAAGGCCAATTAAAAAGTAGTTGTCGTCCCACAGCTGTAACAAAACACCTTACTGTTACAAGTTATTATTTGTAAGACTAACTTCTGGTTGTTGTGAATATTGTTACAGAATAGTATAGAAGAGCTCAAGTCTTTACTAAACCAGAAAGGTGAGAATAAAGTGCTCTGCATACTTGTCTTTCCAAAACATGTCATTGTAATATTGTTAGTGATTTAAATGTCTAGTGTTGAAAAATTTTGTAAAATTAGTGATAGAAAGTCACAACGTTTCGACCTCTCCAAGGTCATTTTCAAGTCTGAGCAAAAAATAAAAATTAGTGTAAATATATTACAAATGGTTTGAAAATAGTTTAAAAGGTAAGAATGCAACAAACAATAATATGCAATAAAATATGTAAACAATAAGTGACAAAATATTTTTAAATTGAAAAGAAACAATAATAAGGCTAATGAAAACTGATCTAAACTTTTAGTTTTGTGCAGATGGAATCGTCGAGACTTTCTGTCACTAATTTTAATCACCAAATGTATATCCAAGAAATTTCTCATCAAGATGTTAAAAAATTGTTGGGAATAAAATCTAATTATTATAATAATTATTGTATCATAGCTTTCTTCCATCCTTTTTTTCCTTCCTTCCTCTGATGTAGAAATCTTTAGAAAGAATTGCAAGGCTATTCATATTTACTTGAAAAAGACTGAAAGAAAAAAGGCTTTAAGCAAACAGGCAACATCTTACGCTGAATAAATTCACTGCCATACAATTCTGTCCAATTACCTGGCTGTGTGGTTATTTATAGTTGGGATGCCCTTGGAGTGTTTTGATCATACACTTTGGTGTAATGCTAAGATTTTGAGGTGGTCTTTCCTTACTTAATGTAAACAAAAACAAATTCAAATAATTAGAAAGGAAATGAACCATTAGAAAGAAACTTTAGTCAATAATAAATAATATTGTTGTCTTAATGTTGTTGCTTTTGTCTTTTAGATTTAGAAATCAATTGTTTAAAACAGGAGCATAAGGTAAGTCACTTGAATATTAATTAAATTTACATATGTTTTGTATTTGTGAAAATGCCATTCTTAATGGTCAAATTATGCTAAGAATATTATTATTATAGTTTACTGTACTTGAAAAAATGTTTTTCTGGCTTATTTTGTAGAAAGATCTTGCTGAACATACAGCAAAGCTGCAAAAGCAAACTGGTGGGTATAAATATTAATAACTCTCTGACTCTTTGGCCAACCTCATCATCTTATTTTGCATATTGTTGTATACATTATAAATATTATTACCTTGAGGTGTTGACCGGTATGTGAAGTGGTATAAACATTAGGTGTAAATGACCAAATTTTGACACAAATTTGAAATATTCTGCTTGAAAGATGGAGAGGCTACGGTTAGTTTTTTTTCTCTGTGCTTTATTATCCCAGTTCATCAATCATTCATTCCACTTCTTTCAGATCATATAAATTTCCACCCAGTGTTTCTAATGTTTTACCCATATTTGTTACCTTGTTAAAGACAGTGAAATAGAGAAAATAAAGAAACAATATGAGAAGAAACTTCAACTTGAGAAATCAGCCACCACTGGGCTAAAGGTATGAGTTTCAAAAAATGTTTAAAATTATCTCTTATTATACAGTGTAAAATTGTGATAATTTGAAAACAGATATTTGTGCACAAATGTTTTGTCAATGGAAAGACATTTTTAACTACCTTGGGGAATTTTTTGAACAACTAATGAGTTTGTAATCATTGTATAATGACATTCATTTTAATCAGAAACAATTGACATACTTAAAAGACAAAGAAACTGAACTTGCAGTGGCAAAAAATGAAGCAAATGAGCTCAGAGAGGGGTTTCTACAACTAAAACGGTAAGGAATCTGTATAATTTTATTAATTTTAAAGTGCTGTACAATGTCAGAATGTTACAAGCCCAATATAATTATTTATTTTGTAGTTCCAAGTAACTAGTTTTTACTATGACTCTCGTTGTATTGCAGAATGAAAGTTTTGATAGATGATAACAGCAGAGATGCAGAGGCCATGTTGCGGAGTTTAGATTCCAAGTCTTTTCCAGAAGTGATTGTTCAGCTTGTCACACTCAAAAAGTAATTTAAGCAACTTTCTTTAGGTTAAGTAGTGGTAAATTCTGATAATAAATACACTTAACTCTTGCCTTGAGGACACCTCGCTATAATGGATGCCCTGATAATACGGACAGCAGCTAAATTCCAGGAAAAAATAAATTGCAGACGTTTGATTGATGTAAACTCCCGCTATTATGGACTCTTCCTAATGAGGACACTAACTTGAGGTCTCTACAGTGTCCACTCTAAAGACAGTTGACTTTAGTCGTGTATTTAAGTTCTTCATTTTCAAGTGTACTTAAGGTAGGAAATACTTCTTAGCTTATCAGTCTTGTATTTAATTACTTTTTAATTTTTGCCCTTGTTGACAGAAAATTAGAAGAAAAGAGATTAAAGTGCAAGGAGGCAACAGATGCAACTGAAAGAATCAAGAAGGAAAATAACAAGTTAAAAATTGAGGTATATGTAAACTGTTATGCTCAAAATTATAGTGCTCACTTTTTATTTCTATCTTTCTTATTTTGTAATGAGATGTTTTTGTCATCATCTGATCATAGTCAACGCAAGTTGTAATGGAGCTGAAGAAAAATAAAGACCTTCTTCAAATGGCAGAGGAAGACATAAGACGATTGGAAAAGGAGAATAGTGTAAGTTATTCAACTGGCCATTCTGCCAAAAAAATACTGTTTATAAGGTCTACAATGTAATTAGGTATGTAACTTTCGTAAAAATACGGTAATATTTTATTCTAAAATTCTATGCATGCTAACTAGATTTATCTCATATCAGAGTTATAAGAAGAAGTTGACAGCAATGGAAAGAGCATTTGCCTCCCCAAGTCCACGCAGTAGCGCTATTGGCCGCCTTATTAGAGAAAGGTCTGTCCTTTATTTTAACATCAGATTTTCATAATTTTCTACTGCTACAAAGAAGAGAACAGTAGCCTCAGTGTTAGAAGAGATATTTTCTTAGAAACCTCACAGGTTACGATACATTATATGTTAAACATAATGAGTATTTGTGGTAAAACTGTCATGGTTGGTATTATCTTTTCCAGCCCAGCACCACTGGATATTAAGAGACCAAGACTGAGCTGTCCCACCCTTGAAGAGGAATCAGAAAACATCATTGTAGCAGAGACACCCTCACCTAAACCAAGAAAACAAGAACCCAAAAGTGAACTTACAAGCATTGCTGAAGAGTAAGTTCATGTGTTGATCCTCACATGAAGAAGACTAAATAATATACAGGTGTATGTTTTATGACATCACGGTTCCAGCACTTAGTCTTTACCACTCTTCTACAGTAACACTACGCAGGGTTGTCACTAAAATTTCAAGTTGCCAGGTAAATACAACAATTAGGAGGGGAATCAAACAGCAAGGAATTTCTTTCAGTTCTATTTTTCTTCTATTTTCCAATAAAAGTAGCCGGGGACCACACTTCCACATAGTAGCTATTGGGGTACCACAAAAAATCAACCCGCATCATAGTTCAACTGCATGGTTAAATTAACGCCATTTACAAGGTATTTCCCGCAGATGGAGAGGATATACAGGTGTAATGACAGCCCTGCACTACTTTCTACAGTAACACTACTTCTACGAATTATCCTATGGCAAATAAAAAGGCATTTTTACAGTGGTATCTCGAGAAGTAAACAAGTAACTCTATGTCTAACCAGAAACTCTTCTTCAGATGTTTGCCTCTTTAATGAAGCGGTCCTTTATTAATTTTTGAATTGTGTGTTGCTTTCTGTTGTAGAATGGGACTATCTGTTGTAAAGACAACAAGTATGGCTTCTCCCTTACAGAAGGCAGTTTTAAAGCCATCACAGCAGATATCACGGAAGTCAGCAGAGCAGGCCGGTGCTTCAGTGTTCAGACGGGGATATGATGGCTTGGGGGGACACACTAAATTCCTAGCAACACAAAGACCTGCTAAAACAGCATCACGTAAAGTAGCAAGACCTACGGGAATATCTAAGTTCGTTAAACAAACAAGGTTCAGCCGGCCGGCAGATCCTCCACTTCCAGTTATGGATTTAGACTTCACTTGAGAATCGTATTTACACAATATTACTGGTCCTATGGATTATGTTCTCTTCTGAAAGACCATTATTTCAACAAAATAGAAAGATGCATCCTTAAATTTCACAATATGAATTGCAATCTCGTAAGTTGGATCCGTTTTATTAAGTCCAGGAAGCTATTTATTATTTATGGCAAAAATCTACGTGTAACAAAGTATAAAATTAAATTTGACAAAACATGGACAGCCCAATTCCATAGGGTATATAGAAATATGTTAATGTGTCTCGAATTCTAAAGTGCCTTTGATATTTGTCGTTGATTTTGTTGTAGCGTATGTTCAGTATACAGGCTTTCCGCTTCTTATTTCCCCCACCTCATAGATCTTTACGAAAGCTATACCTGGTTTGTAGTCAAGCTCCATGCAAAGCAGATATCCTGCAGATAAATTCCTATCTTAATCATAACTATAACAAAATTGTCAAATCCGATTGGCTATCAACTGCCCTGATTTCAACCTTAATTGGACAGTTTAATAGGACAGTACGCGCCATCACGCTCGCGCTTAAATGGCTTTTTTTTCACTGCTAGCAAAACAAAATTTCGAATTTCTTGTGTTTTGATTTAAAAAATAGCCTATCATATTACAAATTTTGTTAAAGTTTATGATTAATTGGTAACAGAACTTCGTGTCGTCCAATTCGGTCTGTAATCATACTCGTGATTTAACAAATCGGACTCCCGCTTCGCGGTCGTCCGATTTTGTTAATCACTCGTATGAATAAAGACCGAACTGGACTCCACTCAGTCCTGTTACCATTACTTAGCCTGCGGACACAAACGTATTTCCGGTGGATAGTAGTGACGACCGGGAATACGTCTGTTTCTGCAGGCTACTGATGTTTGTTAAATGGTGGAGAATGCTACTAAACGATGCAAACTTTGAGTAATGGGTGGCAGCTAAATTTTCTAACTGCCAAATAAATCAAATGAGTTGGAGTACTAAAAATCACCTTGCTGTTGCCTTGGATGAATGAACCTCTTTGTAAAGTCTGTAAATAGCAGTGAAGATGAATAAAGTAGTTTAACTATTCCACTCGCCATACAGTTTGTGACTACTACGCTTTAAGTCAACATTTTTACTCTCTTTTCAAGAAATTTTATGATGTACTTTCCAAGTTTGTAACTGATTCACAAGGCGACAAAAATCCCCGCTGAGCTCACTCCAAACCCTTCCAGTATCGTAGGGGGCTTGAGGACGAGCATTGTGATTGGACCCTACTCGCTTTTCAATCTATCCCTTCCCATCCCTCCCTGGGCCATATGGGCTCAATGGGCTTTAACGATCCTGACATGCTCTGCCCAGTACCACTCGGGCTAAGTATCCCTCGCTTGTCATTAACTAGCGTCTTGGCCCTCAGTTTCTGGAATATCCTCAGCATGGGTGATGAACAGGAAAATAACTGACACTTGGGATCGATCTGCTCTGATTTTGAAGGTCCAAAATGGAAACGAATGAGAGCAAGGAATTCTGAGCGAATTACGCAAAACTTCGCACAGACAAAATGCACCAACTACTTGTATGGTTGGTTTGTTCTTGGACTAAAATAGACATCGGTTTCAAGGCGCAAAATATTTTCGATGATATCTGTATTTTTACCCTCTGTCTTTATACAATAACATAACCTTAACCTCTGCACTGGCCCCCGCTTGGGTCATTATACTTTGAAATGAAACTTCACACTAACAGAAAGAGGCAGTGAACAAACATGCACATGAGTTATGGAGATCTCACTCCGGCATGTTAGCCAGTATAGCTTTCCATAGTTTGCACTTTTTTGGTGAAAATGATTGCATCAAGTTTGCAATGAGTCATAAGTTGTCTTACAGGTTCACGAAGTAAAAGTTAACGTCGTGCTCCCACTCCACAAGTAGTTTCTGAGTTCGATTTTTTGTTGTGTAAAACAAGAATTTACATGTCAATACAATAAACGTAGGAGAGTCGTTAACGCTCCATCTTTGTTGTAGTGTATATTGATTGATTGAACGGAAGTCAATCTATACAGCTCCCCCAAAAATCTCATTTATTTCATTTCGCACATTTATTTTTATTGAAAAACAAAATCTGTTGTTGTTATTTTCATCATTTTTTGCACTATAGAGATTTTCTTTCGCTGTACAGGAAATTAATGTTCCCTATTTTACAATTCTCATCTGAGTATAGTACGACCCTCTGATCAGTCATGACAACCATCACGTAGTTTATAAGTCATAGTGTCTAACGCTTAAGTCAAAAAAAACTTTCCTAAAACGTGTGATAGAGTTGCAAGTTCTCTTCCTGTCAACATTAAAACTGAATTTTTAGCGACCAGCAGTCAGTTTTGTATTCGTAAAAAGACTTCAAAGTCATTAAAAGCTCTCCTCTCTGGATCTTTGAAGGGCAGATGTCAGAGTAAATGCAGACACCGTACTCTGTACTTCACTTGTTTTAATCTCTTCCCATTTGTTGGACAGAAGAGTTTCTATGTGAAAACCTCTTTTCTCTAATGGATTTGTTTTGCTACAGGGCATAATATTTGATTCATTCTTCCAAACATCGGTTTCGGGCGTTTTCAATTCGTCGCTCTTTTCCGATGAATTCTCGTTTGACCATTTTTCCTTTGTAGATTGCATAATTTCTCTATTTCTTCTCGAAGTTCTTTTTCGCTTATAATCACCCCGACTGAAGTCATCATAGTTGACAGGGTTGATGGCCCAGAAGTGTCCTTTGCCATTGGGAGACCGACCCACTTTAACAAAGCAATCATTCAGTGATAAGTTATGGCGTATGGAGTTCCGCCATCCCGGTCCCTTGTTTCTGAAGTAAGGATAATGCGTCAGAATATAGTTGTAGATGTCACCCAGTACAAGTTTCTGTTGTGGAGAGCTGAGAATTGCTTTTCCAATAAGACCAATGTATGACTGAGTTGGTTTCTCGTTATCTGTGTTGTAGTAGGACATTCCATGCAGAGCTGGATGATGACATTGGCTCATATAACCCGGCAATACTGTTAGGATATCTTTATCGCGGTAAAATGAATACCGGTACATCTCTGGACTGATGTACTGACCGGCAGAAAAATGATACGGATAATGAAAGACTGGACTGACAGTAGCCGTACTTGGCAGATAAAAACCGGCCGAAGTCATGTTCGGCCGATAGGTTCTCTAACGGGTTCAAAAATAGAGACCGTGATGGCTTGCTCTGTATACTCTGTGCGCAGAGATGTGAATGAATCTGACAAAAGAAAACAAGCCGTGATATTGACTTGGAAAGGAATGTTTTTACGTAATTGATTGATTGCTCTTTGTACTTCACAAACACTGAAAGCCTAATATTGCTATAACCTCAGTTTACTGAGCAGATTTAATTTTTAAGGCCCATATGAAAAAACGTTCGTGTTGGCTAAGATGGTAAAGTAGCTGTTGCTGTCAAAAACGCAAGATTCGGGAGTTTTCCTGGCCAAAAGAGAACTATAAATTCAAGGTAATTATTATTTTTCTTAGACTAAGAGCTAATTATTTGTAATTAGCACCACGCCTTGTGTTTGGCTTTTCTTTAAACGTTGTTTGTTGGAAAGGAACAAATCACAGCAGGTAGAAAATAGCTTTTACTTAAAAGGAACAATCACTTTTCAATCCCTAGAGACAATAGCACGCTCTCTTCTGGAAAGGTTAATCGAAAAAAGAAAACTAAAATTCTCGCCAGAAAAATATTTTGAACACTGCCAAAAAGGTTAAAAGTTTAGAAGTTATCAAGTAGAAAACCATCAGTGAAAAGTGTTAGTACAACACTCCACAACACGCCTTATTCTTGTTTGGTTTTTAAATCCTTCATTGATATAGCACTTTATGCGTATATTGTTTGACTTTAGAACTAATGCTATGGGGCTATAGCCTTATTGTTTGTTAATGGAAGGTTTGGACAAAGAGAGATGATTAGCCTGATTCTAAACAAAACAACTATTTAGTGTTTGGTCCAGATTTAGAGTTTATAACTGAACTGAGGATCCCTATGAAGGAACTATTTTTCTTTGCTTGATAGGAAATAAACTCTTAAAGTGTCAGCCAGTGAGCTCTAAAGTTGAATAATTATCCAGTGAACGTTTTCACAGCTAATTGAGCATTAAGGAGGGTGAATAACTTTGAGATAAAACGGAAACTGAAGGGAAGTTGACGTAGTGAGCTTTGTATTCAGCGTTAAGAATGAGCGATTGTATAACAATGAACTTTATGTAAACGTATATGGCGTGGGATTGAATGAACATGTTTGATTAAACAGGAAACTCCATTATCCACTTGATGCCTTTTGAGATATTTATTTGTAATCAGTTGTTAGAATTAAGAAAACCAAAGAAAATAACATAAGCAAAAAGTAAAGTTGCGCAAATGGTTGACACTGTCTTGGTTAGTAGTCCCGGCTCTGCAACCTTGTATTCTTTGCCAAAACCTACTTTTTCAAGATAGACACTGAATGCACGCGCGCATTATCCAAAGTCGTTCATTCTAACATGCCAAATTGTTTTGAATACAAACAGAGGTCAAATTTTAGCAATATTTTTTATGGAACAACGCGGTTGTTATGGAAAACACTAACGTTACTGATTACCCTGAGTGACCAGTCGTTTCTCTTTCCGGCTTATCCCGGAGTATATTTACTCTTTCATTTTACATCTGTAAGTGAATAGCTGTTTTGCTAAAGGTTTCTGCAAAGAACCCGACGAACGCACAAAATGGACGTAGATATAGCATTAATGTTTTCTTTCAATCGTTTCTTCGATTTCTAGTAAAGCAATTGCAGTAGAGAGGACAGTTCAGAAAGACAAGAATAAGACATCTCATGTAGTGTTTTAGTTGTCTAAGAGCTATAACTTATGAAGTCAATTATTCATTTAACTACCAGCAATATTAGCTGTTGCTGTCAACGAAGGAAAACTACTGCTACTACTGCTACTACTACTAACAATAATAATAATGATAATAAGTTGTATGAGAGCCTTCCTAAGCCCTTCCAACAAGCCATGGAGGGCGGGTTTAGGCGCAGCTTCATTTAGATTAAAATAGAATTCATCTTCTCTTATTTAAACTTGTTAAATTTGAAAAAGAAAAAAATGGAAAAAGGAACATAGTATATTCACTGTTGTGTATCCTAAAGATGATAATTTCATTCTTGTCATTCTTATTATAACCTGGTGCAAAAATACTTCGGAACAGTGTGTGAAAAAGTTTACCTATTAAAAAACATTATAAAACTGTTATTTCTACCGAATATTAATTATTTAATGTCTAATCGACGTCCTTTGTTCCTACTTAAAATTTAATTACGACCGATTGCCCGACGTTTCAATTTTATCCTAAATGCCAACATTTTCATCCTGTTGTTAGGAAAAGTAAATAAAGAGTAACAAGATCAAGTATGTGTAAATTGATATTATCATAAACGGTATGCAATATGAACAATTTGTTGTGAGTTGGGATTTAAGGAAGAGGCGATTTCAACTCATCAAATGATAACTACCGAAATAAAACGTGTAACACCAAAGAGCCTCTCAGAATTTGAAAGTCTTACAAGAGGAAACATTATGAGTGAATTGTGTTATGTCAGTAACAAACAGCAAACAAGTGTAGGTCATATCAGGGTGCAGTATCTATTGCGGAGGGAGTTTTCAGTGCTGCATGTGTTAGCTTGCTCACGCTGATCGTCAAAACCGAACGCTCGATTACTACTGAGCTAAGGAACAGCTTCCCAAGGTAACTGTTGCTCAGCTGTGTAGAATACAGTTTTAAGCTTCCCGACCAGTACACACTGATGAGTCAAGGAGTGTCAGGTTTTTCTTTTGAGCAGCATGTTATAAACTCAGTCTGATAAAACTTGCGTGCGACCTACCTCAGTGGAGTAGGTACGAGCAGGATTGGTTTTGGTTTTTGCTGGTGCGCACTTTGATGTAGAGCGTTACGTACGCAAAAATAAGAGAAATTAACAATTCAGTTTCCCATGACTGATTTTGTCAATTCTTTTTTAGAGGAGTGCAGCGCGAGTAAAACCTGATTGTTACAGCATGCCTAAAAGTAATTTCTTAAATTTGATGGAAACTATACGATTTTGTGGAATTAAAACAATCAATTTGGACTATTTATTGCTTATTGTCCTCTAAATGGAATGAATTTTTAAATATAAAGCAATGAAGTATTTACCTCCGAGCTTTTTCAAAAGACAATACCACGACTTATCTCTCACACTAAAGTTCATTTCCCCATTAAAGTCATTCTAAAAACAGATCAGTTCGTCCCAGCAAAACAGAACAGTCACACGATCATGTTTTTACAAAACCACTGTGGGTTTACTAGAATACGTAATCAGTAGTGCAAAAGGCTAAGCTTAAACCACTGAGAGTTCAATCTTTTTGTTTCTTTTTGCATCATCCCTTCGCGGTGACTATACCGTCTATCTCTCGCTAGGATTTTGATTATCTATCTATTTGAATTTTTCTCTCTTTTTTTAAATTCAACTTGTGAGCTTCACCTTTTTTATCTTTTCGCAATTTCGAAATTGCTCCTTTAAAGGTCGTGGTTTCCATGGCCAAATGCTCAATGAATAACTCCTTGAAAAGCAATAATCGAACTAACGATCACTTTCACTGAGGACTGATGAATCAGTCAGTCAAACAAACAAACAAACAAATGCTGAAAACTCGTAATTTCTTGTCACTAAACGTTAGACCAGTCTTGTAATAATAAATAAACAACTAGTTAATATATGGTTTACGAAGCTTGAGTAACATTGCGGATAAAATCAAACAACCTCTTTTGTTAAGTTTCTTGCAATTTCAAGACTTTAAAAATCATGTACTGTTTCTCAAAGGGGGTGGAATTTGGGGTACATAATGGTGGATTTTAGTAATCAAACATTTTAAATGGATGACTCTTATCTTTATAGCTAAGTTTGATGGGGAAATTTTTCTCAAAGTGTATAGCATTTTTGAAAGGCATCAGTTTCTTCTCTTGCTGCCTATTCATACTCTTTGTCTCTTGTTTCTATGGTAACAGTAGTGTTCGGTAAAACCATTGCATTCGCACCTTCCTACAATACAACGTCTTGAATGTTTGGTTTTATGGCATGTTAAGTGAATATATATTTACATATGAAAAGAACAGATTTGAACTAAAAGTCGTTAGCACTGCATCCTGATTAGATTCGTAAATATGGGAAATCGTAGCAATATTACGGCAACTTACAGTCCATTAGTCATCGCATGTGTTTTTCCCACGCAATAAATATCAGATATTTGTTTTACTTTTCCATCTTGAAATGTTTGTTATTAAACAGTTATAGCTTGTAATAGTGCTACTGTTTTCATTTTCAAACAAGTAAGTAAATTATAGTGATTTAAGTTCTTGTAAATACCAAAGGGAAATTCAGACTCCATTGTCCTGCTCTCGCCGGATCTAAACACCAGTATTTTCTGCTACTCTGATTATTTGTAAACGTTAACCCGCAACAACTAGTTACACTTTCGAACTTACTCCAACAATAGCGCCTACTCTATAAAAATTTTGATTGTGTTTGGTTACTGTAGAATCTTTACTAACCAACGTTCTATCCCGGCTGATGTATTAGTTCCACACGTCACTTTTTCTTTTACCATGCTGACTAGAGTATGTTGCATCCGTTTCTGTGTTGTTTCGCTTTTCTTCTGTATTTTGGCCTGTTTTTAACCTATTGCAGCTAATTGGACAAAATAGTTTCTATATGAAAACCTCTTTTTTGTGACTCACTGGTACCGCGTTCAATGTTCAAATGTACTTTTCTCGATTCATAGTAGCCGATGTCTCTTGTTCTCTCATCTTTTCCTGCATGTTTTTCTTTCGAGCATCTTTCTGTCGAAGAATTCAGTTCCCCATTTCTCCTCGAAGCTCTTTTTCGCTTATAATCACCCCGACTAAAGTCATCATAGTTGACAGGGTTGATGGCCCAGAAGTGTCCTTTGCCATTGGGAGACCGACCCACTTTAACAAAGCAATCATTCAGTGATAAGTTATGGCGTATGGAGTTCCGCCATCCCGGTCCCTTGTTTCTGAAGTAAGGATAATGCGTCAAAATATAGTTGTAGATGTCACCCAGTACAAGTTTCTGTTGTGGAGAGCTGAGAATTGCTTTTCCAATAAGACCAATGTATGACTGAGTTGGTTTCTCGTTATCTGTGTTGTAGTAGGACATTCCATGCAGAGCTGGATGATGACATTGGCTCATATAACCCGGTAATACTGTTAGGATATCTTTATCGCGGGAGTGAAATGAATGCATCTCTGGACTGATATACTGACCCGCTACAAAATGATACGGGTAATGTAAAACAGGACTGACCGTAGCTGTACTTGGACCATAAAACCCAACTGAAGACATAGTATTCAAAGGAAGGAATCTGGCCTCTAAAGGTTCTACCACGGACGCTTTTAGATCTCTGCTGTTCATAACTAACAACTTGCCAATTGCCGTGTGACTCGTGTGTACATTAGAATATAAATGAATATAGCACGAGTAACAAGTTTTGATATTGGCTTGTAGCATAAATCAGGTTGTTACGTAAACGATAAATGGACGTACATCTATAACCAATGTAACATGCCAATGTTAAATCGCCAACGATTTCACATGTTCATTCAAGTTGTCATCAAAGAAAATAAGAACACTTTTGAATCGTCTAAAACGAACTGGATTCATGATTTCTAATGTAGAAAGCTGTATCTCAAAGTTTTCCTTTTCTCTTTCCAAACAGCTAATTATTTGTAATTAGCACCCACGCCCTGTGTTTAGCTTTTCTTTAAAAGTTGTTTCGCGGGAGGAGCTAATCACAGCTGAAAACACTGGCTCCATTTCTTCAATTATAAAAAAATCCACTTAATTAATCCCTTAAGACAACACTTTTAACTCCATTGTAGCAGCCAAACAACTTTACAGAAAATCTAAAAACAACAGAAAACACAAACGAGGAACTCACTGGGGTTATCGTGGATGGTAATAAAACAGCATTGTTCTGTGTGTTGATGCGATAGCAACCATCTGTATCCATGTACGGAGCGTACGTCATAATGATTTACATATGCGCATTTGTGTTCTTTCTTGTAAAAAAGACTATAATCATCTACCTGCCTGCATTTTCCTTTTGAAGTATTATTTGTTATATATTGTTTGCCTTCCACGCTAATGCTGGCGTTATTGTTTTCTAATGAACAATTATTACAAAAGCATCCATTTTTCTGATTGAAATCTAAACAATCCGCTTGTTAGCCTCTTGTTTGACGTTCGTAAAGTTAACTCCACAACAAAGTTTACAAGAAAAAGATTTCCAAGCCTAAACACATAAAATTAGTAGGGTGATAGATCAAGATGTTTTTTTAAAATCAATTTTTACTTGTGTTCGCCAGGTTCACAACCAAGCATAGTGGAACTACCATTGTTTTTCTTATGAACTCAAAACAAACGTTTGAATTAACATTAGTGATAACAAGAATATAATCATATCAGATTTAAACAGTAATAAATATGAAAGATTGCTTCACAAAACACGTCTCAAATCGCTCGTTCTGGAATAACTATCCTTGTTCGGGGAACAGCAAATCAGAAAACGCAATTTTAATCCTTTAACCAAAGTAGTTTGTTACTTTTCTCCATCTATATGTATTACAAACTTGCAGTAACCAAACTTAGTAAAGAGCTCTTTTCTGAAACACTATCACACATTAATAAGTTTAATTCGTTTTATATAGCCGCTTTTCAGTGTAGGTATTCTTACTGCATACTATAACTCTTTCTACTTAGTCATCTCTGATTTGTGGTCAGCAGATTGTTCAGTTTCAGTTTTTTTCTTCTTCCTTTTACCAAGATAACACCTCATATCATATTCAGTAGAACGAAGCCCAGTTTAACCAGTTGCATGATGTCTGTGACAGGTCAGCGAAGAGAGGAAGGTGAGCGAGGTGCCCCTGTGTATTGTTGTCAGTACGCAGGACGCATGTTATACACACGAACCTTGTATATGACCCACCTCGCCACGGGTCCCTCCTAGCTCAGTAGTTACAGCATTCTACTAGTGTACGAAAGTTCCTGCTGTAAGGGATTCATCATTTCTCAAGAAACAAGTAATACTCACTGAGGTTGTGCGAGCTAAAAAAATTGAAAAAAAGCCGGTTAAAACGGCTTCAACATTTCCAGAACAAACGGAAATATTGAGACAATGATGAGCAGAGTTTAAATGAGTTCAAAATTTTTTCATCATGTCCTAACATCTCACCATTAAGTCGGAAGAGAGCTCAAAATCGGCTGTCAACGAAAGTTAAGACAACGTAGGGCCATCACGTGACCTAACAACAGTCTTACGATGCAGAGAGTTAATTCAGGATGCTGAATGAAGAGGTTTTAATATAAATGAGATCATCGGCAAACACCGTTACAAAGGATTCTATTTTTATTTCTATTGTTGTCACTTTCACCCAAAATGAAAATACATGGTAAAAAATTCGTAAATTCCTTATATTAGGTTGGTCACACGGAAAGCGGTCGACAATTCGATTCTCTACTCAACCGAAAAATTCTTCGCAAGCGTTTTTCATAATAAGATAAGCTAAGAATAGCGATAACGAAATGTATTGTGAAAGACTCTCAAATTTTCAACCAACGAAGGACTTCCTCAATTCTCCAGGCCTTCAACAAGGAAACCTCGAAACGAGATTGAAGCTACAATTAATGGTCTAAGTTACCATTTTGATTTAAAAAAACTGTCGCAGCTACTCTCATTCACCTTTAGGTGTATAACGACTGTTACAAGCAGTAATCTAAAGTGCATTGCAACAAGAAAGGAAACAAAAACTAAAAATAAATTGCGGGGTGACATTAACATAAAAATTTGAAATAACCGAAGGTTAAAACATCATTTTTGCTGAAAAACGAGAAATAAAAAAGAAATCCTCTTCTTGCGATTTTCATGCGTTTTGTCATCTCCTGGGCCAGTTCTGTTTCTGATTGCCTCGCCTAAAATACAAAAACACAAAATATCAATCATTCCCTCTGTTTTATGGATCTTCAGGCCAGTGACGACATATGTGAAATGTTCGACAGGCGACGTTTTGGCCAGCGGTTAAACTTGAATGTGGAATTTGATTGGCTTAAGATTGGAAGTTGCACCACGCTATATCCTCGCAACTGGGCTAACTGAATTACAAGGAGCAGCTCCACTACAGAAGTAGAAAGAGTTTCCACTTGTGCAATGGAAACCTGACTGACACTTTATACATTGAATATTATATTTAAACTTTTTAAAATAATTTAAAAATAAATGTCAGTAACCAAGAAATCAGTGGTCACGAGCACGACAAGACTCACTTGTTTGAAGAAAACGTTAGATTTCTCTGTCCTGATTTCATATGTACTTTAGACCTTTGGCCTTTGGACTGCTACAGAGAGATAATAACAGAGCTGGTTAGGAAGTCAATAACGAATGTAGGTTTACTGATGTTTGTAGAGAAATATTCTAAGAGAACAAAGGGAAAGATGTGTATCTAATGAAGACTGATAGATGAAGAAAAATAAACCGTGGATACTTCAAGCCACAATGCAAGGTCAGAAACAATCGATTCCCCAGGGAAAAGACCAATTGAAGGATAAAGCAAAGACAAATGACAAGAGATGAGGACAGTTATGGTATCGATCTTGCAAAATGCCGTACAAATTCTAGAAGATTTACTTCACTGTCCTCAACAATTTTTTTGTCCATCAGTTATTTCATGGGTACAACCTGATAAGACTTTACTAAAATGGACATCAAAGATACACCTATATCTATAGCTAGGCAAACCAAAGCAACAGTGATGGAGAAAGCATCATGGAAGTTATTGGATAAGAGATGGTTTAGAAGAGGCTCCTAGAGCTGTAATTACCGCCCGCCTAGCATAAAATAATCGATTCCAACAACCTTATGCAAAAGTCAATAGAGATTTTTGGCCAATAAAGCTATTCTCCACTTAACATTCCACACAGAACAGTCAATATCTTACTTTAGAGTTGTGTGATGACCTGTACGGATCAAATACAATTGGCTTGTCTTTGGTTTGTTTCTCAATTCCACCTGAAAAAAAAAAAAAAAAAAAAAAAGAAAATGAAACATGAATATATAAATTGAAAACTTGAAAATCTATCTCTTCCTTTAAAGAGATTAAGATATACTGTTTTCGACTTGTGGGTACGTGACTCTAGGTTACTTCGTTTGAAGTCAGACTAATCAATCAAACGCGCGCGCGCGTCCATGTCGCGTACCCGAAATTGCTTTGAGCGGTGCAGGGATTTTCGTACGGGTAAAAAATATGAATTCACGCCTGGATGACAAACGGAATCCCATTCTATCGTCCTCAAATTAAAAGAGGTTTAAAGAAAAGTGAAAATTTTATCTGTTTTTGTCAAAAACGTCCGTGTCTACGATTCAAAAAAGTCTGCTGCAGGTCCTCAGCGTTCCGTCCTTTTGAATAGCAGTGCTAGCTAACCGCTGTAAAAAAACCTCCTAAACAAGAACTTGTTTCTTTGTAAGTCAATCCAATCCTACCTATGATACCGAAACAGATAAGACCCTTACTTGAGAACGTTGAATAATCAGCTTCAGAGTATTTAAACGGTACAAAGGTTGAATTCTCTGCGGCTACCTCTCTGTTTTGAGAGGGCGAAGTAGAGGAGCCAGCTTCATACGATTCACGTTTTCTTCTTTTTGCAGAAGACTGTCCAGGAGTCTACACGTTGAGAAAAGAAGAGACAAAATATTAAGACTGCTTCCCATTGGGATTTGGAAATCCATCAAACCTAACATCTTAAAATTTCGCTTCGGGCTCGCGTGGACATAGGCCGCGTAAACAGTGATTTTTCGCGCAGGCCACTGGTTGACTGCATTTACGAAATGAGAATTGACTGTTATTTCTGTAAGATAATATAAAATCGAAAAAAAAATTATACTTGTCTCCCGTTTCAACTTCCTGTTTTCTGGATTAGGGCGTTGCCTTCATCAATAAAATACATTAAAAAAGAAACAAAAAGAACTTGTCAAAAAGAAACTTACTCTTTTTCTTAAGGGCGTTAAATCTTCTTCTGTTTCTGTGTCACCAGCAAGTCCACGTTTTTTGGCGACACTTGGTTCTAACAGAACAACGGAGTAATATAGTATACAGTTCCATCTAGCAAATCAGTATTGATTTTCACTGTAATACTTGTCCGTTCCTATTCATTGCATGTTTATTTTTATTCTTAGTAGTAGCACTTTAGTTTACAGCGAGTTGGACCCAAAATAATTGCAAGTCACTACTTTTGTATTATTTGAAGGGCTAAAGGCCTGAGGGAGGCCTGGGGAAGGTAACAAGGACAGTGGAGGATGATGGGAAGGAGAAGGAGCAACACACTTCCATCAAATCTGTCCCAGGAGGGACGACTAAGAACGAATCTGAGGTATCAAGTCACTTGTACGTAACTATAAAAAAAAAACAACAACAACACAAACGGGGCAACAGAGAAAAAACGAATAGTAAAAAAAAATTAGAGACCCAAATTGAGCCTATCAAATTCAAACGGAAACAGGGTTCCTACTCTTTTGAGCTCCTTAAATTCCAGGACTTTCTATAACTTTTTCAAAAAAGTTTTCCATGACCTTAGGTTTAGCTGCCACTTTTTGGGTACTTTTTAGATCTTAAACAGTTTAAGAGACACAAACTCTGGTGTCCAGAGTTTGCCGTTTGCACTGTACAGTCATTTCTCTCTATCTTGAATTACCCTTGCTTTGTCATCGGCAGTAACTAACCTGCCAAACAAAAGTTAAATTTTCCATGACTTTCAAGGACTGACAATTAAATTCCATGACATTCCAGACCTGGAAAATGCAATTCTTAAATTCCATGACTTTCCACATTTTCCATGACCTGTACGAACCCTGGGAAAGTAATAATTCATTACCTGCTGTCATTGGTGTTTGAATTGCCTCTCTCCATTGTTGATTTATCTAAATATTAAAAGAAAAAAGATGAACAACAAGATTTTGTATACTCATACTACATTTCTATTAGTTTAAAAAGCCAAAAGACTTATTTTCCCACATTTCACACGTCTATAGGGTAATAAGTTTATTTCTAGTTGCCAGAATTCTTTCCTTTACTGCTTGCCAACCAAAAAATAATTTTATCTCTGCTTCAATTCTAGACCTTTAAGCCTGAAGTGTTTTGGAAATCTTTTTGGAAAGCCTTGCAAAGTTTTCTGACTTCAAAGTTTTTGTAAGCTTAACCTTAAAGCAGTTCTTGTTTAAATTACTTCAATCCTCTATAAGATATGCTTTGATTGACTTTGGTTGTGTTGCCCATCATAGCTTAAAACAGTTTCCATCTTAAAAACTTTGCTGAGAAAGCTAGGACATCAAAGTATAACTAAAGCAGGGTTACATGAAGTACCTACCATGTCCACCTGCTGTTGACTCTGAGGCTCCTCAGTAACCATGGTAACAGCCATTCCTTCTGTTGTTTCAGACTGACTCTTTGTTGGTAGAAACTAAAACAAAATGTACAAAAACTATTAAAGATGGGATAGCTGACCACACACAATCTACTTGTATCTAACCCTGGCATTAACCTTTTTTTAAAAATATGGCCAAATTTGTCACCCACATGTGACACCACTCAAACCCTTTTGTCCAAGCTTTGAACTTTCTCAACAGTGTAAGCCCTTAGATTAGAATGCACTAATAAAGCTTTAAATTTTAATCTCATTCCCATGCAGGGCCCTCTCCCACTTGTACGAGCAAGAGAGAGAGGGGATCCTGGCAGCAAGGTTTAGCTTTATTTTACAACCAACCTTTTTAAATGGATTCTCAAATGAAGCTTTGATTTTCTCTGCCTTCTTTTGTCCAGCAGTAAGCTGCTCATCTTCAGGAAACTGAAAAAAAAAATGGTCAAAAGATGACAAATGGCTGAATTTGAAGCTGAATCACAGGACTATCTCATAAAAATTGTACAAAGTGGCCAGTATTGTGGCAATGGTAGGTGCTGCACAGTAACACCAACACCTTAAAACAATAAAATGATACATGTAAAAAAAAATGAATAATACCTCAAATAGTGATACTGTTGGTTTTGCTCTAATGACAGCAGGACCTGATGCTATGACTTCAGCAAATGAGCTTGGCGAGGCACTTGTAACTACTGTAGACTCACCTGACAAAATGGAAATATATGTTAGAAGAATTTAGCTTCCTTGAAATAACATTGCTGGTGGATGACCTTTATTGAAAAAACATAATAAAACAGGATGACTCATTTAGAACTTAACGATGAGTCGCTGATTATTCTGATCTGATCAGCAGGTGGAACAACAGGGGAGACATTGATACAAGTTATTATGGAAAAAATAAAACTTACTAACCAGGAAAATATGTCTGAGTTGGCTTTATGTTGGCATCAATCAAAGGTGACTGAGGAACACTGGGATGTAGCTGCTAATGAAAAGGAAAAAGAGTGAGCAAAGTTGTAACTAAAAGTTAAATCCTGATTTAAAATCCAACATGATCAACCCACACTGTAGAACCACACTACTTGTCCGCTGCCGCCTGGTTAGCTCAATGAAATAAGCGCCAGTCTGCTGAGCGGGATGCTGTAGGTTCAAACCCCGGCCAGACCAACACTCAAGGTCTTTAAATAAATGAGGAGAAAGTGCTGCCTTTGTAATAACATCTGCAAACGGTTTGACAGTCTAGTCTTCTTGGATAAGGATGATAAACCGTAGGCCCCGTCTCACAAGCTCTTGCACATGTAATAAAAAATCTGTGGGATGTTAAAGAACCCACACACTCTTCGTAAAGAGTAGGGCGCGTCGTGCCCGGTGTAGTGGTCTATCTCACTTTTGTATGGGGGCATCATTACTTATTGTCAGTGTTGCTTGGGACATCATCAGCTCGCATTTAAAATATGACACTGCTCCACAATGTAGGGGGGGGGGGGGGGGGAGAGACTCTTTCCCCCACTTGGAGACAGCTGCAAGACTAACTGGTTACAGAAGCTAATCAAACAACACTTATTAAAGATACAAGATAAGCAGAAAATGGTTCTTACCAAGCCATTTTGCTTTGAACTGCTTCCACCATCTACTTGTGTTAAAATGGCAGTGGCAGAAGAATTCTACAAACCAAACAAGGATAAAAAATAGATATGGAAGCAATCTACCCTATTGCTGTTGAGTGGTTCAAAAAAGCCAATATTGTGCACTGTTGGTGTTTCAAACTGACTTATTTGTTAAAACAACTGTATAAAATGGTTGGAAGATTGTTCAAATGAGTATCACTTTCTGCTACTAGAAATGAAGCTACCTTATAGGTCAAGGTGTGAGTTGGTTGTGGTGGTTACCTTGTTTGTAGTGAGTGCAAGCTCCTTTGCTTGCATGATCAACATGTGTATCTCATTCACATACTGCTTTACAAGTGTAGGAACTGGATTACAACATGCCAGCACACCTTGGGCTTCCCTAAAGTTACAACAGAATTATTGAACTAAGATAATGTGATTAACCATACTGTGAAAAAAGAGAAAGCCTTAAAAAGTAATAAAGTTAGATTTAGTGATATATGTCACAAGAGTACAATTACAATGAATCTAAAAACTCTAAAACTAACTTATACATGAGGTCAAAATTTATAGCACTTTCATCACTTTTACCTTGGCATAGTCTCTGCAATCTGAAACATAGTGTGATTGGGAAGAACAAAGCTGAAAAAAAGAGACAAGAATTTTCATTTTTCACCAAACCAGTCAACTAAACAAATACATGTAACAGATAAAACAAACAAACAAACAAAAAATCAAATATTCCACTACTGCTCCAATGCAGAGTTTCCTAGATATCAAAAACATAAATGTGTTAAAAATGCAACACAGAAAGTTCTCTCACCCATAACTTTCATCTTCTTCTCGTGCAATATTGTCTCTCCAAGCAAAGAGAAGTCGGAATGTACAGAGCTGTTGGGATAACAAAATGTTTTGCAATTTATCAGATAAAAGGGGAACAAAAATACTGGGATCCACTGCGATGCTCTTTATTTGCTGTTTGATTGCATTCTACTCATTTCTTTTAACTCATGTACCAACATTTCTATTTTATTTTCTAATTAGTAGAAATTAATAAAGAGGCCTAAAAACTAATTGTTGATTAACTTTAATTTCTGCACTAGGCTTTGATTATAAGATCAAAAGTGGCAAGACTGGCACACTAGTAAGCATCGGTACAAGTTATATAGAGTGTATGTAAAGCAAAGCAGCAATTTTAAATCACAACATTACAGTACAGTGTGCATGTTTATGAATGAGCTGCCCTACATGCACCAAAAATACTGTATATTCTAATCAATCTGTCACCTGTTCATTGTTAAATGTTCGCTTGTGTTTCTCCAGTACTCTCCGATAAGACTCACTTGTGAATAATGGCTTCTCGTATCGCTGAACAGAATAAAGGGATAAGACTTTAACGTTAAACAACATCCTCACAAACAACGTAGATTGCATAGAAAAATGTAAGAATTAAGGTGCAACTTAAATGCAAGGTACATTATTAAAAGACACACACCTTTAAACATATTTGTTTACTTCTGGAGTACACAGACTGCAACAAGTTGTTATTTGCATTTCCACTTTTTAAAAGCTCATCATGCAATCTGTCATAAATATAAAGCAAATAATGCGTGTCCTCTCTTGCATATCGCACCATCTCATCTGGCAATGGTCTGCAAATAAAAAAATACCAAATGAAATAATACCGTTTGCTTTTCAATGTACATTGTATAAAAATTAATATTATTTGCATGTACCCTTGATTAAAAAGAATATGCACACCAAACTACAGCTGCCATATGAGGGGGTTTGGAGGTGGGGGAGGTCACACAAGTTAAAAAAGGATTCCAACCTTATTCTCCAATCTGCCAGTTGATATTGCTTATTCGCAGTTACATCACAGAACTTCTTTAGCAGGAAAGCCAGGGAATATTTGCCATAGTTTAACACTCTGGCAGCTTGGCCTGTGTCAAACATGTTCACAACATAAATACCAAAATCACGTTGTAACCAGCCAATGTCCATGTCAGCCCCATGCAATACCTACCAGAATTGATAATAATAATTGATGATAATTCAGGTTAGCATGACAAAATTAAAGAAGTTTGTCATACACTAAAAAAATCAAAGGTATCCTAGTCCGAAGAAATAAGAAATAAACCAAACACTGACACAGCCATACTGAGAATACAAAATATCTAATAATTTTCTGGTAATGACTTATTATCATCAAGGCTACTGATCTGCAGATATATCAACCAAAAAATGTAAAATCTAATAGTAACAAGAAAACCAAACCCTCACACCCACTTGTTGTAATGTTTTTTGTTGTATATTATTCTTCACACATATTAAGGATAACTGTTTTGTTTGTACCTTGAGTATGTTAGGATTAGTAAAGGAGTCATTTAGGATATGCAACTCATGTCGCAGCTCCAGTGTATCGATAAGATAGTCATGGTTCCTCGTGGATATTTGCATGAGACAACAGAAACCCTGGAATGATCTGTATGAATGTGCCTAATGGAAGAAAGAGAGGTAAATTTTAGTAAATCTTAATTAAGACAGTTATAATAGTAATTAGAGAAAACATACAGTTTAGTAGAAGGTCAACATGTCATGCAATAACCTAGCGTTTCTTTAATAGTATTCACAAGTTTCAGGAATTTTTTTCCCTTCCATCTTCATAAGTCTGTACAATAACATACAGTACATTGTATGGGTTGCTTAGTGGTAGATTCAGACTTTTCTAAGGTTTAATCTTAAATTATCACTTTCATAAGCTTTTTAATCACCACAATATTGATTTTACAACATTTTCATCTTCTCCAGCTTTTTGAGGAAAGGCTTTAGTGAGGTTAACTAAAAGATAGAGAACAATATCACTTAAGTATTATATTATTGGTTTGGCAATTTATAGTGTGTTTCACATATTTATTTTAGAATACTACTCAATGTACACCATTTAGAACACACCTCCAAATCAACGGCAAACTCAGTAACTGTGTTGAGATGCTCACTCAGTTCTTGAAGCAGTTCTGGAGTATCCACAAAAGTGTAGGGAGTCTTGTCAAAAACCTCATACAGCTGAAAAAAACAAACAAACAAACAAAAAACAAAACAAACTCATTACATTATTAGTAATTTATCAGATACCTAACGTACCATCAAAACAGTGACAATTACCAGGGAGGCTTCTTTGCTCCAGCAAAAGACACCATTACCATTGTTAAAATTTACTGATCGTTCCTGAAATACATGTACTACTTACTTGCTCTTTGTGGGGCTTCATTTGAGTCTTGGATGGTTCAAATACTTCCAGTTCATAATGATAGGGGTGTGCCGTGCTATGTTGAAGGAGAGATAAGAATTCAGGGAAAAATATTACTAATACTCTTTCTTACAGATGCCTGTACTTTAACTAATCGCAAATACCATCTCCATGAGACAGCAAAACAGTCATGTCACTATGATTCTGTCATTTAGTCTGACAGTAACTTGATACAGTTAAACCTCTCCACAATGGCCACCTTGGGGACACAAAAAAGTGCCTGTTGTAGCGAGGTGGCCATTTGTGGAGGTTTGACTGTATACTGTTAGTAAGTTAATTAGTCAGTCTGTCTGTTGATCTGTCAGTAGGTTAGCTAGTTGGTCATTAAGGCTACGGTAATCATTATCCTTAAATTTGGCAAATAATCATTCATTCTGTCATTACCATGACAACAGCAAATTTTTTTTCTTCTTTAAGTCAGCTGTTTAATTTTTTTTCATTCTCTTTTTAAATTAAATTTATCATACATAATGTTTTAAAAGATGTAGAGTACAGTGTAATTGTGCAAGTTATTATCATTGCTTACCTTTTCACACTAGATCTATTCTGTCCTTCTCCTCTCATTCTCTCTTGGTGAACAAAATCAGCAATAACTGATGGAACCAGTAGACTCTCAGGTTGAATGCTCGCACTTTGTTCCACTAAAAACAACAACAAACAAAGTGCATGTACTTCTAACTTCTGTCACTCTTTAGTAGTACTGGGAAACCTTTTATGTGGAATATTGTTCATGGTTCAAATTTTTTCTTCAGTTTAAAAATTTTCAGACCAGGTTAAGATTTGTTTTCTTTGGTCTCATATTATGGTAAAGTATCTATGATAGAACTAAATCAATGCAAACAGGTTTGACAATTTTCCAGCCAAAGAAAATTCAGATTGCAAAATGTAGATCACATAAACAAAACTAATAAATGGCTTGTAAAACAGGAGAACAGTTAATAAACACAAAAAGCATTACTTTTTAATAACGCTATCACTACAACTTACTAATTTAAGCTAGAAGGGTGGTTACCAGTTTCCTACCTTGATTGACATAAATAACACAGTCTAAACCTCAAAATCAGTTAGGCTATATCTTCACATTGGTTTTTTTCCTACTCACCCATTTCAAGTGGTCGCAGTGCATTAGGTTTTCTTTTGATGACTGGAATAAAAGGAGTGTTGCTGTTGTCAATCTTATCTTTAAATCTCAGTTGTGGTCGCTGAATGTTCTTGGCCATTAAAAAACGGAAATTATTGGAATCCTTACTTCCTGGGATATTTTGCTGCAAGTTTAAAAAGAGACATACTTATAATTTGAAAAAGATATACACTCTAGTAGCTTGGTACTGCTGCATTACTTGACAGTGAGTCTCATAACATCATAATACATATACCAACTGGCTGACCACTTCATCACCTGGTCCAGTGAACTATTGGTTCATCACTTTGTACATTGAGTACTAACACAGGAGACAGAATGTAATGTATGAGGACACCTGTTATTTACAGACCTTGACTGAAAGACCTTCCTATGCCCAAGTGGGTGTTATACGCACTTGACTGATAATGATGATGATGATAATGGCATCTTGTTTAGACTGCTATTACTACACCCTTATCACATGCAGTATAATGACAATAAAATAACAACTTCTCGAATCAGCTCAGGACCTTTTTCCTATTCCAACTGCACACGACAGGTGTTCCTTGTTGGCCAGGTGCGCCAGTCACTGTTTGGTTTGTTACTTTGGTGGATTTTTTAAGACCTGCAGCTTCATCAAGGCTGTTATCCTTGAGAAACAAAACACACTTTAAAGCATGCACCAAGCAAAAACAACACAGTACTTAGATGCTTAGGATTACACAGTTGAGCATGACAGACAGTCTATGTATTAAAGGGGGTTGTATTTCAGTGGTTGGATATTCCCGACCAATTTCAGACTTGTTTAAATGTATATCATATATTACAATGTATAAGGTGAATATCACTGTACAGTGGTGTGTCCCGGCCACATGACAGAGTTTGCAAGGGAATTTGAATGTTCGATGATTAAAGAGGTGAAACTGACACTCCCTTTTCTCTCTAATAATTAACAACAGTCATGTGATTCCAATTTTCCTTTGGTTAAAACATCTTTGGACAAATTCTACGTTGGTCAATATTTATCTCTTAACTGTTATCACCTAAAGTAAACTTTGAATTTACCATGAATATACATTACAGTATTAGAGAGCCAGCATGCTGAAAATGACTTTAGAAATACTACCAAAAATAATAGTGCCATATTCAAAACTTAAATCTAACACTCACTACTCCTTCAAGAATAATATCATTGGCTTCCACAAGACTATCAAGCAGCTCGTCACCATCTGGTTCAATACCATGTGTGTCTGATGGCCACTGACAATGAACTCTCCAATGACGAAGCAAATTACCTATGCTAAAATACAATAGACCAAACAGAAAGCAATCACGACATATTACAGGGTAGAAATATTTCACTCAAATATCTGCTTATTATATCTATTATATCTACTTCATTCTCTACCCCCAAGGGGTCATTAAAATTGTAAGGAGGGGGGGGGGTGTGGGGGCAGTATGTACGTCACACCAACAATATTCTGAAGAACATAAATTAGAAAAAAAATATTTTGGAATAAATTAGCCATATTAATAAACATACAGTGTTAGTGGCTTACTTGCTAAGAAGTCTTGCTCCTTGAGCTGTTCTAAATTCTCTGAAATCTGAGAAGCTGTAATAAAAATCATGGTCTTCCCCTGCAGCTGGCAGATTGCCAGCTGATTTAATGGCTTGCACTATAGACGCAAACGATTCCTGAAAGAAGCAGTAAAAACCAATGTAATTTTACTTTGAACACATGGCAGTTGTAAGCTTATCTTTCTTTCAACACACACATTCTAATACTGTACCTGAGATACCACCAAAAAATATTTTCACGTCCCCATTTCCGTTTCACTCTTCTTCCACCTTACGACAAACACGCAGGTGTAACCTGAGTCACTTTGAAACTTAAAACACTTTACAGATTGGAAACTCAAAGCACTCTCTAATTATATATACAGTATCCATTTCTGATTTGCACAGCTGATAAGCTTATTTTGCATGATCCTTAGAGAAAAGGAATGTTGTCGCGTTTCCAAGATTGAGTAGAAAGCCCGTGGAATATGAACTGTAAAAGAAAGCTCCTGCATCGAGCCCCTTTTTTTCTCTAGTTTTTCTGGTAAAGTCTTAAATGTTTACACTTCACTATACCTGTTTAATTTCAACTGCTAGCGAATCAGCTGTGAACAAACCATGCTAGGTTCATAGTCATTGACTCGAAATTTATTCAATAAATGAGAAAGACAAACCCATAAAACAATAGACAGATCTAAAAACTTAATCTAAGCACCTGAGTAAAAGCTTTTAGCTCTCCGATTCCAGGTAAAGAATCCGTAATTCTTTCTGCATCTTCCACATCCATGCTGTCCGCCATTTTAGAACCCACAAATCCTTGCGCGCCTTTCCACTTACGACCAGCTCCCAGGACTTCTCTGACACTACCCCAAAACAAAAATGGCGTCGAAAGTAGACGAACCACTGACTTTAAAATTTACAAGCACCGCCTTTGATCCCGAAAAGTGTAAGCTGGCATTATTATACTTATTTGAATATTTAATCTGATTTTTTAGAAAAATTCTAAACGAACGTTTTTGTAGTACTGGGAAGCAAATTTTGACTGGCAATTACGAAGCTTTAACAGTTTGTCTTCTCCTGTTTACGTTGTACACAGATGTCAGGAACTTATCTGCTGAATGTGACACTGATGCAGAGCTTCAGGATCACCGAAAGCGGATTCAGGCATTAAGCGAGGAAACTGCAGTTAGTTTAAAGAAAAATGTCTACAAGAATTACATGCAGTTCATCGAAACCTCCAAGGAAATATCTTGTATCCTTGTGATTCAGCTGAGTCGATCGAAATTCCGTGGAACTCTGTGTACAGTAGCAAATACCCAAGACAGCTAAAATCGTAAACAAAATAAATCATTTATCTAACAACCTTCTTCTTGATATAAGATCTGATGTGTTGTTTGTTAAGATTGTAGTGGTATTGTGTAACTTCCTTAGCTTTGTTCATCAGATCTGGAGGCTGAGATGTATCAGTTAGGACATTTCTTAGCAGAGCAAAAGTCAATTCTAACGAGCCAGCAGGATATGTCTTTATTTGGAGCAGAAGGTAAATATGAAAATGAAAGTCAAAATTTAAAATTGCAAATTTTATATTAAGCAAGTATCATCTCAGGGCTGTCATTAGGAGCTAGGGCAGCCACTACGAGCGTGACTCCTGGCCACTTAGCTTTCATAGGAAACGAAATGAAAACAGAGCCAAAAAGAACCTCCTAACTGTTCAATTTTCAACCCACTAATTTCATATACCCACCAACTTGAGATCTTAGTGACAGCTCTGTGGTCTTTTAGTACTTATTTAATTTGAAATATCTTTCCAATTTAGGGACTTGTCAGAAATTAGCAGGGGGGAGGGGGGATGGAAATAGAGGGAGGGTCACAACTTTTTGAGACTCAGAAAAGGGAGGGGTCATGAAAAATGGGCCATTAAAAGGGGGAGGGTCATGCAAATATATGCCCGTGATCATGCAGAGGTTCACCCACAGAAGAAAAAGGAAGTTCTTTATTTGGTAAAAAAAACCTGGGAGAAATAGCAGAGTCGAGTGATCAGCTGTCAGCATTACAAAGAGCAGATTAGAAATATAATTTAAGTTTTCATAATACTGACTCACCGTAGTGTAATGCAAGAACTAGACTTTATCATTTATGCAAGGGGGGGGGGGTCATGATATTTTAGGCCAAGCTAAAGGGGAGGGTTAGCAAATTTCACTCTCATTGCCGGGATGAGTCACCTCATTTCCGAACCCAAATTTAAAATTCCTTCCCCCCTTCCCCCCTGCTATTTTCTGACAAGTCCCTTAAGAGAACAATATTTAATAAGCCCTCCCTCTCCATTAATCCCCCCCTGTCCCCTCCCCTAATTATTCTTCTTAATAAATTATAGACTGTATTAGTCAACAATGACTGCAAGACTGTGTGTGTATTGATCCGGGATCTCAAATAATTCCCCGTCTCTATTAAGTAAATGGGCTTGAAATAAATAAGCACCCCCCCCCCCGCCCCAGGGGCTTAATAGAGGATTTACAGTATGTCAGTAATGTGCATTTGCAAATTTGATGTTGGTATTTTGTGTACAATAAATATTAGATTCAAGTTCATCAGCAAAACCTTCAAACAAGGATGAAAAAGGAAGCAGTTCAATTGAGTCTGTTGAGGGTCTTGGAGTAAGTAACAATCTGTATAATTTGGACAGTTATATAAGAATATTCCATGTTGAGACCCAGGTCTGATGTTTTTCCTTTTGTTTACAAACTTTTCTAATTATTATTAATTATTGCACTGTCAGTTTATTGTATATTAAAAGTAAAATGATTGTGGTATAAAAAATCTAAAGTCTCCACTAACTGTGTCTTAATCAGTTAATTTTCTTTATGGTGAAATTCTACCTCCTCTTTGATGTTAATTTTCATTGTTTGTAAATCACTTTCCATTAAATTCGCATTAATTTAAGTCGTGTTAATATCCAATACCTTAATTTCATGGAGCGTTATTAATTTGTATGTTTGTTATCATTCTTGCATCTTCTTTGATCCATTACCTCCCATGAATATTTTATAACTTTTCTGTGCAATAGAGTTAACTACTGACAGATGATAGGTTGGAATAATGTACCAATGAAAGTGTCATTTTTATTTCAGGGTGTATTGGATATAAGTGATATAAATTGTGTATTTGAGGGAGACCTGATGGAAGTGTTTCCAGACACTTTTCTTCCCAAGTTGAAAGTGCATGCTTTCCTCTTACATGACAGTATGGTCATAGCAAGCATTATTCATAACAGGTGAGACTTATAAAAAGAAGCTTTATGATACAGGCCAGTTAAACAGGGATGCAAATAAAACTCTATAACTGCTTGTGAGCCATTTAACTGGTGTTTCACTGATTTTTAATCAGTTGTCAAACCAATTTTATATCTAAATAACTAACCCTTCCTTCCTTATCAATACACTTATCAGCTATAAATTATAATTAAGTTTGTACAGGTTTGGCAATAATGTTGTTTTAACAAATTATTTTTACCTTGCTCTAATTAGGAGAGGCCCTGTTCGCTACAAGTTCCTTTCCTTATTTGAACTTGAAAATGTTGCCGTGGTGAATATGACCAGTGCTGATGGTATGAACATAACTTAACCTTTGATCTTGATTATTGGTGGGAACTAGAAGTGGAGAAGTGGTGACAGCCCTGGCCTCCCACTTACGTGGCCAGGGTTTACACCATACATGGGTTGATTTTGTTGTTGTTTCTCTCCTTTTCTCTGAGAAGTTTTTCCCCGGGTACTCTAGGTTTCTTTTTTTATTTTTTTGTTTTGCCACCTTATTATGACATTATAGTAATAAATTACAGGAATCCATTAGAATATGGCAAGAAAGCCCAAAGAAACCATGAGGTTTATCCCGGCCCTCTACTCAAAACCCAACATTTTTAAAATTTCAATTCAATCAGGAATGGTATGTGGCTGTGTTAATTCTAAATCTTTATTTTATTTATTCATTAATTTATGTATGTAATATGTATGTGTTAAAGTCAAAAAAGTGAGTTAACAGTCAATGTCATACATGTACTTTATGGTGACTCAACATTCACATTGACTTTCACACAAGTTATCAAAACATCAGGCTCCAATGCAGTAGTGAGTCAGTATCTTGCTCAGGTGTTCATAAATTGATTAAACTTATCTGGGACATGACTTTTGGGCATGTAGGTACTAAAGATGCCTTTAAGATCCTGTTGTTTCCAGAGACTCATGTCTATGAAGCAGAGAGCAAACAGATAAAGGTAAGGACTATATGCTTCTATGTGGTTGACAAAATTATAGTTATCTTAAACCATCTAGTAGGTTATGCTAAAAACCATGCATATTTCTGCATTTTGCAAGCTCCATAGTTGTTTAGTGTTAGATTGTCTTTCTAACTTACATGCAAATTGTCAACATTGAAAACATTTTTTTCTGTAGAAAGAGTGGCTAGACAAAATAGAAGAATGTAAAAAGAATTTTAAGCTAAAGTTGGAGCAGGAGGTCGGCCAAGGTGACACAGAAGTTACGGGTGAATTAACCACAGTCAGTAGCTCAAACAACACTAATCCATTCTTTGAAGAAGTGGGGAAAAATCCTTTCCTGGAAGATGATAAGAATCCCTTTCACAACAACAATGATGATGATGATGATGATGATGACAAGAATCCATTCAAGGAGAGCAAATCAACAAATCCATTTGATGAAGATGAAGGTAAGTCAGGTCCTAAACAGAAGCTTATAAATATCAAATTGTCACTGCATGCTTTCTAACTATTTCATTTATTTATGGTGTGTTCAACTGTTTAATTTTTTCAGAACCTCTGGCATCATCATCACCTGGTTCAAGCAGCTCAAAGTTAGTCAAGGTATGTTTGTACGGTCCTTCTCTTTATGATTAGGTTGACGTCATAGCAAAAATTGCTTAACTTGCCTCTAGTTGGTAAAAATGGTACAATATTACAAATAGGCATTCATTCTAGAAACAAATATTTTGTGGGTCAAAACGTTTCTGAATCATTTTCACTAAAATTAATAGTTAAGCTATAAGCAAAACATGTGCACCCAATGAAAGCTAGAAGTACTCAGAAAAAACAATAACAACAATCTCTTCAACCCAGGATTTTCTGTGCTCAGTGAAACCACTAGAACCTTGCCTAGATTAGATGCTTTTATCTTGAACATATTTATTGGAATGCTTAGTTTGATGAATAATTGTATAGTTCTGACAGATCATCAAAGAAGCCCAGAAAGTACCAACACCTAGACAAGCTTCTCAACCAGAGCCAGGCTGTGTGAATTTACTGAGCGGGTCTACAAACCGTTTTCCAAAAACATTTGGGCATTAGTTTTTCTCGTATTGTGATCTAAAGTTAAGACCTGTATAATTTGCCTTAATTTATGATAAGTAATATACAGTAAAATGCTTTCTTGTCAGTGTAAAAAAGGCTGGCTCACAGACCTCCCTGAAGACTTAGACATGTTTATAGCACAAAGAGATTTTGAAAGGGCAATGGAGCTGATTGACCGAAGTAAGTGCTTTGCTCTATTTTTCATAGTAAAAATTCTGATTATTATCAACATGCTGTGAGTATTAATGAGTTAAAATTTCTCTGACTTCTGTTGATTTGCTTGTTTGATTTTCAGCAAATCAGTATTTAAAAGAGAACAGTAGCTCTCAAGCATCAAAAGAAATCAAGTATGTTTGTTGAACTGAGTATTATCAAAATAAGATAGAGTGTTTTGTCAGTTGTGTTTTACTGATGTAATACATTTGACTGGTTAAGGCAAGAAAGAGCAAGAGGTAGCTATAATTTTACTTCATGAAATAGTATAAAACTATCCCCTGAAGGGGGAGACGCGAAGTATTGAGGTATATATCTGTCCCTGAGGGGGTTGAGTATAATTAACAAATCAGTTGGATAAAAATGAAAAAAAATAACGTTTGGTAAATTAAAAACGTCATTTAGTAGGAACTTTGTTTACAATTTACAAACATTTCGGGGATTTTGTCAAGTGCATTTTTACAATTTTGTGGCAAATTCAGCACGAAAATAATTTTATACCTACCAGTAAACACCGACAAGCCAAAGTTCGTTGCTTTCTTGGTATTTGTTTGCATGACTGCTTCATTTATCGCCCAAATTTCGTCTTCCGAAAATGTCTCAAAACGCGACGCTATCTTGGCTCCAATCGCAAAACCGTGAATAGTCAAGGATATTCCTAGTTACAGGAGCTAATCAAAACACACGAAAATTGCTATTCACTGATTTGGTAAATACTTATACAATATGTCCACTACTTGGAACAATGCTGAACATTTTGCCTACATTGTATGCCTAGTGCGTGAAACATATCTCCATGTATGGCAGCTGTTCTTTTGGGGGTTGCAGAAACTGTAATAACTAGACACTAATTTTAAGAATACATCTTGCACTTGTTAAGGGGAAAATGATTCCTTTCTCCACTAAAAAGTTGGTGCATTGACATTCATGGGAACAAATTTAAATTGCCATATTTTGCTAATGCTTTTGTGAACAGAGTGCGCTTGGATCGCCGAGTCAAACTACTAGTTGATGCCCTCATTGATGAGCTGGATTGTAGTCGCAGTTTTTTACTTCATGTTGGTCCAAGAGCCACACGACGAGCTGTGTCATTACTTGTGAGATTGGGAAGAGCAGCTGAGGTGTGTCTTAGGTGTTTATTAGATAGAAGACAAGGAAAGAATAAAAATGTCTTTGTTAGAGAACTTTAACTGAGCCTTGAAAAAATACTTGTAGGAAAACGTTAAGTTCAGTTTTTTGCCATTATTAGGTCTTGTACTGCACAGTTAGGGAAAAGCAGCATCTGAAAAGATAGATAATTTCTTTAACAACTTTTGTTTTTGTCGGGCAGGCATGTCAGCTGTTCTTACGAAACAGAAGTGAGGCCATCAAACATAGTCTAAGGTATTAAAGCTACCTAAGTGTGAAGTGTAATCAAGTTTTCAGTCATGTGTACACGTTATAGTCATATCACAGTACCAAATCTTGCAAGGACTTTGGCGATACGCAGTCTAATTTTCATGGAATTCAGTAGGTAACTTGTGTACTTGTCGTTGTTGTTGTTGTTTCCTGAAGGCAACTAAAGATTGAAGGAGCCACAGCACTTTACATTTCTAAGCTGTCAGCTGCTTTCTTTAGTAGCATCATTGAAACTGGCAAAGAGTTTGATCAAGTGTTTTCAGCTAACAGAGGCTTCAGTTCTGGTGAGTACTCACTGCTCGGCTGTGAATTCATCTACCAGACAGTGTTAGTTAGGCATTAGGGGATCTTACCATAACGCTAACTCAGGATGCTATCTATGCACACCTGACTGACGTCCACACATGTCCGAGGAAGAACTCCTTTGTTGTAGTAAAAAAATTCTTCTTTTACATTTAACAGGTCTTCTGATGGCTTAAATACCATAATAAAGTTGTCATTTCGACCTCATTCAGCTAATAAAAACAAAAGTTGTCATTTCCAGGTAGCGACCTCATTCAGCTTTTCATTTGTACATAGTGCTTTAAATCCCCGCGACGCAAACAAACAGTGGAAGGAAGAAAAATAGGGATGGGAGGGGGAGACGCTAAATGAACTAATACCTTCTTGTTACAACGTTTAATACACAGTTTGATTTATTTCAAACAGCTTTTGTAGTTTGTGAATTGGTTAAATTACATTTAACCAAATTTTAATTTATTTCAAACAGCTTTTGTAGTTTGGGCCAATAGTGAACTTCAGCAGTTTGTGTCTCGGTTTTCATGCCAAGTGTTTCGCAGAGAGATGAGTGTGTCAGCCATTGGTGTGTGTGTCAGTATGGCGAAACAGCAGTGTGAAAAGGTAGCTGAAGATAGTTTGTATGTTACATTATCGTGTTATTATCATTAGGGCTGCAAAACTACAACGACTGCAACGATAACGTCTGAAAAAGTCTTGTCTTTTTCTGGACTCTGTAAAGTGAAATCTCCCTTTGCTGTGAGCTATGAACGGTGTGAATACCTGACCAAGAATATCCAAGTTATAGAGATTTCACCTACTATCAACAAATTGAGCGCATTGAGGAATTGTGAAAGTACCAGAATTGGCTCTACGAATAACGTTTTCACTGCTGTCGATGTCCTTCCAGGCATTGATATTCCTGTGCTACTTTAAACTGGTAACATTGACATGGATGAGTAGTAAACAACGTGGCTGAAAGATAAACCTTTAATGGCTTTTGAGGCCTTCGTCTGATGGCTTGGAACACTAAATTAACGATATCATCTGCCGGCAATCACTTTTTATAAACCACTGTGTAGATAATTGCGAAATAATAGTACCCGAGTCCGACATGTCTCTGCTAATCGTTTGCAGAATATTTTTTTGATAAATGTTATTGTTTCCTTGTTAAGTTGCATGAGATAGGCTTGGACTTGACATTCTCAATGCAGCAGATGCTACTGAGGGATATTGCCGAAGCGTTATTGGATACTAGAGATCAGATGGTGAAGTTTGCAAGACACAGGGCCAAGGTGTGTTCTGCTGTTACTGTAATGCTTATTTCTTGTTTAATGTAATCGCAATTCGTTCTTATAACACTCTAAATGTGCTAATTGTATTACATGGGCTTTACAGGAGGCAAACTGGACACCCATGGACTTTGAAGGACAGCTTGATCAATTAAATACCTTGTGTGGTGAAATGGAAAGCTGTGGAATTGAAGATTTTAATACTTTTATTGTTGGTGAGTAACTATGCTGTGGTGCAGATGATAAGTGGGCTTAAATCCTCCAAATGAATAAGCAAATATCACAACCGAAACATCAAACGGACTGGAAGGAATTTATTTCATTAAATTAAGGCTGACTGCGGCCGTACTTGGGGACTCAATCGAGTTATTTCTAATTAACTAGTTAAAGTTAACTCGTTTAAAAAAACTGCGAGTGGGGCCGGGTTTTCTACAGTCTTAACCGAGTTCAAACGGGGTTATTCAAATCAAGCAAGAACAATAGATTTTCTTAACCAGGTTAGGTTTTTTTAAACCAACTCGCGAGGTAGTTTAATGCCGGTTAAAGTCGATCATCTCCGCGTACGCGTGAGAATGGTCCAAATTTTGGCTTTACCAATAACTATGCACGCAAACACAACAGTTTCGAAGTCAATTCTTTCGCTCCAAGTTCAGCTTTTCTTTCTTAACACAACTGAGTTACGACTTTTAAGAAGTCGACCACTTTTTTTCAGTAATACGGGGTCAAATCTTAGGCGATCGTTATTATGAGCGACCCAAGCGAGAGAGAAAGAAAGAAAGAAGCGCGCGACATTGAATGACTTTGTGAAAGTCTAAATTGAGCCCGGTCGCTGATAAAAAGTAACCTAGTTAAACTCATTTAACCGGGTTACGTTCTGAAGAATGTTTACCAGGTTATTCAAAAACTAACCTTGTTAACTTGCCAAGTGCGGCCGCAGTATTTATGACCTGGTGAAAATCAAAGATCGGAGTCGTAAGCGGAGTCATAAGCGCGACGGGATCGGAGTCGGAAGAATCCGAACGTTTCCATTTCTTCCGACTTCCCTTCCGACTACGTCGCTTACGTTCCGCTTATGATCTAGTGAAAACCAGATGGTCGGAGTCGGAAGCAGACGCGGAAGGATAAACCAATCAAAATGCACGTTCCCACGCTTTGTGATTGGTTTAGTTCTCCCGCTTCTGCTTCGGATCCGATTCCGACAATCTGGTTTTCACTGCATCGTAAGCGGAACGTAAGCGACGGAGTCGTAAGCGGAATCGGAACGCGGTTTTCACTAGATCATAAGGTCTACGCTTCTTATTACGACTCCGACTCCGATTCCGTCGCTAGTGAAAACCAGCCTTTAGTAGCTCACACAAAGGCGCGCTGCGTATGGTTAGTAGTAGAGGGGGTCGCGTGGGGTGCTAACCGATCACAGAGCAGAATTAAACCAAATGTTACCAAGATGGATCAGTCACCTGCGACAATTCCTGCTGTATAATAGGTTAGTATGTAAGGTAGTAACACCCTGTACCACTAGCGTAGTAAACACGCAAAACAAAACCACAAGAAACTGTAACTATCAGTTTAAAGTGATTTTGTGTTTGGTTTGGTTTGTAGGTAGAAGCAAGGTCGACCTGAGCAGTGCTACAGTTTCTTTTACCAAAGGAGTGCTAGGATTTGTAGCAGATGGCTTAAGTGTTATTACACCACAGGTAATCAGACTTAATAACGTGTGGCTCAACCCCCCCCTCCCAAAAACAAAAAGAAAAGAACAGAAAAGAAATGCCGTTCTCTTTTTCTAAGTCAAAAGTCGAAAAAGAAGCATCTTAGTTTTAAGAACAAAGCAGGCAACCTAGCAACCAGAATACCTACGGTAACGTAACGGCAATAGTAACGCGAACTTCACATAATCGGTTTAGTGGGTAAAACATATAAGGCACATTTGGTTATGATTGTATTTTTGTCCCTTTTTTATAATGTGAGTGTCATAGATGTACCTATTCATCTATCGACGGCGCTCAAATTTACTTGGCTGTATTTTTTTTAACGTAATCTTTTTTATTATTCAGCTTCAGCAAGTGTTTGTTAATTGCATTGGGGATCTATTCGAAAACCAGGTTGTTCTTTTCGAGGGCATTCTCAAGTCTGGTCGATATATAAGCCAGGTGTGATACTAGTTTCTTTTAAGTTTTTGCTTGTTTTTCACGTCGGCTAGTTCATCATGTAAGCCTTCCTTGAAATGTACTCGGGACAATTTGCGGAAAGTTTGTATGACGCACTACCCTTCACGTCACTTTAGACGGTAAATGATCGATAGTTGTCTTATTTTTCCACATTTCCTCCTTTTCTTTTTTGGTACCAGATATGAATTGTTTTCTTACACGTCCCTACTCATGGTAAAAACAAAATTATGTATCGACCAGCTTACGAGTTTAACTGAATTTTTTAACGTTAAACTGATTTCAGCATGACTTCATCCTCAAAAATGCTTCGTTTGTATTAGAAACCATCCTTCCACTTGTAAAGAGAAAATTAAAGGTACGTGTAGAGAATTTATATCAGTAATCCTAGCATAATTGGTTAGAACATGAGCCTGGTAGACTGGTATCAACATTTTGGGATTTAGCGAAAAGTCAAGATCAGTCAGTGTTGTCGGGGCGCAATTCACGTTACGTTACGTTGGGTTTTGCCACATCACGATGTTGTAGAAAGCGTGACTTAGTATGTGTAAAATAGTTTCCAGTTAATGTGCAGATCAGTTGCAGATATTAATATTGATGTGTCATGTAACTGGTTTTGGTACCTAACAGAGTGCATATGTGTGTTCTATTCTCCTGTGATTCTGTGACCGGCCTGTTTAATGTAACAGTTTCCATTACTGCATAAACAATCTCGTTCTGTTAATGTAAACAATACACTTTCTTTTAATTTAATTAATGCAGTTCTTCTAATGTAAACAGTGAAGTTTCTTCAAATACCTGGTTACTTTTTTTTTTAAACGGAGAAGAAGATAAAGAAAAGCAAATGTTTCACAACACCAAAGACGATTTGTCGGGCGAGAAGTGCATCGCCAATTTGCGTTTATTTATCGTATTGTATTGTTTTGTTTTGTTTTTTTTTTGTTTCCTTAGGTTGGTAGTAGTTCTGGTCGGCTTATAGAAATACAAGGTGAACTGAAGAGATTACAGGCCATTTCTCCATCGTCTGACCCTACTGAAGCTGAAGGACAGGCTGCCTCCAGATGAGAGGAATATTATCACTGATATCAGATCCGTACTTTGGTGTTTATATTTTGAAAGTAAACCTTCGTAAAACGAAGTTCTTGTTTGCTAACAAAAAACCTGCAAAAAATGTTAAATGTCCTGATTTCTTCTCGTCCAGATATTATTGAAGTCAATTTTCTTGTATTTTTTGTAGTTGTCAAAGAGTGTGTTTTTGCTATGTGCACAATGTTATGTAAACTACGCAGTACTTTTTTCTTGCGTTCTTCATTATGTTTCAACAAAATGTTAAACAATATTAATCACACCAATTTATTGTAAAGAGTCCAAACGTTTCTGACCGAAAATGGTTTTACGCGGTAGGGGACTAAGACGATTACTTGTAGGAGGCCAGGTGACCCCTGGGAACAGCTGCTGACCTCAGATATCCTTTTTCTAGCCGTGGAACAGGCAATGTTCCTCAGGGTTCCTATCCACGGGAGAAAATATTTATAAAACAAAGGGCTTTTTGTCTCTTGTAGAGCCTAAACCCGGCTCTACTAATAAGTTCCGTAAATTGCGTTTCCATTGTTTAGGTAACAGTGAAAAGTCGCGGTAAGGGTTACGCACCGTGCGTATTGTTCAAGTACGTAACATGCGACAGCCAGGAGTGAAAAGTTGTCAATAACACACTAAAATTGAAGACCCGAGCAAAAAAATAAATATATACTGTATAAAATGACAAGAACGGAAATGTAAATAAGTAAAGATATCATTACGAACCAAACCTTTGTTTCAGAACCAAGTTTCAAATAAAAGAGGTTCACGTGATCTTGGCTGTCTGTCATATTTAATTAATTCGTTAACCCCATAAACAATGACATATTTTACGGTTTTTCGCTTTGTTTTGGAAAGAAGGATTACATTTCATCGTTAAACGAGATATCTCTGATTGAAAACCGTTTTCGTCACTGACTGGTTATGGAGGATTCCAATTATTTGGTGACCTTGGTCGTTGAGTAAACAGCATTTTGTTCTACAAATGGTGCATTGACACAACTAATACTTTCACCAAAAGTGTCGCATAACAACAAGAACAACAACAACAACTGAAACAAAACAATAAACAAGCAAGCAAAAACTAAAAGTGAATAACCAGTGTCTCAAGTTTGTGAGGCCAGAAACCTATGCTAGAATAAATCAGTGAAAGAAGTAGTAAATAATTCACCGTTAATCATGCAATAATTCATTTTCACATCTCCCATAATACACCTTGTTGCCCCTCAAAATTTTGCGTAAGCAGGGTCTTTTATTTCTCTTGGGATGACTGTAATACCCAGGAGAAATTAAAAAAACTAAGGTTATGCAAAATTTTGGGGGCAAACAAGATGTATTATAGGAGATGTGCAAATAGCGAATAAATATATCTCAGGTGAAATGAAATTTTAAATACAGCACTGACTCCCGCTAATATCGTATGCATTACATAACACATTGAAAAGTGAAACGACCTCCACGAAGTTACTTGGCTTTAAAGATCGGATTCTGTTATTATATTTGGAAGCTATATATACTTATAAAGAAATTCTCTACTCATTTTTGTTGTTTTGTTTTGTTAAGTTGTTTCTTTTTTTCAAATACAACATCAGTGAGATAAAAGGTAAATATGAAACGTCAAAGAAGTGACGTATATACAGGTAGTTATAATAACAATGAAGAAGGAAATTACCTTACAGATTTGCCGAATCACTAAGAAAAAACCCATCAAAAGCTATGCGGGATCAAAAGGCGACAAGAAACAATAGTTGTATGTGATAATTTTGTTCACTAAAAGGATTTTCTTTTGAAGTATAATCTTGAGTCAAGCTGGCAGTGTTGACCGTATGGTGGCCATCAGTACCATCTAATATCCAGCATTAGACTTACCATGGTCTCCTGTTAACGGAGTAGTATACGTTCTCGCCTGATTTTGGTTGAGTGAAAAATGACTCTTACCTTTGGTGTACTTCCAATGATACTCGTTGGAATCATTCTTGTGAAAACTTCTAGTAAGTGCTTATTTGATTGTAGCTTTAACTAGTCAATTCTACTGCAGGCTGCGGTTTAGTTGTTTTAACGAACAGATGTTGATTGTACTCGACTGAAAACGGCTCTGATTTTGCAGTGGTGTTATGTACACTTTGTAGTGAGGCAAGAAACGCCCGATTTAAATGCATTATTTGTTTAAAAAGAAAAGAACAAGATATTTTAATTTGCATTGTTTCTCGGTAATTCCAGGAAGGTTCCTTGGTGTCGCAGTATTGTAAGGTCCATGTTTTGTCAGTTTTAAAGCCCGTAATACAAGGAACTAGTGTCATGTGGTAAACACAAAAGAAAATGCTTAAAACTATCAGTAAATTGAATGTATAAAAAAGATAAGTTTACAGGATTTTTAAGTCAAGTAGCATAAAATTAAAAAAAAAAGATTAAAGATAAATTCTTTGCTAATTTATCGCTCTTTCTTCTTTAGAAGTGAATGGTTCTCGGCTTTCAGATGATTGCAGTGATATAGTTGACTGTCAAGGTTTGTCTCTAAATTAACGCAGATAAAACGAAGAAAATCAATCAAGGGGGTGGGCTTACCTACCTTATAACTTGATAAACTGCTTCTTTCTATGATTTCAAAAACAATAGCAAATGACTTGAAAGCGTGTAACAAAAGGTTTCAAAGTACATTAGCCTGAATTTCATCCGATTACTTCGAGTCGTTATTACTCCCTCAGTAAGTTGTTGAGAGGAGAAAACGACTCGAAGCAATTGGATGAATTTCAGGCTAAAAATACATTTACTTCTGGTACAAAACTGGCCTCCCATGTGCATCTCAGCCTGAGCCGAGATATGTGAAAATGGAGTTACCCAAGTACTGACAAATTCTGTAACCGAAACTTGAAACTAGTTTAAAAATAAAACTTTTAACTTGTATTTATAAGCTTACATAACAGTTGTGCTTGGTTCAGTCTGTTTAAGAGCAATTATGACTCTGTTAAAGAAAAAAGCAAAACTGGAGGAGGTCTTCAACTGTGATGCAGGTGCACTACTGATGGGATTGGAATATTTCTTTGACACAGTCCACAGTTCAATTTATATTGATCTCAGTCAGAGCTGAAAGACATGCAAAACCTAATTAACTTCATTATTAATCTAACTGATAAGAGTACATGATCCTAGCCAGGTGAGCGTAGCTCCTTGACGAGTTCTCTGTAACTTATACCGTTATTGAGTAGTTTTTCTTCGATTGTCAGGCTGTTCTCCTCCGTGTTTATGCTTTAGTGTCGGGTATTTGGAGCCTTTGTACGCTGTTAATTGCAAACAGAGGAAGCTGTCTTCTATGCCGACAAACTTACCAAACAACACTAACCAAATGTAAGCCGGCTTAATCAAATACGCTACGAAAAAAAAATTGCTAGAATTGTATCAAAGTGCTCTCCAACAGTTCAGTAGCTACTTTTTGATTTGTATGCGTAAATAATCAATACTAAAACGTTTTGTTAATAAGTTGATGCCTAAAATAAAGGAGTCAATGGTCAACAAGTTAAGATCACTCTAGACTTATGAAAATTTCAGTGTTGTAGCAAGTGCGTGCAATAACTATTTAAACTACTGTAACGTTTAGTTTGTCAGTGTATACAACTCACAAACGACTCTTCGGTCTACCTTTTTTTATTTGATTCATGATCAGCACGCAATGTTTTTCAAAGTGAAAATAATTGGCAACAATTGCATTCTTCAGTTTAAAGTCCACTAAAAACAACATAAGTCAGTGCGTAAAAGCAAATTGTTTACAATATGCCATTTATTTGCTAGATACGTACATATCAACAACATAAATCGGATATTAGCAGAAGATTTAAAGGGACTGGAAAAACTGGAGCATCTGTAAGTCAATCCTTTAGATTGATGCTTATAATTGTTGAAATTGAAAACTTAATGAAATCGATTTTTCAGAGGCATCAATTTTATCCGGGGGAAATTAAGTACCGGATTGGTTTGCGGTTTGAGCCAAATTTGTACAGATTCAGTATTCACGTTACTTGTATAGCAGTCATTTCAGCCGAGCCGTTTGATATTGTATGCATTCAATTGGCGTTCATTTGAATTCTGCTTCCTTTGACAGTCCGGCAGATGGACTGAATAAACTTGCAGAAAAAAGCAAGGAAATAAATCCTGATTTTTCGTAACATCACAAGGCAAGAACGAGCAACTAGCAGGGGAAACAACTTTAAATCTGGTTGAGTAAATTTGTAATTTTAACTTTGGAAACTATTTCTTTCAGAGATGCTTCAAGAAATGAAATCGAGGAAATTGAACATAAGGCGTTCAAGGATACTAAAGAACTCGTATCACTGTAAGAATTACCATCAAACTCCAGAAAGATACAAAACTGGCTCTTCTCAATACGTTGTGCATTGTATGAGGTTTCATGAAACAGAAACAATAGGAAAAGGTATCGTGGCGTGTTGACCGTGTACTCTTAGTCTTCAGAGGGTAACGTGGAATGGTTACACAAAAATTGTTTAGTTAGGCTGCGAGTAAATTCTCTCTCCATTTGGGGCTCAGTTGATATATGCTAAAGATATCCAACAATAGGATTGAGAAAGAAATATAGAGAAATACAAAAACTTAACAATAAAATGATGAAGTACTTTCTTCTGATAGAAACCTGCAGTACAACGAACTTTCTTTCCTAAACCCTGAAGTGTTTAACGGTTTAACAAAGCTCAGGAGATTGTAAGTACATCCTATTTTTGAATTACTGGCTTTCGAAATTTTCATAACATAACATGAACAAATTTTATTACTAACTATAAAAGTAATTGAGTACTTGATGCCGCAGGCATTTATGTACCATAACCAAAATAGTCATTAAGAAATAGTCTGTCCTCCATGAAAAACTAACCATCGTTTTAAGGCTTCCTCTGTCCTCTGAGGTGATTTAATTTTCAAGGCCATGCAGGGCTGGTCATTCCAGAAAAGTTTTTCTGAATCAACTGCAACTTTCTAAAAACTGATTTGGGCACATTGCTGCAGAGTTTTGAACATTTAACATTTGGTTAAAGACCTCTATGAAGAGTAAAATTTTGTGATCTCGCAATGGGTACAGGTCCTATTTTCTGTTAGTCTAAATTGTTAAAGTGGTAGGCTGACTACATTAAGTTGTCTGCGTACCAGCATCAGCCAACATCAACAGCCTCTGCCCCTGCAGGCCTGTAGGATTAAAGTGTTCAAATATATCTAGAACGATTTTGAAGTGACGTGTATGTACATGTATGAGCAGTGCGGGTAAGCAGATTATTTTCTTAAGCCTTGATGATCTCTTACAACGGCTGATGTCTTACCAATTTACAGACAAATTGACGTTCTGTGGCTGAGAGATCATCAAACTCTACCTTATTTAATTAGTCGACGAAGAAGCTCACATAGCAACAAACGTACATCAATTAATTACATTTTTTTTCTGTCTGGGTCTCTGTAGAAGGCTGGCTCACAATAAACTACATCGTCTGGAAAAGGGAACATTTAAAGACCTCATGAACCTGCAAGAACTGTACTTTGTTTCTTTTTATCTTAATATTCTCGCCGTCTCTGTAGTGTTTTTCTTTTGGAGCGCGATGTAGTTTCCGAGTTTGGACACGTTAACAATAAAATAAACAGGGGCGAAACTGTAGAAGAAAAGGAAAGTATTTATTGGAAGTTTTAAACGTTACGAGAAGCTTTACAAAAACATGTACCTTCCAATTTGTGTACTAACTCTGTTCAAGAGAT